AAGACAACTGCCTTTGGACCGCGGTGCTTTCTTTATGTGCTTGTATAACTGACAAATTCGCGTCCTCTCACACCTTTGTATTTCCATTCCAGCCACGTTTTGAATTCAAATCAACCGCCTTCACCTCATTGGCTGGTGATTCCGGCATGATCACCCGTACGAGTGTGGGCTGATATTCATGGTTAACTGCTTATCGATTTATTCAACAGTCATTGATTTTAGTCATTTAAACAGAAATACGGTTAAACAGAATGCGGGGTTATGCATTGGTAACCAAAATCTGATGCAAAATCTGATGCAAATCGTCAGGAACAGATGCTGAGGACGTCGTTATCTAGCCGAAAAAGACGTTGGCGATTCATTACACAGTTTTCGTGGATGCTAGATACTTCCACAAAGACACGCGAGATTCACCGTTGAACACGAAGTAGAAGCGGGTTCAAACGGTGTAGTCTGACGAACAGACAGCTCGTCGGCGACGTAGTCAGACTACAAACTATCGCAAAACCTTTAATCACCAGGAAAACTGCGTTGATGAGAATTCTAGCGGGACGCTGCAGGATTACCAATATTGGTCCGTCTATGATTAACGTAACTATTACCACATGGAATGTTATCGCTGTGTCAAAGAAACAATAACTGATTATTTGCTGTCATTTAAGTTGGATGCAATTTTTATCTTTCAGGCAGTTGAACAAAATTCTGCATCTTGAAGAAGAATTTAATCACAGAAATTTGATTTGAAGACACCATAAAAAGACTGTACATGAAAGCAAATTTGGCTGAAATACAGTGGCTATAAATGACAACTGTCTTTGGACCTTGCTTCTTTCTTTATGTGCTTGTGTAACTGACAAATTCGCGTCTTCTCACACCTTTGTATTTCCATTCCAGCCACGTTTTGAATTCAAATCAACCGCCTTCACCTCATTGGCTGGTGATTCCGGCATGATCACCCGTACGAGTGTGGGCTGATATTCATGGTTAACTGCTTATCGATTTATTCAACGGTCATTGATTTTAGTCATTTGATTAGAAATACGGTTAAACACAATGCAGGGGAATGCGTTGGTAATCCAGGGGTCGAAACACACCTATTTTTAAATTTCCAAACGCTGGATTACCAGGCAATCAAATAACAGAATGGCTGAAACGAAAAAGTAACTACTGTGACAAATGAAAATCAGTCAATGTTTTCGTTTAGATAAAAGGCTTTTGTTTGGCTGCTCATTTCTGATTCATCCTGCACAAATTTCGGAATATTGATTTTATTAAATCCTAACCCTGATTGGTTACTTTCTGAGGGAAAAAATCTCGTGCAGAGAATCACCACATTCCTCTTTCTCCTCTGCCAACCACGACAGATCGGTAAAAAAGTTTTAATTAATTTCAGCTCAGGTTAAAAAAGTGGTTTAAAAAACGTTAAGGTCACTAGATTGAGAGCCCAAATGTCATGCTCGCTGATTAACAGCCTAAAAACACTTTGTTTTTCTCCCTAAAAAATTTTACCGTTATTAAAAATTACAAATCTTCGCACTCAGAACGATTAATTCTACTTTAAGCAAAAGCATTTCTAAATTCCCTAGTCCCTTTTTATGCGCAAGAATTACGACGCTGATAAATGTTGCTTTTAGCTTTTTTGTGAAGGAAGAGGCGCGTGATTTGTTTTCAGCTGTTAGTTGAGAGCTAATTTTAACTTGGAATTTTTTTCAAAACGAATAAGAAAAGCGGGAAAAGGTTTAAGACTTGCACGGAGATTAGTAATTGCTTATTGAAAATCGTCTTTTAAAATTTGTGTAAAAAAAGTACTAATTTTAGGTTGAATTACGTAGATTTGATCGACCAATTGGAGTTGACGATGACCGGCTCAAGGTTGCATTACCATTGGATCAAGATAAAACCGAGATTTAACCAAAGCACTTAGGATATTTTGAAGCAATCAATGAAATCGATACTTATGTAGCAAGGACATTCACGTGACATATAAGACAAATTAGTGAAAGTGGGAAATGGATTGTTTACGGTGGCTAAGTGAGGCAATTTCGAAGTAACTGAGTTTAAAAATGTCGCGATTTCATGAGCTTTGATCCAAGGGTCTTACAAGAAACAACAAACTTAGAAATGCGTTCTAACAAAAAATAACCCAGAAGACTTGGTTAAACCAGTTTGCATCCAAGCCGGCCTTGTTTAAATGCGTCGTTTCATATTGTTGTTTAAACGAATAGCGAGGGTAGTCCAAGTTTCGATTTTACTTCAAACATTTCACGAACATGTTCTTATTTCAGCTGAAATGACAGCTTAAAACCAAAACATTCACACTTAAGCAAGAGACGGAACATTCAGGTACTGTACAATTTAGGCATTAAGCAAGTACGAGTTATGCTTCGAATGGTTTTGAAGATAATTGCGGATTAACTGCTCATTTGACTTTAGTCTTGAAGTAAGATTTTGCAATTGCTTCAGTTTTCATTAATCAGCACTTATTTCAAGGTCAGCCACGAGATAAATAATCGATTTATTTGAAAATAGCAGAGTAGAAGTGATTAGTTTATTGAAAAAAATCGATTGGCTTGACGTTACCGTTCCTTGCTGCCATAATTGGTAACCTGAACGAAGATGCCTGTTAATTGGGCAAAAAATTAGGAAATTTTTCTGCCAGGGCAAAATCTAAATTTTAGTTAGGCAAAGGCATCCTAAGAACAGAGTGGTATATTTAATCCCAGGTTTTCAAACTTGAGCACTGGGATTTACTCACCTGTTGATCCAGATCAGCCCCCAGAGCCAGGAGCAGTTTGACCAATGGAATGTTATTGTTGAGTGCGGCAGCTCTTAGAGGGCTTCTGCCGTCCATGGCGGCTCTGGCAACAGTTTCAAGAGCAGCCTGTCCCAGGAAGCCGTCGTGTCCACCTGTGCTGAGCGGGTCGTAGACCCGATGTGGGTCCACGTCCTCCTCACCCCCCGTGACAAGTTCTTCCAGCAGATCATGGACTGCGTCGTTGTCGCCTGTCTCCGTGCATACGGCCGGCATAAGGAGCAGCCTGATTACGGCCAGGTGGTCGGCCTGGCACGCGACGAGAAGTGGTGTCTGGCCGGCATTGTCCGTCTCGTCTAGGTGCGCTCCAGACTCAAGAAGGAGTCTACAGTTACAACATGAATCACGAGTTAGTGAAACCCCCCTTAAATCCACCACACTAACTTGTTTCCTAGACCAACTCACCTGACTACGTCAGCGTGGCCTGCGGCGGAGGCGAGGTGCAACGGTGTGGCACCCATGTGGTCCCTATGGGCTTCATCTAGACCCCTGTCAAGCAGCTTCCGGACCACCTCAGTGTGGCCACAAGCCGCTGCGATGCTAAGCACTGAACGACCGTTCGCGTCGATGGTGTCCACGGAGGCGCACCAGAACAGGAGTAGCTGGACGACTTCCACATGGCCATTCACCACTGCCGCCACGAGAGCACTCCGACCACTCCTGAAACAAGAAAACGCATTTCCTCGAACCTTTTTAGGGGACTGGATTCCAATTCGTCGAAGACGTGAATCCTTCCACAACTTCCAGCTCCTCGTTATACACAGATAAACTCTAAATTGCTAAGCACCATTGGTAATCATGATTTCCCTTACAGTGGGGCAGGCAGATTTTAAATAAACAAATAACCCGGACGAACCAATCACATCACGATTATTTCTCCTCCATGTTCTTGAAGTACAGTTTATTCTCAGTTTACTTGTGCAAATTTGAAGGTTGTTACCATAAGGTTAGTTGATTAAACTCTCACGTTTCCCTTTAATTAGGGGTTACAGTTTAAGCATTGTAACACCAATGGTATTCATGACTTCTCTAACGATGGAGTGGACAGGCTACAAATAGCCTAGATTTAGGATTCTTTGACGAATAACCAGTAATAGGTGCATGAATGAACCAGCCACTCACCGTTGGCATTCATGACTTAGTTAACTGTGGTGTGGGGGAACTGTAAATAACCCCAATTTGAAATTATTCTGCTAGCAACACTAACTAACCAATCACAGCACGAATTTTTATCCCCCTAGTTATTACTAAGGTCAGGCTAATTCATTTCCTTCAAGTTGTTTTGCCCGTGTTCAGTTGAAGGTCACTGCGAAAAATACCTGGTGACATTAGTGGTTGTGATTGATCAGGCTAAGTGCCTGCAATATGCTTAACGTGGGGATTTGAATTGCTTGACCAATTGCAATAAACAGTTGACTGGGCGAACCAACCACGGCACGGCATTTTCTTCCCCTAATTTACGCTTCAAGGTCGTGTTAACTTGTGCAATGCAGTGGGTTTTGCTCGACTAAAGTTGAAGTTTGTTACCAGCGGCGGTTTGACACCGCGGTAATGCTAGCTGTAATTAGCGGCTTCAACTGGCCAAATGATTCACCTTGAATGTCTTACACCAAACTGGGTTTGCGTGTGTCTGTGCGTGCCTCCGAAATTGCGTTCTACCAGGTCTTTTTTAAAATCCCCGCGCACATTTAAATAAATGTTGATTTAAACAAGGTTTTGGGCACTATTAAACGCCAACTTAAGAGTAACAATCTACGATTAATAATCGATAAGTACAAACAGCACTCTAGAGTTGGGGGTTATGCTTAATTTCATCTAGTCCACTTGAAAAAGGGCCCTCTTACTTGTCCAATGCGTCGACGTCTGCGTCCGCCTCAAGACAGAGCTCACAGACTTCACGTCTGCCTGAATTGGCAGCACCAATCAAGGGAGTCACGTTCTCGCGGTCACCAATATTTGGATTGGCTCCAAGTTGAAGGAGGTTGGAGACGACCTGGGTGTGGACGGTGGACTGTGGCACACAGAACGCGGCCACGCTAAGTGCCGTCCGACCGTCCTGATCCGCGTGGTTCAAGTTGGCGCCTGAAAATCAATGACGAAGTGGTGGTTTGTTTTAATTGGTTGTTTTGCTCGGTTGGCGCCATTTCAAAATTGTTCCCTTGCGAGCAGTCCTCCGCGCACTAATCTAACTCAGACCTGTTCAGGTGTCAGGGTAGGCAATCTTGAAGCAGGAAAACGCCAATTTTGGACACTTGTCCCTTTTTTACTGTTAAATCTTAGTGGTGAAGAAAACCCATTCAGATTAGATATTTGCCAAAAAAAAACGAACTCTACTCACTCAAAATGATAATTTGGTTTCCAGTCAAAGTCAAACTTCGTTAATTCAAAATCCAGAATTCAAGATTAATGACCCTTTACTTAAAATTTGCCTTAAAACTTACCCTATTTAAGCAAATCTTGTGCGTTTTGTAAACAAAATTGATGCTCTGAAGTATTGCGCATCGGAGTGCAACGATTGATCAATGGCCCCCTAGTTTACAAGCTGTTAAACGTTTGTGTTTGATCACTAAATTGAGGCAACAGCAGAAACCATTTGCGTCTAAACAACGATTACACCACGCGGTCGACTTTTCAACTGAACTCTGATTTACCTGTAACGCATTTTATACAAACAAACTCACTGTCAGTTTAAGTGTCGCGCACTCAGCACGATTGGTGGGAACGAATGCGTTAAATTGAACCCACTGATCATCAAGGCGGTTTATCTGAGTTGACTGTCGCGCCAGCTCGCTTTTATTCAAATTCCTCCTCCACTTTTTTGACAAATATAGTGACTAGGCCAGAGTGTTAGTTGACCTTGAGTATACAACCGCCAAAACGTACTGCCTAAAATAATTCGTTAATCCCATTCACTTGTGCCCGCTACGTAGAAATTACCTCCAATTAGCACTTAAAAGATATCACAAGGTGATGATTGGTCAGAACTGTCGGATCAAACGTAGTCTATCGACTTTAACAGACTTAGGATATTGAAGAGCAGAATCTTTCAAAAGCCCGAGGTCAAGGTAAGGTCACCGTTATTACAAAACATCAAAACGAGTTGAGAGAGTGAAGGGATTCATTGAAGAGAAGGTGTAGCCACATCAAAATCCCCTTTTCGTTCCTTTTGCGCGGCAAAATGTGGCAGAATATTGAAACAAACTAGTTTATACATCGGGTTTTAGGTGGGATGCAAGAGCAATTATGTTTCGATGGATATCAAACAGATAGGCATTTCAATTTAGTTCGAAGATCACATTCCAAATTTCCTTTCCTTTCAGCTATCCTTTCTTCTACCATTCAGACAACCAGCCCTAACCGTCTCCTTATGTACAACGCCACTCGCCAATTTTCAAAAAACCCGCTTTTCTGCTCTAAGTTGCCATTGACTGATTCTGAATGACAACGTGGTATTTAACATTTTTGCCTGATTCAAAGCTATTTCATCCACGAAAACACATTTTGCTATAATCTGACAAGAAAAATCCAATTTCCCTAGCAACATTTTTTTTGCTCGTAATAAACGTTGCCCTGTTTTGAACATTGTTAAAAATTAACTACACGCGCTTGAATTTATGCGTGAATTTATAACCAATCACATTCTAGATTTGATGGAATCGAGTGAAGTTGGAAATCATTTTTCCTATTAACCGGACTGTACACAATCAGTGAGCGAACGACTTTCACGGCTCAGTCACGTAAAATGCAAATTACTTGAGCCAGCGAGGAAATTCGTCAAAACCGACTGAAATGGTGGCCACTGCTTGTCCACATGTAATCAAGCGGAACGGTGCAAAATACGTTTTGGTTTTCAAATGCAACGAATAATTTTCCAAAAAAAAAGCCTCAACATTTAATATGGCAGAAGCCAATATGCAATAACAGCATGCTTAGATTTAAACAAGAAATTCTCCGTGAAATTCATTGGTCAAATGAGAGATCGAAGCTCAACCAATGAACTGTCAGGTTAATTAACTAATAGGGCGCGTGAACGCTAACGATGCTCAGCCAATCAGATTTGCTGAGGTAGAGGTGACAATTTCCAGAAAAAAACGAAAAGCAAACATATAGGAAAGAGGGCAAAACAGCTAAGCTGTGGTTGATATTCTGGAGAATAGCCTGTAAAATATTTTCTATTGTTGACGTTTAACATTCCACCTACGAAGGCACACACAGAATTCTGCTTCAATACCATTGGTGGTTTTTATTGTTGTTCACAAGGCAGTACTTAATGGGAAAGTTAAAAATAGAAATGGCAAACAACAGAGGAGGAAAAAAATTATTTCCTTTCGACGGTCAGACTTAACTTACTCACATTCTTGTTTTTCAATTCTTGAAGCGTCCCTGCACACCACTTAGCATCGACCGCAAATCATGCCATTGGTTAAATTCCACTTTGGGTGCTCTGCTTTTTCAATTGGTTGACACAGTTCGTGAAAAGCCCTTTGTAAGATGCAACTCAAATCTGCCACCACTCATTTTTGTGGTGTAAATTTAAACAAAACGCAACTTGAACAGCAAAAAACTTTACACTACTCCCATATGTCCTAAGCAAAGCATTCAATCCTACATTGGTCTGTTTCACCAATCACGACTCAGTAGACTAAATTCAGGTTATTTTGTTTTAAATATTACACATTTATTTCATCGTGACCTTGATTTGGAACACAGTCTTAGAGAAAAAGATGGATAATTGCTTCGCCCTGTTGGCCATCATCAGACAGCTCTATAATGAATTCAGAATTTGCTTTTGGAAAAACCATCGTATCTAAGCCCAATTTTTACGCCATTTGGTGTACTGCTGATCACGAGCTAGTACACTGCGCATTCTGCTTACTGTTTCGAGAGAGTAGAACTAATTTTGCATCGGAGGCGTCGTTTTCGTGGGGAACAAAAGCTTGTTCGCGGACACTAACGCACGCACGCACGCACACACGCACTGCTGCAATCCATTCAATTAATCTCTGTCCAGTGCATTTACATGTGGCATTTTTTGAGAGTCTAGTGTACAGCACCGGAAAATGGGGCATTTGGTCGATGTCAGGCGAGGCATTATGTGGGCAGTAAGTCACGTATTTAGCTAGAAGCCGGGTATTTTCGGTAAATTGCATAAATTCAACAAAAATGTCAAATTTTGCCGCAAACTAGGTTCTTTCGTCAATAACCCATTACACTGACTTTGTTTAGTGCTGAGCGCAGTTCACCGAGCGAGCTGAGTTCAAATCGCCCGCCCAGTAAGCGTGCCAGTCCAGTAAAACAGGCACCAACCAATCAAGTCAAAGGTGTTTTCGCGCCAAATTACCAGCATCAGCGAGTATGTTGATGACATCGATGCAGCCCATGTAAGCGGCCGCGATGAGTGGAGTGCGTCCTTCAGCGTCAGGCTTGTCCACATCGGCACCTGCGAAGAGGAGGATCTGGACGATCGCCTCGTGGCCCGCCCACGCGGCCGCTCGCAACGCCGTCCGACAGTCCGGTCCGACGATGTCCACGTCGACACCGGCTTCCAGAAGCACCTTCACCACATCTGGAAGGCATTCGGGAGGCCGATTAGTGTGTACATGAGGCTTGGCATAGTTTTTCAAGGGTTAAAGTTCACCAATTCGGCAATGCTTTGAGCAAACAAGCTAATTAGTGCCTTCCACTATTACTGACGGGTTAATTTATTTCCACGGATGTGTTGATGGCAATGTGAGTAATGGAAACCAGTAACTTGTCCACGAAGGAAAAATTTGTACATATTGCATGATTTTGCAATAGTTGGTGTGCATGTCCAACTTCATAGTGTTTTTGACCGAATTTTTAGTGGCTTTTTTTAAATTGACATTTCTTAGTAGTATACATTAATCCCCTGAGGCACGATGCAGAATGGATAACGACATTTAGCTCTATGAAGTCAAAAAAGTTAATATTTGCATTTTTGCATTTGAAAAAAATGAAATTTAAGCAATTCGTGGCTTGGTTGCATCTAGAAACAAAGTTTGGAGTCATGCTTTAAGAAAAAAAATATTCATTTCGTGTAACCAATTTTTATTCTTTCTAAAGTCTTAGCAGTCCCGCATTAACTGACGCTAAAAAATGCCTGTTTTAATGGATGAGAGCAAACAGGAATAAGAAGACTGTGAATAACACTTCACCGTAAATGGACTATTAATAAATAACACGCATTCGGAAGAATTCAAACTTGCTCAAGTTCTTGTTTTTTTATTCCTTTTGTTAAAAAATTAACCAATGAAATGCACCTGAAATTCGACTAATTTCACACCTATCTTTCTCCAAATCAAACTAGATTATTCACTTTTCACTAATATATCCAGCCAAATAGTTTTTAAAAGTGAAGCCATTAGAAAATATCGTTTTTTGTCTAAAAATGCCGCGATCACGACACTTTCCGAAAATGTGTAAACAGGTTTTGCGATTCAATAATCCGAGTAAACTTAGCTAAAAGCTGCGTGAAGTTAACCATTTAAAGACTAGTAAATTTGCGTCTTTGTTTTAAACGGGCTAACGATTAGTCTTGCATTTAGAAACTACTTTTCTCTGAGATGTTGAATGTAGTGCGGGCACGCGCGCGCGCGTCCGCGTGCGTTAAAGACAAACAAGATTGAACCGCGCATTTCGTTTCAGTTACGAATGCGCGCGACGACCAATGAGATTCGTGCCAGAAGATTACCGATGAACCAATCAGGAATTTGGGGAAGATCTACACCATTGTAGAGATAAAATAGCGACACACTTTGTAAGTAGCTCAAAGGGGCTCGAAAATGCAAATTATTTTTCACAGTTTGAATCCAGCCGTCTGCAAAATAGGTCATTTTAATGTCGAAAACAGTGGGTGCCTTGTGAGCAGAGATCATGATTTCAAATTTTATAGTAACTCTCCAAATTCCCTAATGGTTTAGCGGTTTAAATTCAGTAAAACAAGACTCAGGTCAATTACCTTATTCGAACCCAGGTCAAGAGCAAATTTTGGCGAGGTTTGGTCAAAACTTGTTGTGATTTTTTCAGGAGTTATAAGCGCGATTTTAACCTTGGTGTATAAAGTCGCATTCAGATGCAGTAACCAAAATTTAGCAACACTAAAGCATTGCCATCTAAATAACAACGTTAAAACTGGGCAGCTGGTTAAATTGTTCGCATATAAGGTGCAAATTTGTTTCAATGACTAATCAAATTGACAAACGTAATTATGCCTAGAAAGATCGAACCGCTTTTGTGATACAATTTTGTGTCAGGATTGGGAAAAGAAGCTCACACTGTACCATTTAATTAAAAAAACACTCGCAGCTATAATCGAAGGTATTTACAAACCTTATAAGTGATATAGATGTATCTGATGGCTACAAGATTGGCGTACTTTAAGGTAACTGCCAACCTTCCGCTAGTTGAATTTAAAATCCGCAAGATTTTCCTTAATTAACTTAAACAAACGGATAAGATATAGCAACAACCTTGACAAATTTGGCGGGCGATTTTAGTTAACATATCGATTTCTATTAAGGGCGACTGATTGGTTACCTCTGTGACCTCCCCATGCGGCAGATCGGAGAGCTGACCAGCCGTCCTGATCGATCTGGTCCAGCCTGGCATTGGCCGCTAGGAGACACTTTACAATCTCCAAATGACCTTGACGCGAGGCGAGGACCAATGGCGTCGATCCTGCAGCATCGCGTGCGTCCACATCAACTGAGTTGTCTTTTAGAATCGTCTTTACTACCTCCAATTTCCCCTGAAATGCCGCAGTGCACAACTGTCCGATCGAAGTCTCCTTGTCGGATCCAGTTTGAAGAATGACAGGTTTAGGTTTGCGTTCCTTAGGACGCGTTCCGTTGCAGGCAGCTGCTGTGGTTTGTGGATCCAGTGAACGATGCTCATAATTAAGGGCGTCCTCAATCAGTTGACTGATCGACGATCCAGCAAACGAGCAGTGAACGAGGATGGGATCGTGAAGGAACGACCAGCAGTCAAGATTACCCAGAGTGTCGACAGAAAAATCCAACTTCACGTCTCGCAGCGCCGAAGTCAGTCTATGCAGGGCCTCGGCTGAATTGTAGAGGTTGGATCTGGTGAAATTGTAGAGGATGTCCCACGTGAATGAATGCGAAAGGCATGGTGACTTGGTGATTTGATTGAGAGCAGCGATAGCTAGCATGGTGTGACCATCGCGAGAGGATGCGACGTACACGGGAGTTGAGTACTTTACATCAAGGAACCAATCACGTAGACTCGTGTGCTCAAATGCCAGCACTTTCTCTTGCTGCAGCTCTGCATAATCCAGCAGTCTAACCCATTCTTGCGGTTGGTCGTGCAGGTACAACGGGTAGTCGTAGGTGAGAAAATGCGGCAGCGATAACGCATGCCTCCAGTTCTCAAGCACTTCCGTGGAAACATTGTTTGCGTGGAGAATAACATCGATCTCTGGAAGAGTCAGAGGTCGTGGGGAAGTTAGGATGAGATTTAACACGGGTTTAACGGCAAGCATGAGGGATGTGGTAGCGTCATTTGGTAAAGGCGTTAACAGTCGTTGGCACAGCCAAAGAAACAGACCACTAAGTGTGCCCGGAATGGTTCTGATGTACTCTGGGGTGAGCCAGCATTCACTGATCGCGGTCAGTACTATCTTGAGGTACAGGAAGGAGGCGTTACTCTTGTACTGCAGCATCTGCAGCATCTCCTGTCCCCCGGATGGACACAGAGCAAGACAGTTTTGCAGGCTTACTTCGCTCCTCAAGCGAGCGTAGACGTAGTCGTTGATGTCTTTTGCAACCGATGGGCACCGTGTATCGTCCAGAATCACTGTCATAGCACACCGAAACAGTCGACGAAGAATAGTCTGCGATTCTCGACGACACGTGATAAAAAGACCAATCCATGGTGGTAAAAACAGAGCGTTGATTGCGAGGAGTTCCAGGAAATTTCGACTGACCCAGCCCTGTCGAATCCGCCCCGTAGACTGATGCAGACTCAGGTTCTGCAGTTCGGCGGTGTTGTCGGAGGCGGAAGAGGCTTGCGAGAGTCGCTTGTGAGTGCAGCCAATCGTTGACACGGCAGGTGGCGCACGCACCTCTGAGTTTGGATTCAAACGCAAGCACTCATCCGCCGAGTCGACTGCTATGAAGAACTTCTGCTTCACGCCAATGTGACTTGGGTCGATGTCTGCCAGAACCTTGAATACACCCTCGGAGAGCACCTCGTCCGGAAATGCACAGAGTCTGGCCGATGTGAACAGACGACCGATCCTACCGCCGCCACCAGCCAGACGTCCCCTGTAGTAGTCGCCAATGGCGTCAGTTCGAGAGGCTAATTGATCGCGCAGTGAGAGAATGAAGCGAGGCAGATTCAGAGAAGCCGCGAATTGATTAGAGCACGCGTGGTAGGCAAGAACACGACTTGTTAACTCAAGGCTGTCGTTGCGCGTTATCTGCTTAAATAAGCACGTTTTACCAGATCCAGGCCCACCAACCACAATGAATGTGCAGGACGTTGCTTCAGGAGGTGGTGTGCCGTTTTGCGGCAGTTGAAGCCATCTTGCAGCCTTCTCAAGGACCCATTCGCGTCCCACAAATATTGGAGGTGGTTTGTGCTTCTGAGGAGAGGAGGTTGTCCGAATTGGGATAGCGGGGGGCGAGGTTTTGGCGTCTGAGTCGGTTGAGAGTGGCAGTGACGGTCCACGAAGTGCATGACAAGAGCTCCCATAGGATAGTGGAATGGCGGAGTCACTGTGTGTAAACGATCTGCTAACCAAACCAACACCGGGGCTCTGTAACTGACCCCGTTTGTCGTCTCCGCACTTTTGTCCAACAACTCCATCAGATCCGGAGGAATCCAATAAGGGTGAGGCGTTTCCGTTGCGGGTGGAATAAACTGGGAGGCCCTCGACTGATGGTCGAACGACTGGCTCTTCTGTAAATTCTTTCATTGGTGGAGTTTTAAAAATTTCACTATCCAATAATACGGCATCCGTTTGTTCACGACAGTGGTTGTCCATTATTAAAGTTCTTCTGCTGCCTTCATGACCTTCAAAGTTAAATGTAGCAGTGCAAATCCCCAATCATCTTTCAGTGACAAATATGACTGATTTCAAACAACTTCGCGAGTTAGAGAAATCTAAGTAAATTAGTCTCCAAGGAAATAACTAACGATTTATATATTCTCTGTAACACCTATTAAAACCAGCAAACAATTTTAGTGCATCGAAAGTTTCTGATACTGCAAGTAACACATCAGTTACATTAACTTATCACGATAAAAAAACATGTAGAACATTTTTCATATAATTAGTGGTCACAAACAATGCAATCACTTTTAAAACCTATGTTAAAATATTGTAGTGTGCCCAATAACGCGATGATAGTTTACAAAATAAAACTATAATCACGTCGATCCATAAGCATCACAATATCTAAGTTGGAGATTACTGGTATGACACAATATCAAGGAAGCGTCGTGAGTCGCAATTTAACTATAATAATTCAAGTAAAGCAGGATTTACATATAAAACAAGGCAGTTAAATGTTGAGCTTCTAAGACAAATCTTCCAGAAGACGCGTTACTGAGTATTTTGGTGATGAAAATGCCTTATTACCGATAAGGAGTACACCATGATAATAAATTAAAAAAGTTTATGAGAGAGTGTTTAATACAAAAAAAAATGTATTTGCCTAAAATGCAATCGAGTAGGGGTTAAAAAAACTAGACATATTAATAAATACGGCAAACGTAAAATATGAATGAAAGTGACATAATATATGTCAAAAAAGGACAAGCTTCAGATCTTGATTTTAAAAATTATCATTCGATAAAGTGTCAGTAATTAAACTTAAAATATGAACAGGCAAAATCAAAGCAAATTTTTCAAATTTGTGAAAGCAAGCAAGACAAGCAGGAAAAATGAAACTAAGTTTACCGTAACTTTTTGGGCTGACAAAACTAGCAGACAAGCCGATATTCAAGTCACACGAGTCAAATAATCAGTAAAAACGGGTCATTTAGGCAGCTTAAAACAGAATTTTCAAAACTAATTCAGATGGATTCATTGGAACAAAACACAACAAATTAAACAACTGATTATTAAGGGAAATTTAGATAATACCTGTTATGCCAAAGAATTCAAGTACAAAATTGCTAATAGATAATAAAATCAACAAATGCATATATTGTGTCATTAAAATTGCAAACACAAAAAATTCTAAACAGCAGTCATTAAAACACAGGAATTCTGCTTACCCTATTGCACACATATATAAATTTTACTAACAAAATTGTAGCCCTTAGAGTATCCGAAATAGCCGAAAATGAAAAGGAGAGAAAATGATGGAAACCAAACAAAGTAGAACAGTGAAGTTAATCACTATAGTATATACACACGGAAGGTTTAGCAAGTTTAAACATGTCATCTTTACCTACCTGCATTAATTTTTTGAAAAAGATTTTACGCCAGCTTATTTGAAGTATGTCCGATTTGTCGGCCACATACAACTGAAGACAAACAGCGAACTTAAACAACATTATTGGTCAAATTCTGTTTGCTACGTGCGTGTTTTGTTAAATTTCAATTACAGTTATTCAAAAAATAAGAGTAAACGTCTTATTTCTTTAATGCCTTTTACGCTAACAATACAATTTGATTATTTGTTTGAGGCTGACATTTCTTGATGCCTTGTTGAGTAATTTGATTAAACGTAGATATTCAGTAATTGATTATTCATTTGAAAGAGAATAGCAGAAATCACTCTACCTAATTGATTATTTATATTCAGTGGCACATTTTATACCCAGTGATTCAGGGCACATTTCTGATTTCATTGTTTGCCTAAATTTTCTTTTATCATTTTGGATCTTCGTGTAAAACGTGTATGACTATATCCTTAAATCCATAACACACAGGAAAAAATTACTAATTTTAATATTAATATCATTATTTTCAAACTCTAACGAGGAGTGCTCTGAACTGAATACGGAATTCAACATTTTAACTCTGCAGGTTATTTTCGTGCTAGGGTACCACAATTTATGTTGCGGGACAGTTATTTTTACAATATGCGATGCCGTTATTTGCATTTGAACGAATTTACTGGTGCCTGAGTGAATCATTGTTACTTTTTTTACACTTCATTAACACGGCAAACGATTAAACAGCAAGGGAAATAATAAGACTTTAAATGGTTGCATTTTTTGATTTTGTGGTTTATAGGTGAAACTCTAACACTTTTTATAGCCGCAGTGAGACTGCAAGTCCTTATACAGCGCGTCAATATATCTTCATTGAGTTTTTTATATTTACAGCCCTTCAACTAGACCCAAATAAACGTCTCTGTACCCTAGAGATTATCTCAACTCAAGAAGAAATGGTCCAAAGTAAATGCCTTTACGTATGAATTTGCTATTATAAAGATTAACGCCTTCTGCAAAAAATATACCTTGTTTGACAATTCCTGGACGTCGGTGTCGACATGGCCGATGAAAGCGACCTTCTTGATTTATCATATCAGCGAATCCGGTGGGCCATTTGCAATCTGTTAGCGTAAAATCCACTACACATCACCTTTGACGGTGCGTGTAGTTTTATGGTGCATTTTTTATCTAACGTGGAGGAGGGTTCAGACATCAACAGTTCCAGGTTTGGCGAAACAGCCACCAACGTAATAAGCAAGCAAGCATGACATAATCGAGACGTGTGCGCATGGAATACCAGAAGTTTGTCACAGTTTGGAACCAGGTGACTGCACAGACAGATGTACAATATGCATTTCTTATAACAAGGTTATTTAAATTTGCTTTTAACCAATTATCGAATTAGAACATAAAGCTGAACTGCTATACCATCAAGACGTGCCAATCATGGGCCTCACAACGAATAAAGAACATTTGCAAACTCTTTCAAAAGTAAAGAATTGCTGAGGTGGTTAAGAAAGCAGCGTGTAAGATGGCCTGATGGCATTTCCGACTTTTCTGTCAATTGTCGATTTGGGAAGACGTGGAGAAGTTCTGTCTTAAAACGATGCCCCCAATCTCCATCGACTCACCCGGCTACAGTCACAAGCCAGTAACAGCAGGCGACGATCACGTGGACTTAGGTTTAAAAAATTGCCCCATTTTGGATAAAACGGGATTAATATTGCCTCTAGAAGATGCTAAATGGTGTTGTTGACTTCAGCTATTCTGTTTGATATTTCCATCACATCCCGAGGAATTGTACATGGGCAAGACGTTTACGTTGCGGTGAAAGATACTAGAATAGCCTTAAATGATGGTCTTGCTTCCACATTGATGGAAATCCAAAATTAGCACAACCAAATAATAAATTGCGTTGTATTTAATATTTTTGTGTTTTGTCTTCATCGCGTGTGAATGTTAAACGTACCAGTGTAAAGTCCTAGTCAGTTACTGGTGACAATAATGATGTCAAATGTGATACAAGGACAGAAATGTTCTCTGTTTTATTTACTATTCCATCTCCTGAATCTGCAGCAACTTCTGCCTTGGCAAGAAATAAGCACTGCACGACACTTACGAGTGAACAAATCCTGTTGCTTGCCGACAATTCAACGAGTTGCAACAAAGTCCATCTAAACAAACTGGTAGTGACACCATCAACAACACACTCAGTAATATATAGTAGTCATTGTGGCTCATTTCGGAAGCGTAGCTTTCCAAAATCGTTGTATGATAGTTGAGGTAAAAGCTCCTTAATGTCCCTTTTGCATGTAGCTCGTACAAGGAGATACGCGATGCTATATAGTAAGCAGTCTCCTGTCAATTATACCCGTCATCCTTTTGCCATCGCTTACATTTTTGCAACTATTGTGGGTGAAAGTGCTTAGGTTTTTAACTTGGATGGTGAGCAGCTTATATAACGCTTTTTAAAATACTCAAGAACTAACAAAACAAGCTATTAAAAAAAGACAGAAATCTACAAAAACTAGACGAGTTACGATGACATAAATTGAAGCCTTAATGCTAAAATATGAAACAATTAGGTCGATATAACACAAAAACAGCACTGTAATGCAGTTATTTGTGGGAACTGGCGAGCTGAGATAAGCGTAATCTAAAATGGTCCACTCCGACTTGGGTAGAACCAACTCGGGGAGCAAACTTGTGTTTATCCCACATAGCGCGCGCCATTTTTCTTTGTCCCCCTCGTCCTCCTTCTTTCCGCAATCCCTCCTTCTTTATGACCCCCTCCACGGCCGTTTTCTTCCTCCTCCAACCTCTCTCTAAGCTCTAGTCTCTTCGTAGTTGTAGACGGTAGGCTGGAATGCATCTGATTCCTCCTACTATTCTTCTATCGTATGTCTGGTAGTCTACCCTGATGGCGTAGTTATCTCGTAGGGACGAGCTGACAGTTATCGACTCATTTAGGTCCCAGCTCGGTAGGGTTCAAAAAGTCACCGTGATCAAGATGCTTCTGTTGAGGGCTCCAGCATTTTGACCTAAACCACGGTGGAGTCACTGAGTTGAAACTAACCCGAGCACGCTACTCTTAGCGCTGCAAAGATCAAGAAAACGCGAGAGAACGAGGCACAATCGTATACTAGACAGCTCAACCAAGTTGGTTTGCTGACTAATGCAGTTGAGTGGACTAGCAAAAACACCGACGCATGAATAGTCACAAGCAAATAAGTGAATGAGCAGGCTATTCCACGTGACTGGGGATCGTGTGTGTGTGAGGCTGCGATGACCAGGTTATTGGACGTGAACCAAAATGATTCTCTACCGTTCCAAAAAGATTTGTCCGGTCTTACGGCTGAAAAGCGCCTCATTAAGAAGGGCAAACCTGGCAGCTTTTTGATTCGTCACAGTCTGAGCACACATTTGAATCCAAAATATCGGGGATTTTTTAAATTTTTCGGCTTTTTTTTCACAAAAACACCTACAAATGCCATAAATAAAATGATAAAAACGACAGAAGATTATGTCGGTAATTTAAGCCTCAATTTTCTGCCCGCGTTAATTGGCCTGGCAAACAGCGGTAAACGTGCATGTCTTTTTTTCAAAACGTAGCAGATTCGTGGTGTTCCAGTGACAATTATTAAGAATGCATTACAGTAGAAATGAACCTCTTAAGATAATAACGGATGAGGAAATTGTCCACGTTTTGGTTAGTTTGGGGTTCAAAACGTGTTGGTGATTCAGCGGTGCCAATACTGCGGTTTTGAAGACTTTTTTGCAACCTAATATTTTTACTATTAATTGCGGTTTATGCACATCAACTTCTGTATTCACAGACCGCTCCACCTTCTTCAATATTTAGGTGGGCGCATATGAATATATTCCCGGCCCTTGGCTGTAACAAGAAAATTCCCCCACACGAGGTCCAGTCTATGTTATAGTCAGGAAAGCTGATGGCCTGCCATTAAGGAAAATCGATAAATTTGCACTCCACGTCTTGCGCCTGTGCACTTAAGAATATTTAATTTTTTAAAAAAGCAAATTGGAAATAAAAATTCTGATATTTGGGGGTCAGTTTTAACTCATTATGTCAATTTCTATACTAGTAGAAAAAACAGAAGTATACAAGCAAAGAAATGAATAATTGCCATCATAAAACCTCACAGTATTCTAGACTATAGCTAAGCACACCTGCTAGCATAATTTTGATAGAAAACAAAATTTAGGGCAGAATTTGTTAGTGTATATGAAACGTAACTTGAAGCTTTACGTATGAATGGTTTGTGTAGCTAAAATATCCGTAATTTAAAACTACAGTGGGGTAAAACATGTTACGTTCACCTTCCAAAATTAATATGTCAGAATAAAAATTGTCATTTAAGGGAGGACCTTGCTACGAGCCCCGGAATGTGGTCTTAAACCACATTAGAATCACTGCAAAGGATAATGACCGATTACGATACCCTTACACCTGCGAAGATGCCATGTACGTGAATAAATTGTGTGGTTTCGGTAACTGTAACTAGTCTGAGTTGACTGGTAAAGATGCAGACTTCTGAATGGTCATATGGATAAAGCGAGTCGTGGAGATGGTCCATGCTGTGGGATGAATGGCTGACGGGCACGCCGTGAAACAAGAATAGTGAAATGTAGGATCTGGTGACAGAGAGAATGAACGTGAATCAACATGATTTGCTACTGTCACTCCATTTCTCTGAATTAGCCACATCGTCGAAGTTGGCTACCAAGCATGCAGCAGAAAAATAGCAGAAGGAAGTGGATTTACTCCAACCTACCGTCAACAAATGCAGAGGGATGGAGGGTATGATTGTACAGAGGACGTCCATAGGGCATGTCAGGGTTGTCCTCAGACCCACGTGTTTATAGCCCATTTAAACTAAATTGATACGTATGCGAACATTGCATTAGAAAACGTTGCGAATCCAAGGAAATGGCTTTATTGTAATGCAAATTAAGCCAAGATGTACTGCGGTAAAAGTACTATTATATTAGTCACGGAGATGTAGCTGAAATCTGATCAGTTTGCAGTCTCATTTTGTAAGTTCATAGTTTTAATTTTTATGTTCGACAAACTACAAATGTTCTTGATTACCCCTTACCAGTAAATATTCTAGTGCTACCTTGAAATTATTTTACTTGATTCACCGACAATACTATTCTATTGAGGGCTTTAAAGAGGTATTATAATTGCAACATGAAAAAAACGTCCAATAGAGGAATGCAGTTGTTTGATAATTGAATTGCGGACATTTCAGAATTTTACACACCATTCTGACAGGAGTTAACAGCAAAGATCGTGATTTTTTGGACTAAATGCGTGTTAAATCTTGTGTAACTTTGTTACGGTTTTTAAACACACGCACGCCTAACCTCGAGTACAAATTTTTGATTAATTCTTTAGCTCGTTATCGGCCCTCCCGCATTTTTTAAAGACAGTGGGAAACGTCGTGTAAAATTTTTTTATGGTCTCACCAAAATGCCGACACTACGTTCACATGAGCCTAATTGTGTACTTGGTCAGAGGCCTTGAGTGCAAGTAGTAGAAAAAGTACACTTAATGTGTAACGGACAAGCGTAAGCATGGTCTAACGCGGGAACAGCAGTTAGATGCAAAACATTTGACATCAGTGGTCTTCAATATGCTGAATCTGTAACAATCAAACAAGTTTACAGAGAGATAACACGGTGTATTTGGCATGGTTTTAATTTTGTGCCAATTTGAAGCTGCGCATTTCGGTCTTTCTACATACGTCGTCATTCATTCATCCAGTACTCGTTGTTGCTATCAACATGTAACAAACAACCTAGTAGCGATTCATGCAGACATTCTGTTACTTCAGTGACGTCAGCGTAAAGAAAAGCTGATGTGGATTCAAGGAAACAATTTTACTTCTGTCTTCTGTCTGACTCTGTCAACGTAGATCTGTGGTCACAGTGTGGCTATCTAACCACATTGGGGCTCAAAATAAGGTGTAGTACAATGTAGTCGCGTATTTCATTGATTAAAAAGGGACGAAGATGATTATTCTACAGTCATACAACCTGCTAAGTAGTTTATTCAAGTTGACAATTTTTCCCATGTAAAATTTAGAAGCCTTCCAGCATTAATCCTACATTTAAGGCCGCAGGAAAAACGCCACGTATAAAAAACAATTTAACACATATTGCTACACAAAAAGAACCTAAAAAAAGAAATCGAAGTCTATAAATTTGGCTTAAAAATAGATTATGGAGGTTGACAATGAACAAGGGTCTTAAATTTGACGTGCGTCATTCCCAAATAAACAATCAGACGAATGAATTTTATTATAGTGATTATGCATAAATCTCAACCTTAAACAAGACATGAAAAATATAATTGTGTAATCAAACGATAAATCACATATGTCGATGTTTCCGGGCTCGTTGTTGTATAATTTTAGTTACGTAAAATTAATTAATAATAATTTGTGAACAACATCGTCGTAAAATGTCATACCAAATAAATACTTTGTCACAAACAATGGCGCTAAAGATTGCAAGAAAAGCTTATAAAAATAAAGAACATCTTTGTTTAAAATGGTTTATTTTGACAACAGTTTAATTAATTCTGGACTCTTATTTGTTTTTAGCCTGAGGGTTCAAGTCGTCGCCCTGATGGCGATCGACTCTCGGCGATGGTTTCATAATGAATTGTCTGGTCTTGCCGCTGAAAAGCTTCTTATTGAGAAGGGCGAGCCCGGCAGCTTTTTGATCCGTCAAAGTCTGAGCAGTCCCGGAAATTTCACGCTGTCTGTACGTAGGAAGGATTCCTTTGCACACATTCGAATCCAAAATACCGGGGATTTTTTGAGTTTTTTTGGCGGTGATAAATTTGCAACGCTATCTGAGCTTGTCAACTACTACCGTGAGAATCCTGGTCAACTGAAGGAGAAGAATGGCGCCATTATCGAACTTCGTCATCCTCTTGTTGTTGACGACTTCGCTGCTGAGAGGTATGATTACATAGTGGTTTTGTGATTTCATTTTGTGTCCTTACGTATTTAAATTTGTGGACTTGTTGTTGGATACTTAGATTGTGTGTACTTCCTTTTTAATAGCGCGCGATGGTTTCATGGTCGACAAACGGCAAAAGAGGCGCAGAACCTTCTTTTGCAGAAGGGAAAAAATGGCAGTTTTTTAGTAAGAGAGTCGATTCGTCAGCCCGGCTCATATGTGCTGTCGGTTGTGACTGGCGGTAATACTGTTTCGCACATCCTCGTAAATCGACTTCCAAACTCCAAGTTTGATATGGGCGACGGACAAGAATTCTCGTCTCTTAGTCAACTCATCGACCACTACACTGCGTTTCCTATTATGGTCAAGGATGGCGATTTGATATGCTTGAAACAGGTGAGAGATGTTCATGTACGATTTTAATTTTTCAGTGCCTTTTACTATTTCGAAAGCACTGGACTACTAGCGCTTGTCAAGCCTATGACTAACCTTCTGGTAGTCTCTCATTTCGTCAACCCCAAATCTTTGAAATGACCCGCTAGTTCTTTGTGCTCAAAATTGTGTGTTTAAGTCATCCTCAGACATATCTAGAGGATCTCTGTTAAGAGTTAACCACCTTATGTCTCTCGTTTTATTAATTTAAAGCCCTTCAATGTGACCCGAATCAACGTCTCTTCTTTGGACCAGCGAATAGCTCAGCTCGAGAAGGAGGGTTCTAAGGGAAAGCGGGTAACTGGCTTCTTGGAAGAGTTTGAGGAGCTCCATCAAGACGTTCATGAGGTGAGTTCTTGGCAAATATAGTCGTGCACAAAATGCCCATTACTTACTCCTGGTTCCACAGTTTAGGAGCCCTTAATCGTTGATAGGGAGACGCCGGTTTGAATTTGCATTCTGGACTGAAAATCGCTTGTTAAATTGTGAATCTGTGGAACTTGATGTTTGCGCCATATTTGTAGTAATCGCCCACTTATTCAAGCCTATCTTTTTAACCAAAACATACCTCTAGTCAAGTCGAGTTGAGGGTAGTAAGCTCTGCAACCTTGCGAAGAATCGCTACAAGAACATCCTCCCCTTCGACGCCACGCGGGTAATTCTTCGTGACGGTGATCCCAACGTTCCAGGCTCCGACTACATCAATGCCAACTACATCGCCAAACCGGTAATACCTTGTTTAGCATTTCGTGTTATCAGGCAGCACGCCTCCAACACACTCTGAAGTCGCTGTGCATTTTAGGCGTTCCTTAGCGAAGGCCTTCAGTTGCCGAAATCGGCCACCGTCGACGACCACGATGCACGTGGCGGTGGTGTTGATGTGAACACTACCGGTCAAACCACATCTTCCACTAACATCTCCACGAAGCCCCAGTACATCGCCACCCAGGGCGTGCTTCCGGGAACCGTTGGCGACATGTGGCGGATGATCTGGCAGGAGCGCTCTTCAATTGTCGTCATGCTGACGAAGGAGAATGAGCGTGGCAGAGTAAGTTCCCAATCTAACCTTATGGTGCGTTGTGGTGGAAGATAGAACCACCTTTTCTTGACTTACTTCCATGTATAAAACTGCTTATGTTGCGCACCTTAACACTCCCTTCGCTGTCAACAGCTAGATTTGTACACTAGCTAATGGGTTCGCAGGTAATCTTCACACGAAGCTAATTTTAGTATCCGCCTCCTCTTTGATGTTTCTAATTTGACTTAATTAGCAAAATGACTTGTGGTATTTTCTAATCTAAAAGGAGTAATAGGCGTGGGCTAAGACCACGTAGCTTGAATAAGTACTTTAAAAAGCGAAACGCGGAAAAGTTTGTCATTGAATCACTCTCGTCACGCTATTGGCTAGTGTTGACATCGCAATGTCACAGAACTTTTTTGTAATTGGCTAGTTCTAAGAATTTGACCCGACCCTGAGTTGATCCTATTTTGATGAAGTTGGTGGCACTTTAGAATTGGTACGAATTCCAATCCAATGCCATTCAAGTGTGCAATGGCTGTGCCTCTTTGAATTCTGTAGAATAAATGCGAGAAATACTGGCCGACCGAGTTAGAAGGCTCACTCGTCCTCCAAGTGCCATTAGGCACTCTCAAGGTCACCCCGGTTTCCGAGCAGAACTTCAACTCCTACATGATTCGTGAGCTCAAGGTCAGCCTTCACCGGTTCAATGCACAGAACGATTCCGGCTTCATTGAGGACGACTCGTTCACGGTGTACCTCCTCCAATTCCTTGCCTGGCCCGACCACGGAACGCCCAGTGAACCTTCTGAATTTCTCAATCTCCTTTTCAATATATCCACTTACCAAGTTTGTGATGCCTTGATATTACTCCATCTTATTCTATTTAAAATTGCACTAGTGCTAACTAGGGACTATGTGAGTTCGGCAATTGAAAGACTAAAACCGATACTGTGGGATTTCTTTGACTTCATGGTTTGAGGTGTTGGTCTAATTTTAATGCGTTTGGAGTCAAAATTAGCGTGTTATCTATAAACAGCAATCGATTTCCCCTTGATCGTTCCAGGAAAAGGGCCACTGTCTACGGGAATAAGCTAAAATTGGTGATTGATCGGGGTGACATTTCAAATGGCCTCATGCTGAGAGTAGCGGTGTCCGCCCTGTGAATTGGACAGAATTCCAGGCATAACTACGACTGCTAATGAACTCTACATTCTGTGGAACCACCGCCTCGAAGCTGGCCTCCTAAGTCAGCACAATGGTGACGATTCGTACATGGTATTCATCCCTTCCTTTTCGCCAACTCGTGTTTCTTTTTCTCGTCGTAGGAAAGCCTCAATACCACAGGACCCATGATTGTGCACTGTAGTTCCGGCATTGGTAGAACCGGCACGTTCATCGTGATCGACATGCTCATAGACTGTATCAAAGAGGGTGGCCTTCACACCGACATCGACATCGCGCGCACCGTCCAGGCAGTGCGTGAACAGCGGTCGGGCATGGTGCAGACAGAGGCCCAGTACCGATTTATCTACAAGGCCGTACAGGAGTTTGTCTCAAGTCTGATGCTGCGCGTCAAACTACGGAACGTACGTCTCTCGTAACACCGACGGCGGTGATTTGAGGTTCATCAAATCGGTGACTTTCTTTAGCACACACCGTTCTCTTCTGTGTTTTGCCAGGCACTACAACCCTTCGGCATCGACTACACCAACCTCAAACAGACTCCTAACAGCGATGGATGTGCGCACTGCACCGGGACCCCACCACGACACGGCACCTCGTCATCCTCCCTACCGACAACTCGTGTCAGTGGCGTTGGTGGTTTCTGGGGCTGGAACAGCGCTACTCGGTCCCCTTCTCCCCTCTGCAGTGGAGGACCTGCGCTGTGTCAACAGGCGGTACCACCGACCCCCTTTCGGAGGCCACCGGCTCCTCTTCCATCGGACCACAAAGATGTCCTCCGCGACCCCTCCGCCGCCGCCTTCCCTCCCGTCAGCTCGGTGTCACCGCCTCCGGAGACCTCGGGGGTGTCAAGGCGATGGTACAAACTGTCTTCCGCCCCTCGGTAGCCCCTAACCGGCCTTCCTCTGCGCTCTCACTCAGGATCATTCCACTAAATGCTGCTCTGCCCAGTTCCTTCTAATGCATTTGTAATCAGTCGTATCTGCACCACATACATACACACACACTGACTTTCTCTCTCTCATTTGGCCCAACATCAATAATATATAAAAGAAATTAATTTTTTTAGCTGTCGCTTTCTGCAAACACGCTGTCACACAATCCCAAACAGGTAAAACAGCCTCCTAGCTCAAGAATAAGCAATGTTTCGTCTAACCGAAGTAGTAAATAAGTATGAAAGTAAGAGTGCTCAAAGGGACTGCGAGAAGTAAGAAATCCAATGGTCTGAGGGAACGGCTTTTCCAACGATAGTAGTATTCGACCGCTTCTGGAGAATGACGGTGTCCCGAAGCGGTTGAGGTCTGTTGCGGCGTGCTACGAGGGGTCTGGTTGGAGGGGGCAGGAGGTCGCCAATTCACAGCGGACGATCTGCGGAACTGGCGAGAGCGGAAAATTTCACTCGCGCGATCAAAACTGATTTTGGGACCGTATGGCGAACAGGAGAAGTGGTTTTCTGCCATTGGCTAAAAGTAAACACACACTAAGTTTTCGGCGATGCATGGTTTGATTCAACAGGAATGTGATAGCGTTACACAGCTTACAGAGCATGAGGGATCGGTGCTGGCGACGGCTTGAAAACCGTTCCTGCTCGCGTCGTAAGCTCGTCTCAGATCGGGGTCCACAAGCACCGCATAGGCCTCGGCCACATCGAGGAAAAGCTGAGGATCAACAGGAGGTTTGTTGGCGGATTGGACGTCGGGATGCGTCTCTTTGCACTTGACATAGTACGCTGAACGAATCTCCGACTGAGAAGCCGTGGGAGTAACTCCTAGCACAGCGTAGTAGCATTGTTTTTTGCCAGTAGCCTCCGCTGTGCCTTGCACAAACGCCGAAGTATGAAAATAAGTCCCTGAGTAGTTGGTAAACAACCTGTTAGACATTTTTAAACTGGTGGTGAGACCTCAAAAGCAAAGCAATCAACCGACCTGTATACTGCGCGATAGTGGGAAGTACACAACTAGATACCACACGAAATCCGCAGTATTTGCCACTTGTGATCTTCAAGAGGCGGTAATACTGCAACACGATAAGATGAATCCAAACAAACGGAAGCTGTTAATGGTCATTACAAACCGACATCACTAAAAGGCAAGCTTAAAGCTTGGTATAGCCGTGTAATATGCACACAAGTTTGTACAGGAGGGCTATGCAAAGGATTTGGCTAGAACTACGGTGTGGTCAACGCCACAAGCAACGCTGACAGCTTCGGCGGGCAACGACAAGGGGACAGGGTACGTTTGGGCATTTTTGACGGCCTTGTCGACGCCCTTGTTGGAGACACGTCCCAATCCGAGACAGGCGAGGCCCCCACGAGGCGCACCCCACGACCACAGAAGGCCATTTTTTGACTGGACGATGAAATGATGCAGACCAGGCACTAAGTCGACAAGTCGATTGTCAGAGGAGGGCAGAGCAGGGGTAAACAGTGCGGGCGGAATAAGAGCCGGTGCTGGTGTCTGCAAGACCTGGGGGCCGAGACCAAGACAACCGAATCCCCAGACAAGAACCTACAGGAGAGAAGGAAATTCGCGAAAATTACGTTTCTGATTGCGCAAACAACGAAACCACATATATGACACATACGTGGCCATGTTCATCAAGAACACCACAAATGGATCCGGCCGCGGCGACACGTTTAATTTTGCCAATTGTGAAGCCTTCGGGGAACGCTGAGATGTTGGCGCCGACATACTCATAAATCGGCAGTTCAACAGGCTCCAGAACTTGAACTTCGTCCGTGACAGGCCAAATTTGTCCGTATTCATTGTTACCCCATGCAAATAGGCGTCCGCATTCTGTCAATGCCAGAACTGTGTCCCCTCGTGAAGATATGTGTCTTAAAGTGAAAAATATGTCTATTAGGGAAAATTTGTAGGTAAATAAGTGTTGATTTTGGAAGAAGACGTGTTACCTTATGCGAAATCCTTCAATACAACCGCGCACTTGTGTTAGCCTATCGACACATTTGGTAACGCCCAAGCCAGTTTGGCCATCTGTTCCTAAACCAGCTGAAAATACACGACCATCGTCAGTAAGCACGAGACTATGATCTTGGCCGCATTCAACCTAAATTTGCAGCGGTTAGGGGTTGTATAGGGCCACTTGCCTGTCTAATCGACGTGAGGTCATCGGGTACGGCAACTTTGGTGACTTGAGCACTTTCGGAGGTAAATACTTCACCTTCAATTATTTCACGAGCACATTGTCCGAATGTGTTGTTGCCTAGGCTAAATAGAATTGGACGATTCAATTCGACGTCCTGATAGACAACGAGGGAATGAGCTCGACCACAGGACATCAAACGAGGGGACATTGTGCTAGTTTGAGGGATTTGAAGAACACGCGGTTCCGGAACAAGGTCAACTTGTACACCTTCAGAAATCGGACCATGGAGATGATCCGTCTAAAATAAGGAACGCGTTTTTCCACATACTGAAGCAACACGACGTATGCCAATCAGAAAGACAAAATAATGCACTACAAAATCGAATACGTACTTGATGGCCAAGTTGTCCGTCAGAGTTTATACCGCAGCCATAAATTGCACGCTTCAGTTTATGGTGAGACCCGTTGAATAATGTGAAGCCAAAACCACACGACACCGAATTCACATCAATACCTTTTTCAGAAAAATACCTCAACAGAGTTGGGGTGGTGACTAAGAACTTCGGGCGCGGCGTAGAAGTCTCTAAAGTCATTAGCGAAAAAAGCAATACGCCTACTTTCAGGGGCGACATAACGTTTAACACCAAGTGCACCAGTAACAACTACTCCAAACCCGTACACCCGAGGCAACCGTTTAGGCATACAATCAATTTCATCAGGATTTAGTTTAATATTGGGGATATTTACAGATGAAACGAGAGAGTGTCGATTACTTAAAGTGGCGAAGCCCAAACGACCAAGAGGCACAAAAGACCGCATCACCCCTAGCGCGGAATTATACAATAACCTTCATCGCTGGTCATTTGCACTTCAGCGAATTTAAAGCTAATAAGGAAAAAAGTACATTTCAATTGTTATTATCTATAATTTTTAAAAAAGTTATTTTAAATATTTTATCCATGGCAGAACTATGTTACAGTTAAAAATATATAATAGTCTGTCATTTTGTATAAGTAAACTCCAGTGTATATTTAATTAACTTAAATAGATAATTGATACTGATAATAAATTATATATGGTACGGCGAAAAAGGTTTTAATAAGTGCGGACGTTTGGTCTAAGTGGTATCAGTTAATAATTCCACGGTAATTGGCAATATGTGAAATCGATTGTTTTAGAATCGTGTTATTTTTCTTCTCTTCCCTTACTTTTACTGTTGATTAAAAAGGACATTGTGTGAACCTAATCAATACAGGAAATTCTTCCACTGGATATAATTTACCACTTTCAGTAAAATTATGGAAGTATACTAAGAATTTCTGCATCCCTAACTGAACAGGTGTGCATGGTTAATTTTTAATTGCCATTTACAACTTAGCTTTATGTTTCTAAGCTATTTACCCACAATCATATTCTAGCTTTAGAATCCACTTCGTGTTTACCGCTCCCAGTATCATTGGTCTGGACACTTGAAAAAAATTTGTTAATGTTAGTGCATTGGTTACTGCACAGCCATATCCAATTCTGATAATCTTAATTACTCAAAGCAGAAAATAACTGCCACGTCTGTAAGTTTACGAAATGTTACATAGGCCACTTACCATTCCATCATACCTACCTGCGCAATCCCCAATATCTGAACGGATTTCGGAAAATCTTTCATGCACAAGTTTAGTTTCAAGTTAATTATGCCATCGTTTCAATTTCGACAAAAATGGTATATAAACTTACTAATTCTAACTTTAATACCGGACAACTTTGCAATGCACCCAAAGAGTTGATAATAACATTTTCGTGATTCTGTGAACTGTAGCATGTCCAGTAATGCCCACTATCATTGTAAAAGGTAATGCATCTACTTTTTTAAGTTTAAAAATTTCAATTCATCCAGGTGCCTGGAATACCCATACCATCCACTTAACCTCAGAACAGAACTCAAGAAAGCAGGTTTTTTTCGATGAATTGTTTGACGAACCCGGATTTATTTAAGTTACGAAGTGCCATTAATCTAGGCAAAATCCATTCTAAAAAATTTCACTCCGATTCATCAGTCAGAAGTTTTGAACCATTTGTCATGACCAATCAACGTAACATACAACTAGAAAGAACAAAAATTTGTCACCAATGAGATTGCATTTCTAAATATCCATCAATTCCTTCGCTGTATTCCTAGCCGCACTTTTACGTTCGAATTTCCTGCCTCTCTTACCATGCTAGACCATCCTAATTACCATGGCTGATAGCCCTTCCTGTCCTTGACTTGGTGTGAAAACCTCATAAGTAATCTCTAGGCAGTGGTTGATCATAACCATCGCCAATGTAATCTAAGCACATCGACTCTAGCGGTAAAAAACGCAAAAGTAGCTGAAAAAAGGGTCCTTATTTGTACAAATGACATCACCCCAGAACAGAACTACCACTCAGAAACCACTTTAGCCAGTTCTCGGGGATTCGCGTCGGAGAGGAAGACGATTTCGGCGCGGCCTTCCGGTCGAAGAGCCGCCGGATTAGCGAACCAATCGTGTTCCGCGTAGAAGTGCAGAACTGCATCCATCTCATTGGGTGAGTAGTTTGGGACGTTGACAGGAATAAATGGGTCCATTGTCTCGAAACCACGCTTTGTCAGAAGATAACTATACACAAATTATCCAATTACGGCAAACGTCGAAATATGTAAGAAACCTTTCCCTGTTTCAGCATTATTAATAAAAAACATGAACAAAATTCCTTTACACCTAACACTAATCGATATGTACTGGTAAAATCCATCAGAGATTATTCGATCTTGGAAAAAAAGCACTTCCGAACAGAATTGGATTGGTTCACACCCACACAACCCCTATTCACGTATGCGCAGTACACAGCGACGCGCAACTGATTTAAACCTCTGGTCTTAACTTAAGCCCTGATGTGCGTTCGAGTCCAACACATGAGGGAACACGATTTGATGGATTTTTTTAACAAAGAAGACTTGCCCCGGTGTGTATTTTTCGCGGTCTGAAGGCCACGCGCCGCGTTCATTGACCGAGGTGATGATGGCGCCGTGTTTCCAGTCGCCAATAAGGGCACGGCGCAGGTGATGGACGATTGCCAGACGGTCTACAGCAACCTTCTTGAGCAGAATCTTGTCCTGCATTCTGGTGCCTCGGCACCACAAGAAGTTGACGCCGTCAACGAATAGGTAGGAACTCGGTCCTGTCTCTTCTGAGGAGATGGCCCGCATCTACGGACAGACGACAATGAATGCCAGAAAAAAAAAGCAGGACTAGTGAAAATTTTACGAGAAGGAAACTAACCTCACGGAGTAAAATGCCGATGCAGTCGGTGGAGTATTTGGTTCGTGAGAGGCCAAAGTTAATAAGTTCCAACCAAGGCGTTCCTGCAGGTGCAATATCCTTAACTGTCCATTCGATGGCGCGCGTTGTCACAGGCTTTATCTACAACAAACACACTCGATTTAGCGCAGCTAAAATCTATTATGAGTTCATTTTTCTGTTAATAAATGTCTGAGTTGTAGCGTGACTGGGGGTATTCGTCGACAGGTAGAGCCAGCAACGACTCAAAACAAGCAGTCGCAGCGAAGTGAAACACACCAACAACCACAAACTATGTTTCAATACAACCGACTTGCACATCCACCTGACGATTGTAAATAAATAGGAGCTAGTTGACAATAGCATCGCAGTAGTGAGTCAGTTTATAAGCTGCTTGTTAGGACTTGATAGTAGGGGAGCCCACGTTTAAGATAGAAACAAAAGGGGGTAACAGACCTTCTCCAGCAAGGGCAGATTTAGTTTTAGAAAACTTCGTAGCCACTCAGCCGACCTGCTTGGAAAATCCAGAGCATCTCCATCGATTTCGAGCTTATGCTGGTTCTGATGATAAGCGTCACTAGCGGTGAAATCGGAACACCGATCAAGCCAGTTTTCTGCGTTGCAAAAGGCAAAGAGAAAGGCATTCTTTTCTGCGGCGTAGTGAGCGATATGCGCCAACTGAACAGAGGTCCCACAGCCCGGTTGCCCATAGAACACAAAACGAGGCACCGAACCAACATCCTGTCGAACTGTTTCCAGTGCTGACATAACATCAAGGGCAGGTTTGCGAACCAGAAGGGAGAAATCCTCGAATAGCCGAAATTCCCTTAGGAGCTCCTCTTTGAGAAAGGGAGCAACAACACGCGAAGCTATGTCCTCGGGGACGGAATAGAAGCGACCAATACAGGCCGCCGGGTTAGCTAATTGGGCTGCGGGAGAAACGAGATCGGTGCGAGGTGCTCGCGTCGTGACCCATGAAGTGGTTTGGGGTGCCGTAGACAGAGGACATTGCATGAGATGAAGAGGCCCACATGCCAAGAGTCGGACTCGTACGAGGGCATTCATTTATAATATCTAAATAAGCGATAACTCAGATGTGAGGACAGGCCTAAAAAACGGATCGATTTCATACATTTCAAGATATATATTTGATTAATTTATGCTTGAAAAAAAATTATCCTAAGTGGGGTCTGCATCAAGGATTATCCTATTCTTATTCCAGTAATAGCTAAGCATCTAGAAGTATAGAGCAATAGAGGCAGCCCTTGGTTATAAACACAACAAAATAATACACACATGACAAAAAGACATACTAGCCTTTGTGCACTTAGGTTAGTGGATGGCGCCAAGACTACAATAAAAAAGATACCTTAAGCTCCGTCAGCCAATCAAGGACCAGGAAAAGGACACTAATTCAGAAAACTGAAAATAATGTTTGGTTTTTGCCATTTTTCTTTTTTGGCAAGCACACAGCATATGTTTAAAAATCATTATTAATCGTTATGAATAAAAAGCAATGACAAGTTTAAAGACATTTGTCCACGTTTGTAATAATTCTAGTCGAGTTAACCGCACAGCGGCTAGTGCTTTCACTTAATTTTTAGTCTTTGACATGGCCTAAAATTCTTTTAAAGTTACTTTTAATGCCTCCGCAATACCGTTCAACTTGATGACTCGTTTAAATATAATTTGACGATTTGTTGAATAAACATTGTAATTTTGCCATAACAGACGCCAAAAGGAAAAAAGCATCAGTAATGTTTAGGGTTTAAGGACTCAATGATTTTATCGTAAAGAGTTAGCATAATTGACAAATACCTATTAAAAAAATGGCTTACAACTTAAGCTGTTACAAGATGCTAGTGTGCAAGGGAACAACAAAATGTAAGGAAACATCAAAGCACAGGATTGGAAGATTAAATAAGAGCCATGTGTTTTTTAGTGCATTTTATGCATGTTTGCAAAGGTATATTTGTATTTTAGGATAATAGGTAGGTTGATAATAAAAAATTGCTGCAATAGAAATATATATCATAAAATAAATTGAAGGGATCTGCCATAGCAGTTTTGCCATATCTATGTAACTACTACAAATCCGTTACCCTGAACCTTGACTCAAGCTAAACTGAATCCAAGATTATTAATGACTTTCAATTTTTGACTATCGTGCCTGTAAAAATCACAATATTATGCACTTCAGCGACGTACTGCAGCTAAATTCACATAATATTGATCTTGCAGCATTATAATAATATTCTACATAAAATATTTGGTTTAACCGAGACCCCTTATTAAGTAAGAATATTTTCTGCTTAAATGGTGTGTTCTCTTAGTATTCACAAACTAAACTGCCACCGAATGCAAATTTATATATGTTACAAAATGGAAAAATTTGGTTTTCACGATTTAATGGGAAAAAATTAGGCCAGGCATACCCACAGGCATAAAATTGTGGTCATTTTTATTAGCAAAATAGTTGCTTTTGAAGAGTATATGGCCTAAAAAGCAGTTAATGAATTTCATTCCAAAAAAATTTTATATAATTTTTTTTAATGAAAATGCACTACTTCGAAATGCCTGAGAAACGACTACTGATGCGGCAGTTTTAAGCCTGTGCGTTTATTCTAACAAATAAACAGATGGGATAATGCGGAAATACTATGTTTCACTTATTGTGGTAAATCAAGTCTAGTGCTTTTGCTGTGTTGAAGATTTTATGACTGAATCAGTTCTAATTTTGCCCTAGATACATTCGTTGACACAAATAAAAAAGCAGATGCAATGATGCCGATACTGTTATTATTGTACAGTGTGATAATGTGTTCTTAAATTGTGTTTTAAATTATTTCAGAACAGCGATTTGACAAACACTTGATATGTGTGACCTTGACCTACTCCGCAGAAGTCAAATTCTGTATATCTGTTATCGTGATTATTTTTCGTTGCTGAAATTCCTATGTCAATATAAAATACAGGATGATGAATTTTAAATACCCGCTACACTTTTGTAGTGGTTTTCCCAAACTTACATCTGATCTTAATGTGGATCCTGTGCTTACAGAAGCAATTTCAGGAGATGAAAGTAAGTTAAAAACCATCTAACTTTGACGCTTTGTTTATTAAGCAATTCGTATGCATGCTTTTTTGCCACACTAATTTAACCAGTTAGAAAATATAAAATCATATACTTTCACTTCTCTTATTAACATCTTAGTTTCTAAGATTGCACGTTTCTTAACCTAAAAGTTCTCTAAATTAGCAGCTCTTGTTTTTTTAGTTAGAGAAAAGCATGTATTTTTCATGACGCAGTCTTAATTTAAAATTATTCGTTAGGATACACAACTTAAGGAATCTAGCGCATTTGCCAACTCGTGTATTTGAACTTTTAATGTACAATGTGTAATTATAAGTCTCTTCGCTTTTATTTTAGACGCTTTTTATGAACGATTTGTTTAGTTAATAGTGAGGTCAAAGATATTTTTTGTGCTTCTGTACACCTTGTTCCCGCAATTAAATATTTTTGCTCAAATTTGTGCTAAGCGACTTTCTACAAAATACGCAGCGAAATAAGCCTAAGTGCTTAGAACATATTCTGGTAAATAAACTTGGTTACAGGACGCTTTTTATCCTACAATCTTAGTTTCAGTGAGATGCCATTATTTTCCGTCATTTGTGCTCTTCAGTGCTCCTCGTATAAAACCTGTAAAATTTGTGCATAATTTTCAATTAAAAAAATTGAAAAGTTCATAATTTTCACAACCGTCCTTTTAAGCTGGAGATACGATGGGAGACTTTGCTTAGTTTTTTTTTACCCTAAGATTTTAGTTTAAATGTTAATCCATCTCATGTGGTCAAATCTAGGATCACAATTGACCTCTTGAAATTTTATCCTCCTAATTTGCTTCTGAAACCACCACAAATTGTGCCATTTTAAGATCTTAGGTCAGTAAATTATAAGTCCTGAAAGGTTTTTGCTAGTTAACATTCGACTACAGCTGCTAGACTTTGGAACTATTCAAGATTACCAATATATCAGGAATCAAGATTTAACTGAAAGTAAGGACAGACCGAATCAGGTGGACAATAAAACTCTGCCAAAACGCCGAAGCTCTGGCAAAACGACTCAGCTATTATGACAATTCCTCCGCCTTTTAAAATCACATGAATTTCTTAAATTTTGACAACACAGCAAAGCTGATCCACAAAACACCACTTGTTCAACGAAGCTGTGCATCTTCCAGTTTATTGATTTCCAAAGCTTGGCATTCTTTTACAGCCTATCTTTGATTGTAGAAATTTGGTCCCCTTTTAGAAAAATTATATTAAGCGTTGTTACCATCCCTCATACAATATTTTTAATCATGAATATTACGCTTAAATAATTCCTGAAAAGATTCAGTTTAATTTGGATGGCAGGACTACGAATCAAAAGAATCTGATCTGTTATACTCAATTAACACTTTTCTTGAGCATAGTGAAGGTCTGAGTGCACACAATACTTGGCACACCTTCAAGCCTCTATTTTATGCTTAATGCCAGGTGTCATTTGCCTCCTTTTTAATTCGTCCTTGCATATTTTAATTGTGAATTACTTTGTGAGCCACGTCGATTTGTTTAAGTGTGCCTAACACCCCGGTGACCACCTGTGCTCACTGTGCGTATTAATAGGCACTGGTAGATCGATAAACTCTTAAAACGCACACACACACAGACACACTTATACATTGTGCAGGCAAGCTCTCTGCAATCGTGCTTTACTGTGCCTTGGTGTCTAATCACCAGAACCAATCACGACTTCCTGCACACCCACACACACACACACAAAAACTCGACCACTTGCTTGGAGACGTATTTGTCCTGTGTCCTTAATTTGAGAACGCGGCAGTTGATTGGTTATGATTGTTGAGTAGAGCGCTGTATGCCACGCTCAATCAGCTGACTAGGTGACAATCAAATTCCTCCTCATCCAATGTTTTTTTGCGTGTCGAGTTGTTTTAGTCAGAGCACACAACGGCGCGCAACTTAAACCAGAGAGAGAGAGCGTGTTACGACTCGTGCCTGATTCCGGGGTCAAGCTGGTTTGTGCAGTTGATGCATCTTTTTTGCACACCCACACAAGCACCGCACCTAACCTAAGCGGTCTTGCATGCGTGGTGCAAACACCTGCCTCCAAAGAGCTAGTATGACCTGTGTCGGTGGATAATGAGGTTTAACTTGTGCCTGTCCACACGTTCCGGAAACCGAAGCACTTCAAACCACAAAAGTGGGCCGCGATGTTAATTCGAACTTGCCACAATAAACTCTTAAATAATGTTTAAACAAACGACCTTTACGGCTTCACACAGAGCCGCGTCCAATCTCAGATGGTGTCTCATTCAGATTGGTTAACTCAAAGTTAAAACTGAATATACCTCCAATGTTATTAGGTAATTCAATTGCTTAAACGCATTACCAAGCAATACAACTGCAGTACTTCAGCCTGCATCAGTTGTTGTGCTGGAGTAACGTGAATTTTCTTGACCTTTGGTCTGTGCCAGTTAGATACGACACACGAAACCAGAGCATTCGTTGGTGGTTAGAATGCTGGCTCTCGATAACTGCATAAAAACCAACCAGAATGCGAGCGCGTGTTGTTGTTCGGTTCAAACAAACACAACCGCCAGGCAGTTTTAAAGGCGGGATTTCCACTGGTCTTACAAACAACGCCCTTTGCAACGCAGTAAACACATGTTTTCAAATGTTACAAGAAGGGCTTACCAATAAAGACAACTTTTGTTCGTTCTTTAGTGCGCCTTTCCAATCCGAATAAAGAGATTGGCCACAATTTACTCAAAAGCTGCGTTAAACGCATCTGGAATCATGTCTTTAGCAGTGAGAGATGAAGAAAATTAGTTTTTGTGTGAAAATTTTGGCTATGCCACGGATTTGCTCTCATGTGTGGCGGTTGGATGCAATCACATTGTGGTGGCATTTTGGCTTCAATGATTTGTGTGCGCATCAGTAGTTGTGACGAAGTCTGTGTCTGTCTTTAATATAATAAAACGGTTTGATTTGGCAAGTCTTTTTAGTTAAAACTACAAGACTAGATGATTTCGAAAACGTCTTCAGCCAAGTTTTGTGTTCTACGCAAGCCAAATGACCTTTACTATCATTTTTCCCTGAATGAGGGACCCACTTATTGATCTTCCGTAAACGCGTTTTTGTGCTACGGTGGTCAGACTAATGCACTGGTGGTTGCCAGGTTATAAATAGGCTAACGATTAAAAAAAGTGTCATTCACACTCACACAAGCGCTAATTGGGGTGGCATTTGTGTGACGAGCTCACAGATAAGCTGAATTTTTCTCTGCCTTGCAAATACTCGCCAATACTGGGTCTATTTAGACGCCTTGTGTACTTTTGCAGTGTTGATACAGGGCATAAAATTCGTGGTTTAAAATGCTGTGCCACAGCACCACACTGCGCGGAGTGCTAGCAGCTATGCGATTATGCTAACTGTGCACATTCCACCAATAAAAGCCGATCTGAGTTATTTTATTCTACTCCATTTGTTTGAGTTTCTGTGGCATTAGATGTCAGGTGGGAGACGGGGTCAAGGTCAGTGTTTAGGTTGCAATGTGACCTTCGCTTGGCCTCGACAACGCGAATGCTGGCTAATAATCACGCGGTGTGCAGCAGCCTGTCAATAACACTACCCCCACTAACTTATTGATTTGCTCCCTGCCTGGTAGGCGTGCAGTGGACTTCCAATAGCACAGCCGTTGGCTTAGTAATCCGCCCACGAAACCGACGCGTAAGATGATGGTTTATGTCGCAGACTGATGTATTTACTACAGGTGCAAATCCCGCACGTTCAAAGTCACACAATAAATAGCACGTTTTTTTAAACGAATTAGTCAGATCTACGGCCGGTGTGGTTGAATGCCATCAGCCCTTTTAAAAAAAATGGTTCCTTTAATGAAAATTAAATTCAAATCTTCACGATTTTACCTCCTTTGTTCTAAATATGGTTCGCCATCGTTGTCTGTTTCAAGAATTAGACTTTGTACTGTCTCTGTTTGTTTGCTCTTCATGTTGGTGTTTTTCACGAATGTGTTAAAAATGGTCTTCAGAATCCTGGCATATCTGAGAGGACACCAGTTATACGTGGCTAGCTTTACACCGATTCTCATCTCCTTACTCGACAAAAAGCTACCCAAAACTGACAAGTCATCATTATCTATTTGTGTGCAACATTTACCATAAACTAAGACTGAGTCATCACCCGTAGATGGCATTACATGGCTTGACGGCGTTTAAGGTACCTCTCGTTTTGATGCCGACTAGTATTTCATACTCGAATCTCACCGCCTCTTGTTTTCACCCAAAGACACAATTTGTGTGTAACCGCACAATGCTACCATCTTTTGAACCATGAACACTGACGTTTCAGCGTATTTTCAAGTACTGTGAATAGCAGAGTTGGGAAATACTGCCCGATTTTTCAGCTAGGACAACATTTATTCCCCTGGAAAGTGACATTTACTCTGCTGAACTGCTGGAAGATTCGGTCGAATGCTCCTCGATGTCATCTTGAAGGGGTAGTTGATTTTCGAGCCTGATGATCGGTCTGCTCAAATTGTTGTCGGTTTGGGAAATAGCCTTTTTGCCATTACCGCCAAAAAAAAATTTCATTGGTCAGAAAGATGCAATGGGCATTTTTGGCCCACACTGTAATTGGTTGATGATGTCACAATGACGTGATTCTCCCTATTTCCTTGCAGATCGATTAACAAGGTGTAATACACAAACATTATGTTATGTAATAGGCTTTTTCTGACTGCCTTTATCTAAGTACGGGACATTGTAAGGGTCATTTTAAGGTGCAAGATGAAGCACTTTAGTTGTTGTTTTAATTCCGCACAGTTTTTGTAACAGCTTGTTTTAAACAACGGGAAATGCTGGCAACCGGAGTTTTCAATTAGTGTTCAGCACATTCTGTTTGATGCCACTCAACTGAACACCAAGTTTTTAATTATTATTGAAAGCACAATATTTACGCAAGATTGGACAGTAGCTAAAATGTTTTTTTTGAAAAAAAAAGAAGCATACACTGACAAAGATCTCCATTTTGTATTAATTTTTACCCAAATTGCAACCCCGTATACATCGTAAAACCAGATCATTGGCTGATTGGTCCTCTTCTACTCGAAGTAATTTGTCGGTGACCTTGTAAGCTAGAGTGATCATTGGTGGCGCAATCACGTGTAACGTGGCACTCACTTGCGTCATCCTTGTCTTCAATTTTGGCCCAATTGCACACAACGCAACCAAATTTGTTTTAACGAGCGCACACACACGCGCGCTGTGGTAACAGAGGCCTAACAGATCGAAAATAATCAGCCCTGACGCAACCAATGTTAGTCCTGTGATAAACTTAATCAAATTAAAACACAAGCGCGATTCTTCCATTTTTGCATGGTCTGTTCATAGCCCATGACTCAATTTGCTAAAAAAATGCAATCTTTTCTATGTAGGATTAAAAAAAGACGACTTAAAACAGGCGCGAAAACACACTACTTTGAATGAGTCGCGTTTTATTAACGTCTTATTGGGGTTGTGCATCGATTTATCGATTTTTACTTAAATTTGCATCACTGAGATGCATCAAATTGGAAAATTTGCTGTGCAAAACAAAAAACCCTTAGTCTCGCTTTAAATTATTGATTTTGACGGATACAAAAGGATACTTGGTTGATTGATCCCTTTACGGATTTAAAGTAACCAATAAAATCCAAAATCAGGTGGCGTTTGGTCAATATAAGCGGTGTTTTTTGAAGCAAATGCTCAGAAATATGTCAAATAAGTAGCTCTCGTGCAAACATGTCTGTCATTGGAGCTGCAATGTGCTTCGGCTTAATTTGAGTAGCCCGCGTCGTCGTTAATTGAGTTCCCGAGGTTTCATAATCCGTCTAGCCAATAACACGGCCTTCCCTCGTAGTATATAAACACGTGCTTGACTTCTGTCGCAACCTTCGTTATTCAATCTGTGAGTTTGCATCGGTGTTATAATGGAACACAAATTCTTGTTTAATTTCTGATGTCACCATCAAACTCAACTTGTTTTTTTCCCTCTAAATTTACCAACATTACCACTCAAGATCCATGGTAGTCGGCTTAGGAGTTACCTTCACCTGAATGTCTTCACTCTACTTGCTAATCAATTCCGTTTGTTCACGTCCTCGTGGACATATCAAAAAGTCATTTGTGCGCGATGACAATTCAGTTTTTTCTGCACGATCAAGTGGCTCAGTTACTGTAAAAAAACTTTATCATTGTGCAATAATTTTGTTTTTATCTGGGTCTTTCAAATTGCAAATTCTCTACTTCATTTTCTCACTGAAACACGGGTGCTTTTGTGCCCAACGACGATCCAATCGGGTTCACGCTCATGCATCGATTGGCTAAAAGCCAATATCATCATCATCACCATCGTCGGTAGCAAGATAATTCTTTTAATAGGGGTTATCTTTACCTAAAAATAAGCAAAATATATATCACATTTAGTTAAATAACGCGCACCACCCTTGTATGCAAATAAGACATTTCTTAAATTTGAAAGAAAAATGTGACTTGGCAAATAAAGCGGTCGATCATTTATTCCTCGTATCCCAGAAAAAAGAATAATTTAAATAGCCAGGCAGAACACATATGGTCCTGTTACTTACAAGGGCCTTAGCAACGCGCATTGACTGTCTCAAACAAAGGCGTTCACCTCGCTGTGTTGCTATGTCGACCAAATAGCACTCTCGGCCTTCCTCGGAAGCCCACATAACTTTTGCAAACAATGGTTAAGGTTAAAACAGCGCAGAGGGCTTGGTAATTTATTTCTAACAAGCACCATTGTTGTCAAGCCTCAAATGCACCCCCTTCCTCCCCCGACAATTTGTGTGCAATCGTTGTAGGTGGATTTCTGATGGAGAACGCCAAACACGAAGATGAGGGCAGCGGCATGTTCGACCTCAACGCCCAAACATCTCCTACCAGTTATCGCGCACCTCGACTCTCCCGTCTCGCGCCTAACGACTTTCCGGAGAGTGAGGACCTCCACGCGGCCTTCGGTAGCCTTGACAACCCAGAGGATCCGTCACAGGCGCAACACTGCTTCATTAGACCTGTGGATCGTCAGCCGCCAAGGCTGGAAGAGTTTGACGAGGACAACGGCTTCGACAGCGGCTTCGGCTCGCTTCAGCTCACACCCAGTGAGATCAACTCTGACTCCGTCTGTGAGAGCCTGTCGCCTCGTGCGACCCCTTTTTGGAGACAAGGGAGGGACGAGTATTTCAACGTGAATCTCCCCCTTAGCGAGCCTTCACCAAACCTTCCAGTCAAGGAGGAATTCTACAGGCACTCAGTGACACCAAGCAACCAACTCCTGGAACTCAAGCGCTATCGTACTTTGGAATACGCTTCAAAACTTTGCACACCACCGCCGCCACAATTGTCGAAAAATATGCAAGGTTGGTTTAATGCATTTGGTGAACACGGATTTGCCACTGTTTATGAGGTGTAACCGTCGGTTAGCAATCAAGCTGCACATCCGTTTAGCACCCATACTTTCTTTTGTTAATATCCAATCCCTGTCAGAATAAGACCAACACAACACCTAACAATCTGACCAATCAGAGAATCGGACTTTATCTGTTGTCGATTTCTCGCCTTGATTAATCGATGAAATTTTGAAATTTAGACGGCTTGTATTGGGGCGACAGCTATAACGGACGACTGGTTTTACACGATTGTGACAACGGCGGCGATGTCGTCAGTCCATCAGTTCCTTACGTAGGTACGAAGGACCCATTTGTAGGTCCGTTCTTTCGCGCCAACTCCATGTCCGCATCACCTCCGCCGCCACCACCACCAGCACGCTCGCCATCTTCATCTCCGGTCTCTCACCGAATTCTTAATAAACGTGTCGCTCAGCGAGAGGCCAACGACTTCCTCTCCTCTTCCGACGCTGGCGGTCACTTTGACGAACGCTACGTTGATGATGATGACGATGAGGATGATAACGATGATGATTATGATGATCGATTTGGCCTCGATGCGCGCTACGAGGAGGGAGGATTTGCGTCGTCGACGAGGCTAAGTCACCGACAAGGTGGACACCGAGTGAATCAGGGGTATTCGGTGCGTCGCGGTCACAGCAACTCCCTGCCCGGAGCCAATCAGCGTCGACCACGTGGCAACACGGCACCGGCCACGGTGGAACGCCCTCGCAAGACTTGTGCCCCACGCAACGGTGGACGCAAGCACAACCTCCTCAATTTCATTCTCGAATTACTCACCACGCGACAGAACTGTGTCGAGTGGGTAGACAAGCCCAAGCAGGTCTTTCAGATTGTGAACCCAGAACAGCTGACCAGACTCTGGGGTGAACACAAGAACAACTTCAAAATGAGCTTCGATTCGCTCTCACGAAGCCTCAGGTATGCAAGTCACGCTAATTGGAACGTAGGGTTCCTCAATCCGTAAACTCACCTAGGTCTTTAGTTGTGCAATCTTCGGGCCTTTAAACTGCAGAATTTGTTGACGTGCAGGCGCCGTCAATTTCAAGACACACGCTGAAAGCGTGTGTGATTTTACAAGGCGAGCCTATTCTCACGAATGGCCCTCACCTCGCGTGCTGTAACGAGGAGTATGTGCACAGGCCCTGATACCACAGCCCACGTATTGTTGTTTTCGCGTGAGACGCTGAGCGCGCACACAAAACCTTAGACAACCGTATAATACGAATAAGGCGGCACATCCTCACCGTACTCTAGTGTGCAAGGGTAAATCGAGGAGGAAAATGCAAGCTTGCAGGTTTTTTTAGCTTTTTTTTAATCGTGTAATTATGTCCAACTGCAGTGTGGCCACGTTAGCTATTGGTCCAGTTCAAATAGCGCGCTCCTGCGAATCTGGCGTTCCTATTGGTCGAGCAACTCGTAACAATCTAGCGTGATGATTTCAGGCTCTATTACAAGCCCGGAAAGCTGGAAAGGATACCAGGCACGCGGCATCAATACCGACTTATACATCGGCCCACTGACCCCCGAGAACTGCTCCACGACACCCCCTTTCCAGTGAACAGTCAAGGTTGTGGCTCTGAGCACCGCCGTTCCACCAATCCTGGTTGCCAAATGGCGCCCTACAAGCACTCGCTGCCGCAAAAGCCTTTCCTCTGAGCAATATTCCCCCCCCCTGCGAATCCGTCTCCTGCTGTACAGACGTGTTTCGTTTGCGCTTGACTGTGTGTTGCCCTCACTTTTTCTCAATGTCACCCCTTCACCCGCTGATACTCTTTTCAACACCCACAAGCAGCCGTGTGATACGTATTTTATGATTCTATTTTTGACACTCCAACACAACACCACTTGTATTCAGCGAGTAGCAAACTTTTATAAATACTGTACATACCAAGTGGAAATTATGTTTTTTGGTTGTGCCCGGGCCTCAGACTTAAACTTGATTGGTCGATTCGGCCTCCCGGCAAATCCTATTGGATGTCTTGCTCCAAGGTCAGGGCTACTTGCGTCTCAACTCTGTTGGACAAAAGATCAAATCGATCAGTGTGATCCTTGGTAAACGCATACAGTCATTTTTAGTGGAAATTCGGTCATTAAAAGGCCAATTAATATGTGAAAGTAACCAAAATGCAATAATATTCGCTGTAGCTAACGGCCACGTGGATCGTGAGAAGGCGACATGCCAAGGTAAACAATCGTTTGTTCAGCCATTAAACACCATTGGTCGGTGTGTGCTGACGCGTGGCCGTTGTCACAAGGGGCTCGTGTCCAATGACCAATGGAAGGCCGAGGTGACTGACACGTACCAATCAGCTTTCTGGCAGGAATATCACTCATCCACCTCCACAAACTATCCACCGCGGTAAATCATCTACATTTTACAATTTTAACAGGCCTGTGCTAAATTTACGATAACCCGTAGAGAATCGCGGCATTCCATTGGAGAATTTGCTAATTTAATTAAGACGAATCTCGTAGTCGAGATTTACCCGAATTCAGATATTACCTTTAGAAATCAGATCAATTGCAGAACATGGAATTGGTTTACATGCATCGCTCTTCGTTTTTCGACCCCTAACAACAACTTGGGTAATTGAAAATGGAACAACAAAGGCAAGTAATTAATAAGAATGGAAATATCCCTTGTAGGCATCTGACTTTATTTATCCACACAAATTCAGATTATTTACGGAACCATCAAATAGGAAAAAACGCAAGTTTGGAAGCTTGGTTTGTGTGGCATGTGAGAAATTTAGCTATGCCAATGAATCTAATCACATGGTCCTATGCCGACTTGTCGCCATCGATTATAATGACTACTTTCTATTGGTTACTATTATCGATTGGCTGTAATGCACGCGCACCCACACTCACACAAAGCCACTGTGGCTTGCCTTCTTTCTATTTTTGGGCTCCACCTAGTTGTTAATTAGAGAGTTGTAGGGTAGCGTTAACTAAGACGAGATAAGGTCAAAAAATACGTCAAAATACTGCCTAATAGAATCAAGTGACACTGCAAATAGAGTGTTCCGCGTTTTCAGGGATATGGACATATTGAAATGTATTTGAGTGTCCGAAAACTATGATACGACATATTCCGGAATCTTTTGATGAGATTGAAATATCCAAAACAATGCGTGAGTGGTGTGCCGCGTGTAGTTTAAGCGCACAATTAATTTTAAACGAATCATTTCGATTTTGTGAGTGATACCAACTTGTTTTTGATTGGCGATACAAGAAACCAACTGCAATCGGCCAGTTAAAAGAGCCATTGCAAGGCGGTAAGTTATCAAATGTGCCATAACTTCCATTACAAATTAAATCCTAGGTCACATTGCGAATTGCCCAGTTTTCTGACAATTATTACAGGATCATTGTGATCTACTCGATTGCGACATGTTGTGAGATCAAAACTACGCCGTCTTTCTTGTTTAAATCGCACATCCAAGGTCAAGTGCCCCCGAAATGGGACAGCTCGGAGCCTATTGGTTTACAATAAATTCACACGAGTACTGAGTTGTCGAGAATAGTACTTTCACAAAACCGTGAAAGAGAGACAAATTACCGGTTACCGGACACTTTACTTTCAAATAATAACGGAAAATTTTAACTGCTCAAATCCCTTGTATGGCCGAGATATCGGTGGAACATCTCGTTCACACCATAAATGAAGCATTAACATCGCTCCACATCATTTCGATAATTATGAGTACCACATGCCTAATATATGAAGCATGAATAACAGACTTTTTTATTTACCTAAGTGGCCTTTTTAACTCTGTAAACAGCCGATTTTTCTTAGAATAAGAAGTGTGAGATAATTAGATTTGAAATACGGTTGCTAACAGGAGGGCATCACAAAATAAAAATCGATTGGCCTGACAGCTAACAAAACAAGGTGACATAACCAATCACAGGTTGAGTTCATTAGCCAATTAATTTGGAGCACAATCAGCTTATGACCAATAAAAACGATTTTCATGTGCAATTTTAGCCTAGATCTCTCATAAGTAGGATTTATCACAGAAAAAGACGAAATTTTTTCCAATGCAATAAAACACAGACCTACATTGAAATCCTAGCTACTGAAGTTTGACAGATGTGATCTCGTGTAAATAAACCTATATCGATTCTGAGAAAATTTAATTTCATTAGATTGAAATTGTTTTCGAAAATAATTTATAAGGAGAGGTACGTCAAAGGTTTGGATTCAAATAAATTCCAAGCATGAAGTAGTATGAAAACAAATACCACGTTCATCTTAATTAATCATAATTACATTGAGTAGCTCAACAGTTTGAGGAAATGCATCCATATGAGTTAGGTTAGAACTGAACACGTGAGTTACTGCGTCACACCATCTCTATCACCGTTTTATCGGGCATGGTTTCACGTTTAAATTAGTGTTTTTTTTCTGGAACGTGATTTTGCAACTTCTTTTCGATGGAACATAGTTGCTACTTACAAAAGTAAGTAGCATCAAACGCTGCATAAATCACTGCACGCGTGTACACGTCCTACTCGTGCCAGTTTAAGTAGGATGTGTTAGATAATTCAGACGCAAGCCCCAAACGTGTGGGAAATAAAACGGTTCAGCATTCAAACCTGACGATTATTAACCCAGGTTTCAACAGCAGTTACACAAATCAATATTTTCTCCAGTGGATTTAGATGTGGGGCCTAATATGGATTGACGTTTTCTTCGGGCATAAAATTATACTTCTTGTGTTCTTTTATAATTTTGAAAGGATCGAACACGAAATTTTAGAACAGATCGCCTCTCAGAATAGCAGAGTTTTCGATGGCAACAGGCATTGAGCGTATTCGAACTCCAACAAGAAAAAAAAGACTAAAGCATGGGAATCAATTTTTAATGTTCTTGGTGCCGGCACTGTCTTAGGAAACGCTTTAGAAGTGGTGATTTTAATCTTGGTGACCAGCTACTTCCCAGGCAGCCTTGAAAGTTCGAAAATGCAAAATTGAACGCGGTACAGAATGAGAACCAAACTCAAACACAACAAGAGCTTACAGCAGCCCAGTTAGAAGTCATGAAAACAGTTAATTGCGAGAGTTTGCACGAAATTGGAAAAGCCGAAAACTTGGACGCTGTCCCCACATGAGTTGGCCGAATACTTCTTAGGTTGGCGAATGAACTACTTGTGGACAATTGTGACGGGTGAGGAATAGTAGGTTCTATGTAAGAATCCCAAACCTAGGAAAGGTGTCGTGAGTAGACCCTAGGCAAACCAGTACATCGACGCCGAAAAGAAGGGTGGAGGTGATTACGAACTCCTGGAAACTGGTCGTCCAAAACTTCAAAACGCTAGATGTGTGTGAAATTTCTGGTGAAATTATTGCCTCGAAGCTTGTAAGTATGCTTTGCGAGGAAATCCACACGTAGCCTGAGGTTTGGCGAGAGCTAACAGAATTTTTTTTTCAGAATTAAATAAATGTTTAAAAATCTGTGCACATTTTAGCGTCAAATCGTATTTCGTGCTAGTCGTTTGAATCTAGACACAATCGTGTCAATGTGGGTTTTTAGGTCAGCAAATGACACATTCGCTGGTGCTAAAAAAGATGAGAAAACAGCTGCGAAGCGTGAAATCTCGGCTGATTACAACCATTCGCTGTCACCCAGCGGAGCAGATGTTATGAAAGTGGTGGTGTCGGCCCAGAAAAAAAATCAAACCTGGTTCGGTTTTGACCAATAATAGCGGAATGTGTTACTGATTAAACACAAAGTAAAATGTCTGCGAGTAATTAGTACACCCTCTACACTAAAAATAATAAGCCATGTTTCACAAAAAAACAGAAACTAATCACCTGCCCACCCATCAATCCGATCTGCACTAATGGCAGCATGATCGACAATTGCAGTGAACACAAAAATCGCCCCCCCCCCACATCACACTAACAGGATTACCACAAGGTCAGCTAACTTTGCCTTCCATCTGCGAGAACAAGCCACTAAACTGGGCAAGGGTAGAATGATGAGTGCCTCAAGTGAGGCACTACCAACTTTATTGCGTGCAACAAAAACCAAGTTGTCTAGCCAACGTGTGTTTAATCGGTATGACAGAGAAAGAGGACGAAGAAGAGAAAAGTGAGGTGGTAGGAAGATGGTAAACGCGACCAACATTGGGAGGGAGGGGGGCAGTGTTTGCGCAGACATACGCACACAGAGCGATGGCAGAGAAGGGAGCACGTGAGAGAGAGAGAGGAAAGAGGTAGATGATGGCGGTGGTGATGGTTAGGGTAATGGCGTAGCGACGGTCCTAGGGCCGTGAGGCCGCAGCAGCTTCGGCTTGAGCGGTGGGGTTGGAGACGGTGGAGACAGACGGCGGAGGCTGATTCTCCTGACAACGCATAACCTCCGGCAACTCAGGGGGGTTCGAATAAGGCGTAATATCAAGAGCCTCAAACTGCTCGGTGTCTAAAGAGGTACGACCAAAAATGTGCAATTTATTACTATCGATTAGAAATCACAAGAAGTAGGCGATTTTTCTCACCAGGATCACGAAGGCACAGTCCAAGAGTGGCAGGACTGTGTGCGCGAGCAGTTTGATCAGTGAGGCCATAATGAGCGAGCGGTTTATGATCGTACATAGCTGTGGACTGGAAAAGTAGAAGTTGGTCCTCGGGAGGAACTTTGAGAATTCCTTCAATCATTTGTTTGACTTCCAAAACTTCAGCATTTTCCTTAAGGCTCAGAAAAATGGTGGTCTTCTTGCGGCGAACAGCCAGGAAGACGTCCTGTAAATGTTATACGGGATGATATCTTAAAAGGGCTTTATATAATTAGAAGAGACTTAGTGAATAAATCATTAGTGTTAAGTATATTACACAAAGATCAGAGTAGTATAATTACAGGGCCAACCAACTTCCACGTTGAGGTTATATAAAAACAGCAACAACATCACAAGAATTAATTAGGAATTAGTTTTGGACATAAATTCAATTCAGCGAACGTGAAAGAAGAAAACCAAGACTAGGGCTAAAACTAACTTCTATGATATACGACTGCCTGTTTTAAAGAGTTACACGAAAAAATCTGTACTGGACATAAGAAAAGCCAAGAGATTGCTCTGCCTTTTGAGACTTAGAAGCATGAATTTACATGGGTTCGGTAGTTATAATGATGGATGACAAAATTGAAACGCTTGAACAATAATTGTAATTTCAACCGGCAACAAGTATTCACAGCAAACCGATAACGGCTCAGCAAAAAAATGAGGGAATAACTGATCATAATGAGTACAAAATCCGTACCATCTCTCGAAATTACCACCAATAAGCCGGGACAACGAAGTCGGGCGGACCGCGACTGGCAATGTGTATAAACAACAGATTGCAACTTTTTTTATTGAAAGGTGATGCAGCACACTTATAGGAGACGTTAAAAAAAGATCCATATAATAATTAACATTTGTGAGAAAAGTCACGTGTTCATATTTACATCTTTTCTGCTTCCAAAATTCGATCAAATAAGAATGCTAAATGGAAACGACCTGTCTGTTTATGGCAAAATCAACTTAAATAAAATTTGCAGAAAAGTATAATTTGCAAAATATTTGCTAGTAAGTTGATTATAGCATAACTAATTTACATTAACTATGAATATGTATTTCAGCAACATTATTTTTATTGCGCGAGCATTAGTAGGATCTAGGAAGATAGACATATTATTCATGTACCGTAGGAGGGACATGATCCCGACAGACACACAGAGCATAACACGGAGGAAGACTGAAAACTCCGAAAATGGTTTATTCCCTGAATAGAATGGCGAATAGAAGGGCGAGAGAGCCGACTTGTTGATGCGTTCCGAGAGAAAAGTTAAATCTATGTTCTAGCTCTTGGGCACGACTAAAAGAGTAAGAATATGGAAAAAGTTGACTAGGCATGATTGTTGATTAATGGCATGTCAGGTAGCGTGCGTGACACATTTTTGATATAATTTTTATAGACAGCTTACTTTCAAAGTTGACGTCTGAAACACCTTAGTCTGTCATTCATCCTTTCGTTTAAGCTATTAGTTTTTGGTTTTTGATAGTGTTATCGCACAAGCGCATTGTTTTAAGTCTAAGTGCTAATTATTTACCAATTTGTAACTAAATGCAATAATAGTAAATTAAATGGAAAAGGAAGACTAAATCGAAAAGGCGCTTAGACATATTGCTTTCTACTACGTGAAGTTCATTGGCTAATTAACGAAGGCTCCTCATTTTGGGGCAGTCTCTCACTTGTTTCACACTTTTTTTGCTGCAGCAGAATGACATATTAAATGCATTTCAACTTTAATAAACTTTAGTGAATCAGTAAAAAATTCCGATGGCTAAATTATTAAATTCACTATTAAATTTGCTCAAGAAATTATTCATTGCCCTATCTGAACTGATCAGATGACGGTACTACTCGAAACATTAAAGCATAATGCTTGTGAAACTTGAAATTTTTTTATGCTGTTCAAAGTGTAAGTCTGCAGATTAAATGCATGTATTTCACCAAGAATGTACTTAGTGCCAGATAGATAGCAACTAATAAGCATAGCTGACAATACTTGAACATAAAGATGAGGCAGGGTCGAATTAGGAAAAAATTTGCTATATTTAATTTGTCATGTTCACAATATCGTGCTAACGACTTTATCTTCACAGACAACGACACTCCAGAGCTTCGTCTTACACAGGTTCTTCTTTTGGTTTAGATCATTCAGTTCATCGGTCCAAGGGTCAACTGGTGACCCCTAATAACTCAACTCTCAACTTAGACTTGATTTCAGTAACCGGTAAATGTAGTACTAAGGGCATTGAAGTTGCAACCGCAGCCAACAGCAAAACGAAAGTCACAAGGAGGGAAAGAGACCGGACACGAGGCCGTTAGTTAAAGCTTAACCAAGTCTTCGTGTGGCGTTCGCACGCCTGAGTTGATACCTCAGAGGTATAAAACAGTGTGTCTTAAATGTGCCAACACCGAGGTTTAATGGAGCATTTTGTCACACGTAGTGATAATCCACGATAAACATCGGGGCTAATAAGGTGAGTTGAGGTTAACAAATGACTGACTGATCGATGGAACTACAACCCCAAAATCAGATACAACAAGAATCCACACATATCTAAGCTTGTGTATTTTGTTCTCGTGCCCACTCGTCTCATCAATAGATGTAATTTAGTCAATCGATTTTCGATCAACCAATACCAGCGGGCACAGAAGAGAGAAGACAGGAAATAAAAGCCAGCAGGCACATCGGTTAACGTGATTCAGATGATCTGCGATCTAGTCAATGGGGAGTAAGTTCTAGGGAAGCACGAAGTGGTCAAAATCCGTCACTTGTTCTGCCTCGCGTACTTCCGATTATCCTTGCGGGACATCTTCACGGGATTTCGACAACCCCGTCCGCCCTCCCAGTGACTAGAGTGGCTTCCCGTCAGGTCCTTGTGGCAGGCGATGCAGGACTTCTGCGAAGCCACGAACGCCTGCTCCTTGGAGCAGAAGCCGCATATCATGCGCGTTGCGTAGAGAGTTTCATGGACGCCAGCTGTTTCCGCATCGTGACAGACGTCGCACGGGAAGGCTCGATGACAACACGGGAACCTGGTAAGACGAAATAGGCCTGGGGGGTCAGGAGATCATGGGGAGTTGGTGATTCTTTGGAAAAAAGAAGAGGAAGTAGAGCAGTGTACCTGAGCCAGCGAAAGCTTTTCCGGTAGTGCTTGCAAGCTCCGTTATTTGGTAGAGGAGTGCCTTTCTGAAGCACGAAGGGCACGTTAGAGGCAACTGCGGTCTTTGGCCGTCCATCTTTTTGTGTCTTCGATGTTTGACCGATTGATAGGCCAGCAAATCGTCTGCCTATAAACCAACCAATAGAAAATCAGATCGAATGAGCTCATGGTCACAGGAATGAGTACAAAGTGCTGGGGAAAATAGCACAATCGATAACGTTATTCGGACATGTCAGTAAAGGCTCTGTGCACACACACACACACACACACGTAAAGCGAACTCACTGATTGAGGGAGCTGGCAGCTGTTTGGAGATCGTAATATCTGTGAAAAGTATTCCACAGAGAGAATGACAGTTTTGGCAGCGTTTTGTGTTAACGCGGTCCTGTTGTAGGCCCTTAAGGGGGGAAGGGAGAAAAGGAAATGATTACAGTAAAGGAAACGACATTAGCTAATTGTCGGATCAGCCTGCTGCCTCGTAATTGATTGGCTGAACTGGGGATTCATGCTAATCGATCAATAAGTTGAGAATTGAGCTCAACAAAGTAGGGGTTATGCGGCGTCGACAAGACTGCACCACCAGGCCACCGAAGACGCATTTACATTGACGTGAAAGCCCCTTGGGAATTCGGTTACAAAAGAGCGAAATTTCCACGGGTGACATTGTGGAGGTCAATTTAAACGGCGCGGCAATAGTTGCCAAGGCACATTTTAAACAACCTCTAATGTTAAACGGTTCGCCAGCACATTTTCGATCAGCAAGATCGCATTAGTTTCACAAACACCACGGAGACACAAGTAAAGCCCAAGAAAGCGCGAGACTTAATGCGGTTGCATGGAGTTAAGCGGACTTGAGCCTTACCGTTGTTTTCACATCGGAGCTGCAGTTAGTGCAGTGTATCATCGCGTCGGCTGGCCTAATTTGCACATCGGATAAGACGCAATTGGCCAATTCAAAGGTGCCAATCAACGGCGAGAACCCGTGAACCAGAGACGCCTCAAACTCCAGCCCTATTGGTTGCTTGCAACGTGGACATGCTGTAGTGTAGGGCGGAGTTGACTTGAAAATCGCCTGTTTCCCAATCTGTTGACCGGGAAGTCGGAAGACCCAGTCGAAGACGTATTTGCACCGGGAACACGTACAAGACACCGGGAGACGCACAAACAAACAGGTGCCAGCCTGACCACGAAAATCCAAGCCCTCAAAGGTCACTTCTTGTTTAACAACAGTCGCAGAAGACACAGAACCCGATGCCACGCCTCCTCCAGCCTCCGTTTCGCTCTCATCGTCGCTCGTGGCTTCGAGGTTTAGCAAATCAGGTGTGTTGTTGTGGGGGCACATGCGATTGGTGGAGGCGTCGTCATCATCATCCTCATCGTCGGACGAGGATTCGCTGGAGGAACTACTTGTGCCGTTCAGACATGGGCTAAAAGTCTCGGAAATGGGAAAGAGACGTTCACCGTCAAGCTCCTGAGTGTCGTTTTCAGATACCTAGAGGAAAACAAGAAGAGTGGACGGTAAAACGCAAGACGGAGGTTAGCAAGAAGAATAGCTTACGCATAATCCGAACCTACTAGACTGTATCCCGCTGTTAGGAGTTCATTCAGTTTCTTGTCCAACCAAAACAGGAAGGCACGCAGGAATAGCGCCACCTTATTGGCCGATTCGTTGGCCACTTGACGCTCGTTAACCCACGTGTCTATTGCCTCATTTAGATGGCTAAAAAGAACGCAACGCAACAAGTAAGAATACATAGAGGAGCGTGAAATGAGAAAAGAAATTTCAGAGGTCCCAAAAGACATGGCAAGGGTGGATGAACGCACAGCTTACTTTGTAACAGCACTTGGAAGGTCGGAGGTGCGCGGAACTTTTAAAACCGGTCGAGAAAGTGGGTAGTCAGGGGGGAGGGTGATGTTAATTATGATGCTTTTGATTTCATGAGACTACAAAACAGACAGAAAGGTAATGGAGAAGTAGCGCAAAGTCACGATGAGCTGACGACTCAGCTTACCCAATCGGGATCAGAGGATGAGAACATGAGAGAGAAGGACTCAACATCCTCCGTGCCCGAGATGTGCTTCAATTTGGTGGGGGGGAATCGCTTCAGGAGTCTATCGACCTCCAGCTCCCGCATCTTCTCCAAGTCTCCCGGCTGCAGCGCATCGACGTAGGCCTGCTCCAATCGGGCTGTTGGTCGAGGAACCACAGCTCTGGAGGTGGGTTGCTGTGCGGGACTGAGAGGGGCAGGCCGGGAACGACTCGCAGGGCGGTGACTCGGCAGTTGGAGCTGCTGATGCTGCCGGTACAACTGACGCTGCTGGCGATACTCGGCAAGAGTAAGCCTATTGGCAAACTCACCGCCGTTGGTTAGATCGTCAACCTGGTGGGAATAAGCGCACATTTCCCCGTAGCTGCATTGGCCATTAAGGAAGAAACGACAGATCTTCTGAACTGGCTGACCATCTTCGGTCGCAAGCGCGGAGTTCTCGGGATCGTGCCAGAAGTGGCAGTGCACACCGTATGGACACCAGCCGTCAGCTGTGAAGGAGCGGCAACGCTGGGTTGGGTGGTAAAACGCACACGAGTCGCCATTAAGACACGACCCGGCTTGGTAAAAATGGCAAGTTGGGGGACGACTCATTTCATCGAAGAGCCTAAAACAACGTTGATTGTACTGGTTAGGCTACAACATCGAAGGTCTAGCCACTAACGATCGACGATCAAATTCCTACTAGTATTCCCATTATCGAATTTGAAGTAAAATTTGCCTGATTTATCATGAACAGGCCGAGTCTAGGGAATGAATGCTCACGGTAGTAGATAAATTCAAGTAGAAATGCAATGGCTCTTAGGGTGTATTCACAAGACATCACATGTTTCTAAGCTGGGAAAGAGGCCTTTTAAAAATAACTTTATGAGTAAGTAGAGATGATCAAGATCCGACAGTGGGCATACATGACGCATAAGTTTACGCAAAGCAAATGCAGGTCTGACACTTATTACTGGAGCGAAATCAATTCATCTACCTAGAAAAACTGAAAATTAGGCTTCTAAATGGATAAAGGGGTAAGGTGTCCAAGGCTACGACTTCTAGTCTCGCTACTTCGATTAATCAGAAATGAATCCAAAGTAGAAGCTTTTTAATTGATTTACCACTTTCTACTTAGGATCATTTCAGGAATGAAAATCAAAACAGGGAGAAACGTTTTAAAGGGAGAGAGGCTTAGTGAGTCTAACCGGAAATGTGGCAGCACAAAGAAAGGTGGGAAAAAATACGTATACAAAAATAAACACAAGTGCCACCGGTTCCTTGATTAGGTAAGGGGATAATTCATTTAAGTTATTCCAGGTTTCACCACGATCAAAAAGTAAAAAAGCGAGGAAAAAAGAAGGGCAACAATTTTCAAGATAATTAAGCCTTATTGCGAAATAATAAAATTTCATTTTTACTTCGGTTCAATAATAAGTGTGGGAAAAATTCTGTTAAGGAACCAGAGAAAAATTGCGGTGTGGTGTGGCGTCGGATTGGGGCGCAGACATGTTGGACCACCTGACCTCAGCCAATCCCGTGTCTCTCTGCGATCCAATGGCATGCGGGAAAGGTAGGCAGCGAACCAGAGAAGGACATGGATGAGATGCAGTATATAATGAGCGGCGTGGCCAGCGTGGTGGACTCGGATGGAAGACGCATGACGTGAGGCTCTGGCTTGTGATTGGTCAATAAAGCCTGTTCTGTTGTACCGGTCTTTTACCTATTAGGGCTCGGGTATTCTACAGTGGCGTCGGATCAGGGCGCAGACATATTGGACCACCTGGCCGCAGTAAATCCTGTGTCTCTCTGTGTTCCAATGGCATGCGAGAAAGATAAGCAGCCAACCAGAGAGGGACACGACTGAGGTGCAGTATATAATAAACGGCGTGGCAAGCGTGGTGGACTCGGATGGACGGCGCCTGATTGTGGTTCTGGCTTGGGATTGGTCGATAAAGCCTGTTCTGTTGTACCAGTCTTCTTTTAATTAAACCTCGGGTATTATAAAATTCGTCTTTTAAAGGCACTGTCAACGCCTCTCCACCAGCCAATAAAATACCCGTATTTCAATGAGGATGGTTGTCACACAATAGGACTGGTACAACAGAACAGGCTTTATTGACCAATCACAAGCCAGAGCCACACGTCAGGCGCCTTCCATCCGAGTCCACCACGCTGGCCACGCCGCTCATTGTATACTGCACCTCAGTCGTGTCCTTCTTTGGTTGGCCACTTATCGTCCTCGATAACGAATAAACGTTAACCTATGCCAACGCATGATAACTAACGTCACCTTCTTTAAGTGCTTGTGAACTCATTTAATGTATATCGAGAAGTTTTCAATTTGCATCGGCTCTTGAATATATTTAAACTTTAATAGCGTCACCTAGAAAAAAACCAATATGCGCAGGATACAGTAAACATAAAAAAAATTGTTGTGTAACTTTTTTATTGGGACATTTGTGGCATCGTCGTTGACAGAAATGCTTTAAGTTTTACAAAATCATTTTTTTTGTGGGTCTTCTTTGGTGTCTTACTTGCATTTAGTCTGATTTTGATTTATGTAAGCTGCCATGATCTTATTTAACAAAGCTAAATTTCATTTTAAAAATTGGCTGCGAGTTGAATTAGTGCTATATGAAATCGTGTAAAACTCATTTTCTAACCCTAGATGAATATGGAAGGCATGATGTAACCACTTTATTTTACAGAATCACAACTTTCAATGGAACATTTTTTTATATCCTCTACGCAACAAATAATGGAAATTTTTTTACGAACACCTCTAAGTAATTTTGCCAGCTCTTACAAGGTTTTAACTACACTCATTTGCTGAATAAATTTTACTGTTCCTTCTATATACGGCCTTTGCTGATTTTTTAAACGGCGGGCAATATATACAATTACCTTCAACCAATTATTACCGTGATTGTCCTTAGGATCCCAAATGAGTGGCGGGACTATGTTCTCTCATACATTCTGGGGCGACAAAAACTTGGGGTTTGATACTTTAATACAAAATATGAAGCTGGATGTTAAAAATACAAACGAATTCTGTGATTTTCTGCGCGAAATGAATGCGATTGAGGAAAACTATGCAAAGGCCCTTGGCAAACTATCTAAACAGGCGTCTTCTTTCAGTACTGCTGGAAGTTTTAAGCTATGCTGGTCTCTACTTGCTTCGTTTTTTGAAAAGATGGTGTCGCTGCGGAGCGGTTTTGAGTCTGATCGCCTTAACTTATGGAAAGATGTTCAGAAGTATCTAGACGAGCTCCAGAAAAAACAAAGAATCCTTAAGGACAGTGAAGCTACGACACAAGAAGTTGTTCACTCTTTTCAGGTTGCTGTTCTAACTATTAATTGGTGTATATCTATGGGTTTAGCGGTTTGCCCAAGTTGATTTTCAGCATGGTAGCTAATTTCAAGATTTTTATGACCAGAAGTTGCATTTTTTGGTAACATCTGCATAGCGTTTGCCGTGTCAGCTTACATTGCTTCATTTTTATTCGATTCTTTGGCGTATTATCTAGCGTTGTTTTTATTCGATTTTTATTGTGTCGTTTCCTGTAGGTTGCTACGACACATTTGCAGAAAGCCAAAGAACTTTACCACTCCCGCTATAAGGATTACGAACGCGTTCGGCTAAATGAAACCCATTCTACAAGAGACATCGAAAAAGCCGAAACGAAACTCAAGAAGGCACAGGATGAGTACAAATATTCTGTAGAAAAATACAACAATTTGCGAGTCCAGTTTGTAGACAAGATGCGCGTGTCGTGTGACCACTTCGAGGTAAGCGCATTCGTTCAAACTTGTGCAATAATAGTAGCAATAGACATAGTCACATTATTATGCTATTTCATATGTTATTATTAAATTCTTCTGACCAGGTTATCATAGGATCTTAGCGACTGAGTTAAAACTACAAACGAATATGTGCCCCTAATTAGACCAACACAATAACTTGGGAGTTGACACTCTAGGTCATGTCAGCGTCTTTTTTCTTTGTTTTCTGTCGATGGATAATTAATGTGTTCCCTTATAACTCCCTAGCAAATGGAGTACGCGCATTTGGTGCGAATGTGTGAGTTCCTAACGAGGTTAGGTGAGAATGTGAGTAAGGCTCACAGCGCCTTCGTAGTCCTCGCGTCAGATTTCAACCAGCGTCGCGTCACCGAACTCACACCTGACAACCTTCTAATGAGCCTGGTGGCGGAACGCGGCACCGGTAATCAGGAGCCCCTTCCCGCGGAATTCGAGGATGTCGAAGTGGCCGCTGCCTTCCACAACGCCAACGAAGGTGACAGTGACAACGCCCAACTTAAAAGGACACCTTTTGGCAGTACCGCCATGGCCGCCCCGTCCTCCACCCCTGGACCTCTTCATCTAACACTTGGCACAAACAACCTTCGTGCTGCGTCAGCTCTGCCAGGTAAGTTGGAGTTGTACTTTTGTTTCGCCGTCTGTGCGTGTATGTGAGATAGAGTATTTCCCTTCCTGGTAGCTTTCGGACCACTGGGTAGCCAGGAGAGTCCAATGACAAATCACCGTGGCCCACTGGAACCCGGTTGGCAAAGTTCGCTCAGTGAAATCAACGCCTCGCATTCTACCGGCCTCAGCTGGCGAGCCGGCAACATCTTCCAGCGTCGGAATCGTCAAAACTCCTCCGGCCTTGACGTCGACACGGCGAGTGTCAATTCAGCGGGCAGCGGGTTTAATGGCGGCCCTGGTACCTTCGCCCAACGACTCGCTAACGTGCGCAATCGTGCTCGTCTGCCCAGGAAAACTTGTGAGTCGATGACTAGATTGAATTTGTCCAGTCTGTTGCACCAATTTCCTGCTGCAAGTGTCCTGTTATGTTGCTTACTCAGAAGATCGCAGTTTGCGGTGTCATTAACATAAGCTGCGCAGTTTAGTAATTAGACCGCGACATAGCTACTGCACCATTCGCCGACCGCTTGAACCAATCTCGTTGGTTGCTCTAACTGTCTACTGTCCCTTGTTGAAGAGATCGACATAACCTCAATCAAGTCCAGTAGAGATGAACAGACGACCTTCGGCGTGGCGTTATAACTTGTTTGTGAACTACACTTTAGCCAACAGCCCCAGCAATGACACTCTAAAAGCACCTGTCGCGGCCGGTGTTGATGAAGAGGGCTACAACATTCGACCAGAGAATCCCTGGGAGACTGGACGCTCCAAGTCACCATCTTCCAGCTCCGAGGACGGTTCAGATGTCGTCAGTTCCAGTGACAAGACCTTCCGTGGCATTAAGGTTAGACTATGTTGAGTTTGACGGTTCTTAAGGTGGCCCGAGGTGGCAGCCAATGATGGTGATGATGGTTCTCCTCCTTGTTCGAAGGTGAACATCCGGCCACTGGGTGATCTAGCGCCAGCCGTCGCCGCAGCGCCAAACTGCACCGACATTGTTCTCTCGACGCCGATGTCCAGTCGGACGCCCCATGACCGCACGATTACCGGAGGCCGCGGTCTCAGTCTGTCCGTGCGAGACTCCAGACGACCGCACACATCCGTGGACAAGCCCTTCGGCGGAGTTGACGTCGGCCCCACTTGTCGCTCCAACTCCGTCAGCACCAATCCCATCGTGCCTGTTCTCCCGCCCCCGCCCGGACAGGGCACCCTGTCTAATCGTCGCGCCAGACCTCACCCGACAGTGTCTGCGAAAAGTGAGATTTGTTTACTTGGTGTGGGGGTGATTTCGCGCCATCTTCAAGTCGTCCAACCCCCTCTGGTTCGCCTCCTACTCTTTGCCCCTAGCCGACATGGCCGTCTCACAGCGCGACGCAGCACCGTTCAACCCCTTTGGTCTGCCCCACCGAGACGACGATCAATCCACTGCCGACGACAGCGTTGCGTCCGAGTCAACTCCCACGCCCAGACCCGCCTCTCCGGCTGCCGCCGCCGCCACCACCTGGGAGGCTTTCTTTGCGCCATCGGACACCAACGAGACCTACGATCGATTAATTGATCTCCGAGACGACGTGGAGCGCGTAACCGAGGCTCCGGAGACGCCTCTAGTCTCCAAGGTGAGGCTCCGGTTTCTTTTACCGCCTTATCAATAATTGGCTGATTGTAACTCCCAATGGAAACGCTCACGACTTCTTCACTAGCACTTGTGCCAAAAGCTTTCAGGTGCATTCTCGTTTCTATTAATCTAGACTCCGAGCTGCAGTGTGTCCTTGTGCGAGCAGGTACCACTAGTTGCGGTGTTGGTGTGTTCTCGTTGTGGTTATGGTGATGATGTTAACGTTTGCCCTCTTTCCCGGTCCCAAAACCGTACCTAGTGGCCATGTATACAAAGTACTACCGTCCTGCGACTTGTAAAGGTAGCGGAGCATGCAATCACACTGACCACAGCGTAATTCACACGACGTTCGGACAACTGTTTATGCATTGTCGACGCAGCCAAAAATATGCGTGGCCTAGCACATTTGGTGTCCGTTTCAAACCGGACACACTTTCGCAATGCTTATGTTAGTCTTTGTTAGCCTGTTCAATCAGAAATCGCCCTTTTAAAGGGGTATGCGATGATGTTTTTGGTTGCCCTGTTGATTCCTTTCTTTAAATTTACTAAATGACAGTCATCTAAGTGCATCGTGAGTCAATGCGAGATTAATGCGCAGAGCGAAGAGGTTACGTTTTTGTTTTATTGTGATACACATGAGTTCCAAAATAAACTGAAGCGCACCTCCGCAAACATCTCTCTTGATGCTCGTCTTCGGAACGAACTGTAGAATATCCGAGTCCTTGTATGAATAAGATTGGTACAACAGACATGGCTTCATTGACCAATCACAAGCCAGAACTACACGTCAGGCGCCGTCCATCCGAGTTCGCCACGCTGGCCACGCCGCTCATTATATACCGCTTCTTTTGGGTGCCTGTCTCTGGTTGGCTGCCTATCTTCATCGCATGGCATTGGGATGCAAAGAGATAAAGAATTGGCTGAGGCCAGGGTGGCCCAATATGTCTGCGCCCTTATTCGTCGCTACAGAACCTAATTTGTATGCTGCAGCGTCGTAGGAGCAAGAATCTGGAAGTGAAAGTGCGGAGTCTGACAGAGGCCGTGTTCAGTGGTACTGTTGCTTCTATTTCTGAAATCGGGAACTACTTTCCACCTTCATTGTGCCATTTATTGAATTTGGTCTCAAATCGCACATGACCATTTACAATCACCCAATACTGGCGTAAGATGGTTTTTTGACAAACCGTTTGTAAGAAGGTCGTCTTCTTGAGAAATTACTCCCGTCCTTTTTTCTCCACATCGCTTCCTGAATGACGCAACACATTGACCAATCCTTGAAGAGGTGGACAGAGAAATGCTCAGAGTTCTCACTTCAGCGTCATGCGACTTCTGTTCAAGGTCGTGCTGTGTTTGGTGGAGATTGAATGCACACGATTGGTTCTTAACATGTGTTGCCCGAGGCTTATAAATCAATGGTGGATTCAAACAGCACCGACTAGTCTCGATTTGACAAAAATCACATTTTATATGACGTGGTGACAGTTGTTGATCCGATGTTCATCGTCTTGGTTAGTTATGAGTTTTACTTAGTTATTTTTTTACCTTGGCGCAAATACCATATTCGCTTATTATGGAATTTTACTCACAGGAGTACAACGCAATCTCGGCTTACTTGGTATGTCCTGTGGATTCGTCCAATCTTGTGTCGTTCTTTTGATCGTTTGTGTTAGTTCTGCCATGTTGATGTCGCTACTTACAGGGTATGCAAGTAGCATTACTTCAATCTCGTTAAAAACCATTTCATGTGCTTTACATCGTTATGTACCACCTGGGCCGCAATTCATTCATTCGAAGTCTCAATAATCTACAGAATTAGATGCATTCTAATTGGTATTTCAAGGTTTTCAGTGACCTTGACGTGGACCGCAGAGGTATCGATCGTGGCATTGCCAGTGTGTAGATGGCGCACAATCCACTCACCAAGATGTCGACCTGTGTTGACCTCACAAGAAAGGACCAATAGTGTGATCGGATGCAAGTTTCATCCAATCACCGTCATTGGATATTTGGTTGTCTCACTACAACACCCAATAGTCATCACGAAATGCAATCAAATTGCGCACCAATTTAAGGAAAATCGATTTCGAGTCGGCGATTTTTATCGCCCATTGTTTGTGTGACCTTGAGATTAGCGTTTTGCAGCATATTATAACACTTTTATCAGCAATTGGACCCTAAAACGTCCACTTACACTTATTTGGTGTAAGAATTTAAGTTTAATAATATTGTATTTTTGAATTCGTCTAATGAAAGCTCTTCACCTGGCTTGTTGTGGCTCTGATCTTGATTTTGTCGTTGAGACAATGTTGCCTAACATTTCCTAGGTTTGTCAAGCACCGATAGCCGTGCTGGATGATGATGACGATGCTCCGTCTGAAGTCTCGCCGGCCCCAATTTCGCCTTCTATGGCGTCCACGACAAGCCCAGTTGCGCAGGATACACCTCGCACCCTTCCACAACCCCCACATCACTTCCTACCGCCTCCGCCACCACCACCGCCGCCGCCACCCTCTCAGCCAATCACGTGGTCGCTGCCAATCGCCATCGCGCTAACAGAGACGTGGCGTGCCCAATTCCCCAACGGCGGTGGCAGCTCCTTCTCTACCATGGAGCGCCCTGAACAGTCACTTTTCGGCCAGGTAACGCTCGCCGTGGCTCGTGAAGACCTCCGCCAGTTGACCGAGTTTCGATTGGCCGTCGCTAACGCCGCCGCCACCTCCGCAACCACCACCACCACCGCCGCCCTCAACCCACTCATCCTAGTCTTCAGTCGGGCCTCGAGAATGAAAAATATGCAGGCCACGTTTGCTGGAGTTACCGTTAAGTGAGTGTGGACTTGTGTTCTTCGCGCAATTCTCCCCTCCCCGTTTTTGTCTAACATTCTCTGATCGTCGCGTAGGTGCGAAAAGGTGGAGGGTGAGACGGCGGCGGAGGATGAGTACCGAGTCACGATTCCCGGGGACCTCCTCTACCACTACCTCGTTGCCACGCACTCCGCAGTCGCGCAGACCGACACCGAGGCGTACACGCGTCTCTCGCTGCTCGACTACACCGTCGAATTGGCCGGACTGCGACCGCCCGTCACGATGTGCACGTACTGGCGCTGCGAGAAGGCCACCACGGACTTCCGCCTCGACTACTTCATCCAGTGGCCGAAGCTGTCGTCGGTGAACGGCGACGCCGTTGCCACGGAAACAAGGTAAACTCCCGTTGGCGAAGGTCCCGGCTTGTGTGGAATCGGTGCCTTTTTCTGTTAGATTAATCGTTTTTTGAGATATTTGACCTCACATCGAAGTAACCAGTAGGGAAAGCTGTCTACTGACAAATAGTAGTTGGGCTAGGTAATTGGTGTTACCAGATCTAGTCAGGATGAATACGAATAAAACCGTGTTTTCCGTGATCTAGTCGATGTATTTTTCTTCGGCCGATTATCATAAACAAGACAAATTAGATGGTACTAACAGAGCATTGTTTTCTTGTTGAACAGTTGTAGGCTGTTTATCTTGCTACCTCCATATTGGCAGAAACTGGAATGTTTTTCGCACGCATTCCCTGCTTATCTGAGTATTGTTTTTTTTGTTATTTGCTTGAAAGTGCAAACTTACTGGAGTGACCTTGGTGAGTACATTCCTGCTTCCCTGGGGATGCGTGTGCCTCGAAAATTTTAACCAATCACCGTGTGTTCTGGTTTGAAGAGGCTTTAATCTGTCAGTTTCGTTAAACTTGGTGTTTAGGTGTTCCTTGAGCTCAAGTCATGTTTACTTCAAGTCGAGTTTATCCAGTATTGGGGAAACAAAACTTGATGTAGCTTTGCTACTCATGGAAGTAAACCAATGAGTATCTTGGAGTCTACCCAGATGTTGAAAGTTCAGTGTATGGTGGACTAGCCAATTCATCAACATTTGCTTAAACCTTGCCAATGACTCCCTCCAGCTGTCAAGACCTACGAGTAAATCTGATGGTAGACGGTGGGGTGGTTCGAATGCAGAGTCATCCACTAGGCACGTGGAACGCGGACCTGGCTAGAGCCTCGTGGAGTATTCCCATTGCCTCGATGAGCACACCGGGCCACCAGCGACTCCACCAGCCGGGAGTGGACCTATCGGGCAACATTCGCGCCAAGTTCTTCCTCGCCGAGGGTCCGGGCACACCACAGCCCGTGGCGCTCCAATTCTGCCGAGACGGTGGTCCTCTGCCCAGTGGCGCGACGTTCGCCCTTGGCGTCGACTCTGACGCTGGTGGTGGTGGCTACCGCCTCACCATGTGCAAGTACCGCCTCCTGGGTGACCGATACTTCTGTGACCCGCCAGTAGGGTGTTCTGCGGTGGCTCTGGGCCAGGCGGAAACTCTGTCGCCGCTGCGACCCAAAGCACTACCTCCGAGCCCTTCCAATTGACACCAAATCGCCTTTCCTGCTTTGTACAAATACCTCGCCGCACTCTGGATATTGCCATAGACTTCTGCTGCCGGCCTACACTAATTCATCCATTGTTCTTTTTCTTTCCCAGTAGGGCTTCCTTGCAGTTCCCTGCGTGGAAGTGTGATTTCGACAATCTTCTAGTTTGAAGACATTGTTATTGATACAATATATATTCACATCCCGTCTTTGTGGATGTTTAATAGCTTGCGCTCCGAAGTTACCTTTAGAACTCTGACGACTAGGGTTGGATTACAGCAAATTGTGCTTCTGCTTAAGTGGAGTAAACTTGTGTACGTTGCCTCGGAGACATTCAACTTTGAATGAAAGTATTTATTCTGTTGAGTTATGTCCTCTGTTGTTGTTCTTGTAAAAGTACTTTCACCAATGGTTGCAATATAAATTAGCTAAAGTAGAGGAAGAAAACGGAATACAAGGCTGCAAAAAATCGGAAGAATCAGACGCTGAAAATTTTTCAGTAAAATATGAAACTTTTTGTTCTTATATATTTAACATGAAGTGCATTAGGCATAAATTTCTCTTATTAAAATACTTCAAATAAAAGTTTGTCAAATGAGGCTGCAATTTCAAAACTGTTGCTTCGTTTATCCGTTGATTATCCTCTGATCGCGATTAAGTCCCGCTAATTTAACATCAAACAGACATCTGAGTTACGTGTCCAGCTTCAATAAAACCTACTTCTTCATTAGAACCATATTAGCATATTTGTACTAAGCTTTCTTTGCTTAAAAATTATAGGACTTTTTAAACTTTCATATACTAAATGTGAATGTGTTTGCGAATAAAATTATACAATAACCAAGGTCATTCTATTTTTTCATTTGTAATGGAGACCAGGTTCATTTCAAGGTAATATTTGTTTATTTAATTGGCATCATTTTTTTAAAAAGCAGAGTTAGTGCCGCTAATAAGCCCAGAATAACTTAATCAAACTTTACCAAAAGTTGATACATATTTTTATGTTATAAACCAATTTAAAAACACAGTTCGCAAAAAGGTCACGTTGTATGATGTGTTATAAACTTTAGTTATTAAATTAATTTGCAAAAAGTAATTAGGCGCGAATATTATGGCATTTCTGTTTGCAGACTTCACGTGCAATATCAACTTAAATTGTATTGAGTATTCTGCTCAAATCGTTTTTGCAACATTGGTTTCGTGTCAAAATGTAAAATTTATAACATTTTTAACTAAAATAAATGTATGTATTAATATAATCAACGGTCAATCATAATAATTGAAATCACTTTAGCAATTGTTTATATGCTCTGCTTTAAGAGTTTGCAGGAATCCTTGACTCAGTCAAATAAACCTAACATTTGATTGGTTCTCACAGTGGCTAGTTGGGGCGCGCGTTACAGATCTCAATATGGCGATTCGACTCTCAAATCGAACATTCTTTGGATTTGTGTTTTCGAGTTTATATTATTTGCCTTCGATTGCCTACCTTTTGCAATGATTATGAGCTCCTTTTCTCCTCAGCAGATTCGATCACATTTGAATGCTCTTATCGAACCTCCTAGGCAAGTCTGTTTGGTTTTTATCATGTTTTAAGTTCTATTTCATTTCATTTACTAACATTACAATTGTGTAGGATTTTTGTGTCTATAAGTAATGTAGCTGTTGTTGGTAAGTAGATAAAATTGCGCTGCAATTCGGCTCTCTGATTTTGAGGCTCTCTTAATTTTCTTAGATTCCGTTGTGGTCGTCTTGGTCTTCCTCAATTTTGGATTTAGTTTGATTTTGATTTCTACATCTTTGAAGAATGGAAAAACACATAATTTTTTTCTGGTTTTTGTTTTGTCAATTGTTTGCCCTCCACAAATTGCCGTAGCGTTATGTTTATTTCCCTATACCATGTACTAGTTTTTTCCGTTTATGTTTGGTTCGATACGATTGTTGCAAGTGCGTACGTTTTACACATACATACGGTAAACCTCCCCTTATTATTTATTATTTTCTGTTTTCAAGTTCTTAGAATGATTACAAATGCTCTAATGTCTAGTGAATTGTCTGCAGATTGCTTTTTAGTTGTCTACTATGAAACTCCTTGACAAAATTTAACATAGCTTTTACACGGCTTTTTCAAATTTTTTTGGAACCTTTTTTTTTAAAACCGAATCCTGCTTATTGCTGATCAAATAATTCGCTGCGTTATATCCTTTTGTTCATAATTTTTTGACCATCATTTCTCTTTTTAGAAAACCATCTTTACCGCAATGTCTGTATGGAGGTACGTGTGCTATTGTGGTTTTTTACCATGACCTTTAGTGTTTCTGGGCGGTGCGTGCAACCCGACAACATGGCGACAAGAAAAGGCCATCCCTGTTCTTGAACAAGAAAAGATCCCTTATTATAACCCAGTAAGTCCTGTTTCTATTCATTCATTTTTTTTTCTATTTTCTTCAACCCCTCGCAATTTCCCTTCATTGAAAATTTTAATTTAGTCGGGTGTGTGTCGTGAGGCAGCAAACAACTCTTTTTTAAGCCCGAATCAAAAGAAATGTTAGACGAATACCCAGGCCTTAAAATCGATTTCGCGTCTGCATTTTTTGACTTAGTACGGTGTTTTAAGGAATTTGAGCTGTTGTTGTCGTAAAATGCGTTCTTGTCTGCTTTTCGAGTGTTTCTCACTTGCCTTCTTGACGTAGCTACTAAAACTAGTACCTGCCTCCACTGATCCCCATTTATCTCTAGGCGTTGGCAATAATGCAGTCGTATGTTTTGGCCGAACGTGTGTATTTTTAGTAACCTCTGGCTCGCATCAAATAAAAGTAGCAAACGCCTACTTAATACTCCCCGCCTCTGTTTCGTACACAACAATGCACTCTCCCCATTAGCGTCTACCAATAACTTTGCGCCCGTTTTTTTTGCTTACAGCAAGTTGAAGAATGGTCACCGGAGCTGATTGCGTTGGAGCGCGAAGCGAAAGAGCGTTCCTTCCTTCTCCTCTTCGTTTTCGATCCTAACCTCACTCGTGGTCTCGCAAGTCTGGTCGAGGTGGCGTACCTGGCTGCGCTGGGACGGCGTCTCGTCATTGTGCGACCCAACATCAAGAAACTGCGTGTCATGGCAACCGGCAATCGTATCTCTCGAATGTAAGACCAGACGCTGCGGCTCAGCCAGTGGGAGGCTGTTTTAGTCCCATTTACCTATGCACTAGCTTTTTGTTCAAATTGCTCTCATCGTCATCATCATCATCATCCCACCAATCAGAATTCACCTTCACTTTTCCCAATGACTGAGTTTATTTTGCTCCTTTCAGTGAGGCCAAATGCATCGCGGAGGCCTTTCAGTGGTTAGACGGCATTCGCCTGCCGAATGTGAGTGTCTTCGACACTCTTGAAGAGGCCCTTATTTACCTGAAACTGCAATATCTGGTAGGTTGTTGCTGTTGTTTTTTTTCTGCGCCCTCCACACCACTCTCGTCGATGTTAAAAGCTTGTCATATCGCGGTGGTTACCATTGTATGCCCAAGGGGATAGCCTAGCTCTCATTCTCTACCTCTTGTCATTTAGAGTCGAGGAAAACGAAAAAAGCGTCACAGTTCCACGGGGTGAGTGTGTGTTGACTTTGGTCCTTATTTAGCACTTTGTAAATGACAGGTAATTGTTACTTTAAGTACCACACACATGCACACACTGCCAGCTTCCGCCGACTCGCTGAAACCTTAGTTCTGAGAATTCAAAAGTAACCAGTAAATCAAATTCCCATTTTGTGGTGTTGTGCTAATCTCCGCCTCTCTTTTTTTACTCAATTTTAGTTTCAACGTATCACGATACACAAAGGTACCTCCTACCTCTTTCTATTTTTTATTGTTGCTGTTGTTGCTACTGCAGTTTATTGTGTCATCCTTGCTTGTCCGCCAATCAGGTAAGCCCGAGAATGCACGATAAGGCGACTGGCAGTGACCGTTTGCTTCCGCCTATTTAAAGTATTTTATTCTCTCATTCACACACACACACACGTAACAAAGGTGGGTAATCACGAAGTACGCCCCCACTACTCTACTTATGACACCCAGCCAAGAGGTCGTGGGAGGCGAATCTGCCGCGCGCGTTCCAAAAGTTCATATTCTCATGTTCGCGTATGCCTTCTTTCTGTTGATTTGGCTGCTTTTTCGAGGGTATTGCCTGTTACAATCATAAAAATCGATATGCCGTTAGCCCCAAGGCCGTCCGTGGTCCCGGCAAATAGCCACTCTAAAACTAATCCCAAGGTATCGCCAGAAAATCGATATTGTCCCCTTTGATTATCGCTAGCCAATTGGAGGACTCGATGTGACCTTTGCTTCAGCCATTGAAAATGACTCCATTTGGACGGCACTAAGACGGGTGACCTCCAAGTATTGCCAGAAAATCGATATTCCCGAAATAGTGTAGTTCTTTTAACTAAAGTTATTCAATTAGAGGAATCGACCTAATTCTAAGTTGGCTCCATGTTCAAGCAAATATATTTTGTTCTTACTTTCATGAAAATTGGTCATTTCAAAATAATGGCGTCGTGGAAACAAACCCCTCAAAAAAAATTCGAACACATCGTGAGGCATAGCTACAGCTCGCATCGCCCCGTGTTGAGAAATGTGTGTTAAGAATGCTTTCTTGTGCGTGATTTATTGCCGAAATCACTTCCATCGCCCCATTCGTTGATTGTGCATTTTTGCACTTTGTAACTTCTATTTATTACTGACATTTCCGGTGGCTATTTAGGGTAACTGGGACGTAAATTTTATCTTCCATTGGTTGTTTTTTTTTACTAAAAAACTTAAGTTTAGACAGCGCGCGACTTTTAGACTTCCGTCGCATTCGCTCCGTCAATTTGATTGGCTCCTGGGTTCACACCTGGCCCAAATAGCTGCTGTGACTTGTGAAAATTCCGTGAAAACAAGATGAATTCCAAGTAATTGTCTTTACAAGAATCTAAGTAGTGAATTGGCTCACTTGTAAGTATGCATCAAGTCCTCTTGTCTACACACACACAAACACTCATTTCGGCTCTAACCGATTATGCTTCCTTGAGTGCCCACAAGTGTGAGTGTAGCGATTGACTTGTACCCATATTTGAGTGCTCTCGCGCTACGCGGTGGCGCGTCTCCAGTTGACTTCGTGTTAATCTGACAATGCCTGTCACCGTCTTCATTATTTTTGACAACTTGATCTTTTGACGCGCGAGTTCCTCTACGAGCTCGTGTCAAACCTACAACCACACACACGCGCACACACACACACACAAAGCGTGATCTTTCATTTTCATGCCATTATTGTTATTATTATTGAAGTAAAATTAGCTGAGACAACAGCTGACACTTGATAAGTCAGATGTTGATGTAGATATGCTTCGCCCAACCAATCCCTCTTCCTTTACCTGCCATTTTCCATCGATTCGTGTGACACCCATTCAGTTCAAAAAATCGGTAGTTAAGTTTTAAATAGATGTTTGTTGAGCACCGGTCATCAACCCGAGCGTACGAAATCGAATTTACTGCGCCAAAATCAATCGATAAGAGAAATACCGGATTTGGCACAAGCACTGGCAAAGTTTTCCCACTGTGTGATCCGCAACTTGGAGATTAATCATAGCCGAGTTCACGTTAGATGTTACGTAACCACTTCCTTCACCTGCCATTTTGTATCGATTCGTGTGACACCCATTCAGTTCAAAAAATCGATAGTTGAGTTTTAAATAGATGTTTGTTGAGCACCGATCATCAACCCGAGCGCATGAAATCGAATTCATTGCGCCCAAATCAATCGATAAAAGAAATACCGGATTTGGCACAAACACTGGCAAAGTTTTCCCACTGTGTGATCCGCAACTTGGCGACTAATCACACTCGAGTTCACGTTAGATGTTACGTAACCACTTTCCACGTCTTGTGTCTCAGTGTAGACGCCTTCGATTGTGACCTCTAGTAGTTTGTTACTAGCTGACTCACATGTGAGTTTGTGATTTCGTGCGTGAGGTCACTGCCGGATTGTGTTGAAGAGCGGGTTTTTTATTGAGTGACAGTGCTAATTCACTTCTAGGGTTCACCGTTCTGTAGTCCTTTTGCTAATATCACGGAGATAAGTGGCTTTAATTTGACTCTTTCCCTCCTTCGTTTCGCACTGATCACAAAGTCTCTACTAAGCGAATGGGTGGGACATCGATAGATCCAAAACCAGTTGAGGCTTTTCAACTAGGCTGCGTTGTGTTCACTTTCTGGTGTTCCTACGCTTTTTAACTCTTCTGTGTGCCCTCGTTTGTAGACGCCGAAAAGAACCAATGCTTCTGCGCTGCAAGATGCCAAATACGTAAGTTACTTTGCAGTGATAAACGGTGACCCGAAGTGCCCACGCTCCTCCAACACATTCTCGTACTGTGAATTCACTTAAGGCACTCTTGTCGTGCGGTTCAGCAAGTTCATGAAATGCCGAATTAGTTCTTGCTGGTCGCTGTGCGAAATGGGTTGTCGTAGTGTCCTCCTGTAGGGCTTTTACCGCTCCGTCAATCTGTTACCTTGCGTTTTTTTCCTGTCGATTACTCATGACGCTTCCCCAGAGGCGCTTCACACCAATTCAGACTGCTTCCATCCGCGTCACGTGACGTCGTGTCGTGTGATCAGCAAAAATGCGTACGCATTTGCCACTTGGTTAGACAGCGCAGTAGCAAGTGTCCTCGGTGACATTTTCGCCCACGGCATTTTTCGGCCAGCAAAAGGGTTCTTTTCCTGATTGGCTATCACCGCAGAGCTATGATTGGTCGCCCAAGAAGGCGACTCCAGTCCCACACACCCCCCGCCTCCCTGGCAATTGACACCCGCAATTTTGCCTGTTTTGTAGACGGCTCCTGGGCGCAGGTCAATGTGTCGGTCCAGTGACTACCAGCTCGTGAAATCGGATCATTCCCTTCGTAACGATGTTTGAATGTGTGTGGGTGTGTGTGCTCTGACAGACCAATCACATCACGCTAAAACCGAGGCTCCAACTGAGCCCCCCCCCTGTACCTAAACAATTCATCCAAATCTAACGCTCTTGCTGAGAACACGCTGGTAGATGTTTGTTCGAGTTAGTGGAGGGCAAAAATATGTCTCTTTAGGCCAGCCTGCCCCCCCCCTCCCCGCCAAATTTTGCCTCCACTGATTGGCTGTTCTCGTTTACCTAGGCGCAAATCCGACTGCTAGAGGCGTACAAATTCTTGCCAAGTCTACCCCTGGTCATTTCCGACTTCACGCCTGACGTTTACTGCGGCGGTGACACTCAATTTTGTGAGAATGGCCACTCCAATAAGACCTGGGTCATTCCACGACGCACCAGACGCAGCTTCAAGCTCACCCTGTCCATCCAATCACTTTGTCGGGAGTTCTACTTCTACATCTCCAAGGACAACCTGTGGCTGGTTGATCAGATGGAGGTTAGGAATTCAACTAACCCAAACCTGGCAATTGGTTGGTGTGATGCGTGAATGCCTATGTATCTCGTTATCACGTGCGTGCGTGCGTGTGTGCGTGCCTGAACGATGGTTTCAAATTCAACGTACTGGTTATGAGGGCTTTAATGTGATCCTTCCTGTGTATGTGTGTGTGTGTGTGTGTGGCACTGCTATCCAAGGCGGTGCGTGTGAATGTGTAAATTTTAAATCTTTTCTGGTCTCTGATTATCGTGTATTGAGACTTAACAAATCTTGAGTAACTAAAACCAGCATAAAATCAACCCAAACACGCAAATGGCGATTTCGTCTCGATTGCCAAACTTATTGCTTTCACTCTAACTTGAAATAAACTGCATCGAAGCCCTAAAAACTAGACCAATCAGAGCCAGGCTCTCGAGGTCAACCCAAGGTCAAAGGGAATTGCCCCCAAAAGGGCCACAAATGTGTCTGTTTTCAGCCATTCGTGTTGAACACCACCTCTGCAGTAGCTCGGTTGACTCCGCTGACGTTAAAATGCGAACAAACCACTGGGTCGTCATGTAAATTAGTTCCGTGTGAAAACACAAATCAGGTTATTTAATAATGCTAATTAATGTTAAAACATATCCACTCGTCGCCTCCGCAGTCAAGCGTGTTTTGGAAACTTGGTGCTAGAAAACGATGTTTTAAAATCTGTTTTCTGTTGAATTTTGTGAGTTGTCACGTGTCTCCCTGGAGAAACTGATCTTGCTCATCTGACCTCTGTAGTGTGTGCGTGTGTGTGTGTGTATGTGCTTGTGATCCTGAGAAAAGTGCTGCACTGTCACCAATTTTGTTTAATCCGTTTAACAAGTTTCGGTCTTCGGGCTCTAGCCGCTCCCTATTGGTCCGTTCAAGGTCATATTCTCAGAATGGACTTATTGTGGGCCCCAGCATGCGGCCTTGAACCATGCTGGGGCCGCGGAATTAACCCTGGCCCGATTACGCTTGCCTGATGCTCGCGATGAAGAAAAAGACCCGAGAGGATGGGACACAGAGCTCAACCAAAACTGGTGTCGAGTGTGGGGTTGGCGCGTGTGTATTTATACCTCGGATGTGTGAGTCATACGTGCGCTAACATCGAGACCTAGGTGTGAGGTTAATCCAAGACAAATATTCGTGTAAATGAATAAGGAGTTGAGGATTCGCGCGGCATCTTCACACCCACGCTTAACACGATTTCACGATCAACTCAAATTTCAGTTATTTCTCTACAGATCACTTTCCCAAGTAGTGAAGACTGTACTAGGCGTATGACCTAATTTTTGCACAATTTTTCTTTGAAACACTTTCGCAGTATTTTGTAGTTTTGAAACAATCAGACAGAGGCTTCTAGAACACCCAACGGTATGTCTACATGAGGTACATAGCCCCTCAAATTGCCAGATTTTACGATGGTAATTGATAGTCAGCAAATTTGCACTTTGTACGAATCCAAACAAGGAAAAAACTGCACGGGAATCATAGGTGGAGACGTCTTAGAAGGCGTGTTTTCGATCGTAGTGATCAGCGGCGCCACTGACTGCATTTTCGCCATATTTCAAGACGTGGAATTGCAAGCAGAACTGGATGAAGGCTCAGCGCAAACGCAGCGAGAGCTTGCAGCAGCTCAGGTAGGCGTCAGGCAGACGGTTGGGAAAGAATCGTAAACTTGGGAGCTGGGTCCACCCACATGCAATGACTGAACACAAACTAGGTCAACGCATGCATACACGCCTTCACTACGTGCCAGCTGTCAACAAAAAAAAGAACTTCTTGTGGATAATTGTTACGGGTGATTTTAAGTGCATATTTTACGAGCATCGCAAACGTTAAAAGAAGTCGTGGGTGGTTTCCAGGCAAACCGGTGCATCGGTGCTGTGTGTCATGGAAACTGGTCGTCAGACGGTGATCGTGGAAGGCTACAGCCAACGAGGAGACCGGAGACCAGGTAAGGGCATTCACGAGGAAGCTGACAAGTCAAGATTGTCCTCTCGAACTTCGGATGGAAGTTCTCCCACACGCGCCATATTCCTCAGACTTGATTAATAAACAGGACGATGTGCGCAAATTCGTCGATGATGACAACGGCATTCCTACGTTGCCACAGAGGGATGGTGTAAGATCTGAGTTCGTTGTTCACTCTCTCTCTCTCTCTCTTTTCTTCTAAATTGCATTAATTTGCTGAAGATTTGCAAAAAATTAAGTTATGCAGCTAATTGTCAAACCCTTGTGTGACTGCTGTCAACTGAATCGGGATCACGTGTCACAGCGTGCTGTTCTTTTTTTTGGTTCGTTTTGAGCGAAGACGAGTCAAGTCTTTCTCTGCTGCAGGCGGCTTTCGCGATTGGCAGCGGCAAGAAGGTGACGCTGTGCATCGAGTACCTGAGCGACGACACACGTTCACAGAACTCCTCAGGCTACAGCAGTCTCGCGAGCACCCCCCAAGACACCTTCCAGCCGCCTCCCACGTCTGCCAACACCGACTTGCCGTGCGTGCTGCCAACTCATCCGCCCTACCCCCACCTCGCGTGCCCCGCCAACTTGGCCCTCTCGCCAACTGCCATCAAAGACCACAATCGGTCGCGTGCCTACCTCAAATCTCTTGCCGAGGAAACCAACAACGCCGTCCTAGGTCATCCGCTACGAGGTTTACGGGACTTGATGTGATACCATCTCCAACCCCACCCCATCCCCCTTCACCCCACACTTCTCTCACTTCCTTCTCTCTTCTGGTCTTGGTCATTACACACTCCCACACACACACACGCACATTGTAATTTTTATGTTGAATTTGTTTATAATCTTACTGCTGACTCAGAATGCGAGTGCTGTATTCAGATTTGACGGTGAAAACGATTCTTTACATGGAGCTGCGGGTTCTTCTCTAACTTCACCAAATCGACATCTTCAGATTATCCACATCACTGCAACTAGCAGACAACCAGACGTCAATTTGGTAGTTAATCATTTTGCATATTATTAAATACGACTAGTTGGTGTGTTTGTGGGTGAGATGATTAAAACAGGGGGTGGGCAGATAAGTACTGAGGGTCAATAGGTGGTCTAGCGTGTTGGTATATATATCACATGAGTTCCACGAATCTGTCGATCTCAGTTGTGTGTGTGTGTGGTCTTTTTGTACAATAACGGGGGGAGGGAGGGCGTGGGCGCTCAAAATCGATGTGAAGGAGGCTGTCGTTGGGGACTTGGAACACTTCGTCCAAGGGAGGAGGTCATGTCGATGAGGTGCGGCGGCGTCGTCGTGGTCGTCGACGTTGCACGTTTGGAGGATGACGCGTCGGGATTGTGGCGTAGGGCTTGCAGTCGGTTGATCTCCTCAATCAGGTCGTTGATGCAGCGTTCTTGACTGTCGATTATCCGCATATTCGAGGCGACCACGCTCTGGATGTCCTTCCGCTCCTTGCTCAAGTGGTCTTCCATCGCCCGAAGTCTGCAAAGAGGGACAAAAGACGGGGGGTGACCTTCAGGGCAGCTTCTGTGTTCAAATAAAGCGGGCATCCAACAGCTAACTTAAAAGCCTCGAACTCCAGACATTGCCTACACAACACACAAGTTGGCAAAAGCACATGTGCACACCTTCGTTCCAGCGCCTCCAGATTGCTTGATTCCAATGACTGGTGCTCCGGGTAGATCCTTGTCATGCCCTGCACATTTTGATACTCATTCTGACCCTCGCCAAACAGGAGGCTGTGAACCTTGTTGAGGAGAGCGGGGTTGTTGCTGGCGCTGTCGCCGCGGTACCGCCGCTGAACTGAGGCCGGCGTGGACATGAAGGTCGGCTGGTCTGCTGGCGCCTCGTTGCGTGGGGCCTCGAAGTAGTGCGGATTCTCGGCTAGCAGCATCGCGCTCTGATTGGCTGTGTTGGTGGTGGAGGGGCCAGAAGCGGGGATGAGGGAGAGCGAGGATGAACTGCTTGTCGATTCGACCGACTGCACACTGCCTGCCATCCGGCCTGCGGCAGCCGTGGACTTGTCGCACTGGAGGATCACTGGAACCGTGGATATTTGAATGCTTCCGCGTTTTTCATCAGTCTGCGGGAATAAAGTAAACCAAAGGCGTTTGGCGCTTCTAATTCAGATGTCTACCAATGAGATGCGTTCAACTCACTAAGGCACGCATTTCATTGGCTGCGAGCTAACTGTTGCCAACCATGATTGGTTGAACACAGTCCAAATCATCAAATATTGATTTCTTCTAATACTGACACTAATTAGGCCTCTCATGGAAGCACTTGTCCGTTCGAAGTCATCCAGGATTTGTTGCAGATATAAGGCTTGGAAAAGATGAAGAATGCCATCTCTAACCTCAAGATTTCCTGTTAGATCTCGCTCCCTGGACATTCGAAGAGCCCTAGTTCCCATCCGAATGTTTGTTGGACTACCTCCAAGGCCGGCATCTTTCGGCACGAGAGACGATGTCGGTATGGAAGCTGGTGGCGGTGGGAAATTGAGCACGACGGGTTCTGTACCAGTTGAGGTCTTCTGTGAGGGCAGCGTAGTGGAACCCCTGAGAGTGGATATTCTGGGGGCTGAGAGGAGAGCTCCACGTGAGGAGGATCTTTGCAGGGGTGTGAAAATTTCGCTTCTCACTCCTTGGGGTGGTCGAATGGGCTGAGAGGCAGGTGGGGGAGGAGTTGTGGGCACAAGCTTTGTCGATTGTCCCTTGAGTGAAAAAAAATCCCCGGGGTAATTGTTTCTGCAAATCAGTGACAATGATTGGCTAAATCGAAATTGGCCCATTGGTGGTGACTTTGCGTGAACTTGGAACGGCCAATCAGAATCACCTTCACTCAGAGTTCAAATCTGTAACAGTGACGGAAACTAGGCATGCTCACCTCGGTTTCAGAGATGGATTCAAGGTCACCGCGTGATGGATCACCGTTGGACTCGAAGTTCTCCCCAAAGAAGACCTGCTGTCGCGGCTGACATTCCGACAACACCGGGCTATTCTCGAAGCTGCTGCCTCTCAGGCCTTCGGAAGACGTGCATTTTGGTGTCTAAAATGGAATTCAATGTAACTACGGCTGCCATCTATGATTTGGTCACTTTTCAAGCTACCCGCACTTCATTTGATCGATAAAATTTAAAACTAAAACAACTGGTGAGGTAGCATTAGTTCAACACCAAATCAGATTTACGCGTAGTCAGTAACAATAGCACTATTGACAGTCTGAAGGGTTGTGATTTTTGAGTGTGTGGGCAATTTTCGGAATAATTTAGTTAAGAGATTAGCAGAGAGGTGCCACGTCATTTTTTGGCGTTTAAATCACTCCACTTTAAAGCCGCGCATTCCGAACTTGATTGGAATCGATTTTTCTTGATTTTCTTGTGCTGTCACTAGTCTACGATTTTTGTGCATTCAGTGTACTTCAACAAGCCTAAGTTTCTAAAACTAAGTGATAAGTTGTTAGACTCAAGGCCACACTCTTAAAAAAACGACAAAAAACTTGGCATTGATCAGATAGCTTGTTGTTTTTAATTGAATCGAAGTGGATTCACTAATTCCTTAATGCTAGGAATAACCCTCCGTGAAATCAACACGTTAGATAGGGCAAGAATGCACTAATATTTTGACGTGCGTGTCAGCTTTTGCAAGCCGTAACCTTGACCCAGCTCTCAGATTTGCGACCAAGATATACCCTCGTTGTTTACGACATCCTCTCAATCAAAATACATGTTTTTAAAGCAAATTTATTTGATTTTAGTAATGCTTGTTGGAAGGACTCTAAAATCGACTTCAGTGGGATTTCGTGATGTACTTCTACCAATTTAGGGCGTAGTTTTTGGCATTTAGGTGCAATAAACCAGCGCATGACTTCAAGTTTGGCTACTTTTTAACTCACAAAATCATTTCCAGGGGTGTAGAAAGAGACAGGAGTTGAAGACTGTTCAGCGGGGATCGGCTGAAGGCCGTCGATAACCGGTGGGGTGGTGGAACTGTGGAAACGGAAGGCAGCAGCTCTACGCGCTGCTGCCGAGTCGTCCAGAGACGGTGTCGTCGAGAGTCTCATCGATCCGCCCAGACCGGATATGCTTCTGCGCAGCGGCGGTGTTGAAAACATGAGACTAATCGAAGTCAAAATCTCTGGCAACTCGCTTAGAACTTCTGGAACCTAAAACAACACGTAATTGCTACTTAATTGCACTTCAGTAAAACATATGTTACAGAAAATGGACCTTCGAAGTACCTTTGGGTGTTCCTCAAGAATGGACACGAGGTGGCGATAGAGGATGGTGAGTTCATAGCCGAGGTCGATGTTACCGTGGCAGTTGTAGGTGTTGGCCTTCCGCTTCTTCCAGATGTCGGATTCGGCGCCAGGACCGTCATCGTAGGTGGAGACAGCGCGCAGGAAGTGGTGCATCTCCTCCTGCATTGATTGCACAAAGCCGTTGAGAAAACGCATGTAATTCTCCTTAGCTTCGAAATGCGAGAAGTTGGCGATGGTCTGGAGCACCTTGGCGAGGAGGGTGAGGTTCCGCGACACCCGTGGGTCGTCGGGAATGGCATTGGTTAGACCGAAGAGGGTCGGACCGTGGATCGCGGGACAGAGGTAGCGCAGAAACAGACAACCAGACACCAGCTGATCGCCGACTTCTTTGCCGTGACGCAGTTCCACTGTTCGACGAATCGACGCCAGTGTCTCGCGTAGGTCGCTGCAATCGTGGAAAAGATGGTCGTGTTTTATTTGGCTGATTTACTGATAGGTGTTGAGTTGTTGTCTAATTCTGTGTAGCAGGGGGTTAGCCTAGCGCGTTTTCTAGGATTCTAACTACCTCCAGAGCAGACTCAAGTTTGCTACCTTGTACGCATGTCAACTGCCTTGTTTTTCACTTCCAACAAGCGACAATCCATGACACTTGGCCAGCTGCCATAAGAATTGGTTGTCACAACTGTCGACAGATAAAAATTCACCTACGTTAGGGAAAAGTGTGATCACTTGTAGGTGCAAATAATCCAGCTGCCTAGCTAAGTCAAGCTGTTCTATGTGTTTATACTGCGACAAAACAGACCAGTATCGACTTTGTGGGCGCCTAGCCGTCGCCAACGCAACGCATACGAGACATTCAATCTCTTGTGACTAGGGTTTATGCAAAGAGGTCTTTAACTGGTCTTGCAGAGCTACACATACCGTGTCGTAACTCGACAAAATGTATAACTCCACTTTCCAAATTTGGTTTTTTATTGATAAACACAGGCAAAACTTTGAATCGTCGATTTCCCTCACACACTTACAGACACTATAGTCGAAGAAAGACATGATGCATTTTGTTTGCTTTCATAAAATTGGCCTTGAATTGACCAATCAGGGATGATCGCGCATGGCCTTGACGCAGCCAATCAAAACACACCTAGATTACGAAATGGCCAGCACCTGTGTTGGTGCAACTGGAATCGATTTTTAGTCCCGTGTGAAATAAATCTGTGGGAATAAGTGGAAGTTGATTGTAATCGATCAATGACAACGGGGTAATGTTGCATGTTCCTCCACGTAGCAAAGGTTTTTCTATTTTCTTAAATTTAAACACTATTCTTCTGGATTAATTGAACCATTATAAAATGCCGTCTTTAGATTCAGGTGGAGGCTGGATGTTTGTAGAAATTTATTTAATAACAGAATGTTTAGGCAAACTTAGCGCTGTTTTGAAATCTGACCTTGAGCCAACCAATCAGAATGCCGTATCTACGGAATTGAAGATGCGGCTGGTTAGAAGTACGCCTTTTTTGTTTCGCGCTAAAGATTAACATCGTACTGTGATGACTCACGCTGGGAAGTATTCGAGACTGGCCTGCAGTCGCTGCCAGACTGCTTTCACCAAGTTAGTCAGCGCCGTCTGGTTGCGTTGAAGGGTGGAATCAACGTCTCCGCTGGCGCTGGAAGAGCTTCCATCGGAGGTGGACAGGGAGGTCGTCGTCGTCGTCTGGTGGGCCAGACGGGACGGATCCACCTCAAGGTCTTCTGGCGAGGCAATCAGACTTTCGATGAAACCTCGGAAGAGCCTTTGAAGGTACTAAATTCAAACAAGATCGTCTATGTTTAACACAAGCACACGTCTTCTCCATGTACTGAACATTCTATTAAGTTGCAGACAATTTTGCTTTCAGCTTGATGAACGTGTGCTCCCTGACATATCGAGTAAATCACAATTGCTCGTAACCATGGCAACCAATAGGTACATTATCTGATGGTGCTTTTGTGTGATACAGAATAAAACAATTGCCTCATGTAGAAGCGAATGCTGTAGACTCGCCGTAATAAGCGTATGGCAACTCATTAGACCATGCAGAAAACACTTAAGGGATCTCGTTAGGGCAAAGGCGGCCGAAGAAGTAAAGGGAATTGAAAGAAATTCGCTGGAGACTTAACATCTTTAATGCTTGAGAGCGCAATATCGTCAACTCGAATTCCATCAGATTTCAAAGTATTCGCATTTGGTTTGCATCGGTTTAAACAACGATCGATAAATTTTGTTGTACTTTAATTGGTTTTTAGTTTAACGAACCATGGCTTGAAAATTCAAGCACGTAAGTGCCCTTTTCGATGTTCTAGAAAAAAAAGTGGGTTGATTTTTTTGTGAAGGGCCATTTTTGATTGGTTTGACAGAAGCGCCACTTTTAAAATGGTTTCTAAATGTCTCCATTGGTTATTGAAACACAATTTTTACCAAGATCTGACCATGGCAAATAAACGGAGAGTGAATAACTTTTATGGACCAGAGATAAACAGACATGATAAGAGTTTATGTTTCAAATCGTTAAGAAAAGTGGCGTTTTTGTTAAAAAAAAAAACTACGAGCCATGAATTCCCAGGAAACAAATTGTCACTAAATAATGCACACACACAGTGTTAGTAGGCTGAAGCGTAAAAATATCCTATGAAAATAATACAAGTATTTTCCGTGAATAATTCACCAGAGTAAGTCGGTGAATTTGTGCACAATTTGGATGTTTCGTTGCTTGAATTTCCTCGGTTCTTAGAATTGAACACAATTGCCATGCTGAGTTTGCGTCCGCGGCCGTATTTTAACACAAAACTAACTTCATTAATTATTCGCGCCACTTGTGACCTTGAGCGGCAAAAAATTTAACAGCCTACATGCGTTCCCACGCCCTTTCCTCTGCATTACAGTATTTTGCGGTAATTTTGCATGGCTGGCATTTGTCAGACATGATTGTTTTGTTTTCCAAGAAAAACTCCAATTCCACTAGACTCTGTTGGTAATTGGTCTTGTGTGATAAATTGAGTGAAATCAAATCCAATGAGCTACTGGCGAATCTAGTGGTCATGTGAAGAGGTGGACAATTCCTCGGGATGCATACTGATCGTAAAAACTTAATTTTATCGCTCTAAATTTCCTAACTTTGACTTTAATCACACAACTGCCGCGCACACAAACTAAAACCGACGACACTGCTTGCTTTGGTTCGTTTGTTTTAATTCAATCGATTTTTGCCGCCATTTCGTTTTTGTTCGGCGAACTGCTACACCAGTGTCATAAATTCTCCCAACATGTTCAATCTTCTTTAGATTTCGACTCCAAATTATTGACTCCGAAGCTGACAAATCCAGATTAGGTGCTTCGCTTTAAAAGTTACCAAAATGCGAATAGGTGAGGGATGGTAAAGCACAAAATTAGCATCATACAATGAATGATTCACCACGCTTTGTGGACGATTATGCCATCTTGAAAAAAGAGATCTTCACACACGCTCACACAGCCAGAGGGGAATCGTGCGACCGCCAACTTTTTGTAACCCCAAATGAAGAGCAAATTCGACAGATCCACGGGCAGAAAATATTATAATTTGTGGGCAAAACCATTAAGGCAGGCATATTATTGTAAGTACGCAACTGATAATCGTGCATTTTGTGATGTTATGGGTCAATTTTGAAAAGGTCAGGGAAATTTATTTTGTGAATTAATGACCAACGTGAATATTTAGAGGGGAAATGGCAGCCCGACCACCTACCTCCGTTCCGACAAGTTTGATGTAACTCTCCACTGCCTTCGATCCAATCGAATTTGAACGGAAAAGAAGTGAGAGATTGTCTAAAATCAAAAAAGACACGAAGATATTATCACAAAATGTTAAATGTGAATAAAAAAATTGGCATGAAATAAACCCTGTTAAGGTCACATTTCTGAATTTATCATTGATTTTTCCAAATTGAAGCTTCAATTCCTAGATGCACCTTGCGCGTCGGTAAACACTAATTGCACAGGTTTTTGAGTCAGCTCATTGGTTCATAAGCCGCAAGTTTCGTTGGCATTATTTCATCCATTTTCAGAATGACTAGCCTATGACTATATTGGTAGATTTTGTACTACCCTCCTAGTATGATTTACACAAACACAGCAGTTAATTAGCAGGTGTTTTGGTGTTTAGTGTTTTAACCTTTAGTCGGAGTCATCGGTACCAAATATCGTATGACTTTAGCCTTCGCAGTCAATGTTCACCGATGGGACGGCATTTTTGAAAAACACCATATCTCAAGGTCAAAAAATGTCCATGGTATACAAAGTAACGTTCAATAATAATAAAAAATCGGACGCCAGGTACGAATTAAAAATGGCAATATTTGAAGTGATATACTGTAGCTGCGCCGAGTTTCACGTCAAAACTAATGCCCCATGTTTCAGGACGAACAACCGTTTTTCATTGGACAATTAATCACGAGCGTCATTTTAAACAACTCTTTTTACCGAGTGATTAATCCAAGCACAGTGTTCGATGCGGTTGCACTGGAGGTTAATTTATTGCCATGCCAACTTGGCGCTTATGTGGCGTGATGTCTGTCCATCATTTGCAATTTAGACCAACACTACTGGCCATTTTGCCACGAAAATGATGAAAAACCTTCAAAACCAGCTCTTTTGTGGCTGCCTTTAAACCAACGTACCGTAAGAATCCAACTCCCGATCGACTAAGGAGGCCAGGAAGGTGGCAATATTGCTTTCTGGAGCCTTCTCGTGGATGTTAACGAGACATCGAGCAATTTCCTCCTTCCTCTTCGTTTGCAGCAATGGCTCCAGATGTTGCACAAACGGGAGAGATTTGTCCACTACGAGCTAAAATATACAAGGCTACTTGATGATAGAATGTACTTGACGCCTATTGGCTGATATATTTTGAAATTTCGAAAGACATTCATAGCTGCATTGCAGCCCTTGTTTAACGTTGGAAACAAATGAATGGACCAAATTCCGTGTGCGATAATCGATTTTTTGGTTTTGGGGCAAAAAATCGGTGACGTGTGCAAATTGAACAGAGCTGATTCGAGTGAATCGATTACGAACACTACCACGAAAAATGATGACGATGATGACATGGCCCTCCGCTATTGGTCAAACAACTACCCAATCAGGAATTAAATTTAATGATAAATTTTGTCACTTTATTACGCCAATAAAAATTAGCCACAAATGTCTCCACAACGACCGTTTAATTCTGTCAAAGTAAATAAGGCAATAACTGAGTCGTTTAAAGTTAACAGATGATTTCCGGTGTAGTTTATTTCTGCCGAAAATTCCTCCCATATGTCGTCTTGTTGGCGACAGCAAATTTTGTCAGAGTTTTACAAGCCTTCAATCTGTCTAACCACAAAGTGCATTTCCAAGGCTTATCTCCAGGCATTTATTGCGACGTTTAGATCTAATCGCTCGTCTTACAGAAGAAAAAAAAGGCTAGAGGAGATTTTGAGATTTCATTCTTCAAACTTGTGCGCACATACCCTAGGAAAAAGATAACGCCAACTGCACATGACAATGTCTTTTTTTCGAAATGAAAGAGAGGACTTTTTGAAATGTTTGTTTATCCTCGATGACATCCCTTCAGTTTAAAATTTTAAAAGGCAGTGGAATGTGTTCGGCTGTGGAATCCTCGACAATTCACATTTGGACTTGTGGGAAATAAAAAATTTAAGTTCGTGGCAACTACGACAAATGGTCTGGCAAGTGTAGAACAAAATCGGGCAATTTTTAAAAGTTTTCCCTCTCGAGTCGGTTCATTATTTTCTTCAAAATGCATTAGAGAGACATGCTGCTGGTTTAATGAGTATTCAATTGGCTGACCCCGTGTCACGTACTTTTTAACCCACGTGCTCAAACTTGAATCACTAGCCCGTGTTTTGAAGCCCTATGATAGACAGGAAAGTGACAAGAATTAACTCAATCTCTTTAAAAGGCATCATTTTCTTCTATGAAAAATTAATTTTCATCAGTTGGATTCATCCTCATACTTTCTTAATTGCAGTGCACTTTATTGATTTTCCGAGCATTTGATTGGTTAAATTTGGGCTGCTTTCATTTTAACCCAAATATCTAAACATGCATTATTAGCCCTCTCCGTTTGATAAGCCAATTCGGGATCCTCACCTACTGCCCGAGCCGAAAGAGGGGTAAAAAATGACGCACCTTCCTCAGGTCGTCGTAGTAGCCCAGGGGTAACACGTCGATCGATTGATACTGCACTGCCAGGCGAATCTGCGGCAGACAGTCCATGTTGCCCGCTGACGCGCTGCCGAAAGACGAGCCATTCATCTTGGTGTCGCTACCCCCGAGGGTCTGTCGCGAGAGTTTGCGCATTCGAGCGAACGGGGTCGAACCAGCAACCGATATCGATCGTTTCGCCGCCGTCGACGTCACCGCCATGTTGGCACTCGAATCTGGGCTGCTTAGGGTGGAGACGGCGTCTGTAAGGCTGAAGAACCCTGCTGATTGTCGACTGGAGGGTATTTGGGCCAGAGGGGCCGTCGATAGGGACTCGTTCGATGGTAGCATCGATGCCGGTGTCATTGCATGCCATCGTTGAGTTTCGTGTTTAGCTGTGAGATCGGCCACAGCCAATGTTAGGAAGGCTAAAACAAAAATCAAATCAGTCATCGTCTTAGAGCACTTTAGATGTGTGCCAATTTTGACAAACCCGAATTTTTTCCCATGGAAACCAATTTTGACTAGTCGAGGTTTGGTGACCTATCGACAGTTGACACGATTTTCTTAAGTTTAGTCCCCAGAAATTCTCCAAACTCCAACTTCAAGAATGTTCCAATGGCTGTGCGGTTTCGTTAATGTTTGCGGTCACTTTTAACAAAACATTTATAAAGACTGCAGCCGCTAAAATATCTCCACACACACACACACCCAAAGCCTCTAATTTGATTGGTCAAATGGTCAATTCTCAGGAGATTCATCAACTCAAAGGTCACCTATGTTTTCGGGCGCCAGTCTTTGAACCAATCGGCGTATTTAAACAAGGCCAAATTTGAGAACAAGCAAACAACCTACTAATGGCTTGTGCGTGACTCAAAAATGCATTTGAACCTCACGCGAAGCGTCATTAATACTGCATTCTTGCAATCTACTCCCTCTCTCCCAACTCACTTGAAGTTGGGGATTTTAAAAGCACCGCTAAATTATGGCCGATTAATGTGTCAGCAGTACATTTGCACATTGGCTAAATTCTCAAAACCTCAGCATGACAGTAAGGCAATGATTTGGTTTTCAGGCATTCAATTTATGCATAAATGCAGCCTTATTCCACCAACATCGCAAACTCTGGTCTTTATGAGTGCAAGGCCAAAGGAATTTCATTGGCTGCCTGTAATGAAAGGATTTAGAGAGCGTTTGGATTGGAATGATTGCGAATAAAAGGGAAATGTGGGCGTAGGAGCGTGTAAGTGTTGGGGATCCAGGATCTGGTACTGTTATCTTAGTTGATTTTTCCTGGTTACGGGCAAATGCAACAATAAAAAAAGGAAATTTTCTGAATTTAGATGGATACATTTGTCTATCTCGCACATTAGTATTACACAATTTATTACTCTTCTTTGCCATTTTGAACTGCCGCTCAGTTGAGTACGCACTGTTATTGATTATTTGACTGCTAATCATCGATTAATTTGATTTGGGCTTAACATACCCGGGGTGAACATTTCGTAAAAGGCGCTGAAATATCAAATCGATTAAAAGACCCACTGTATTTTATGATCATTTTCCAACTGTACCACCAGAAAAGACAAAAATTTTTTTGTCAGGACTTGATTTTCTTTGTTTGAATCAATTACATTTCAATGGAACCCACTCAAAACCGCGCCGAAGTTATGCAAGTTAGAGTGTTGTATTTACAAAGAAGGCAAACAAATTGCATTTACGATCGACTCTGTTTGTGGGCTGTCCGATTGGTGGGAAAATCATAAAATTTTTTTGACAAAAAGGTATTCTTCACATAACCTCACCGCACCTTTGTGCAGGGTACTAGAAGACGTAGCTATTTAAAGAAATTTACTAAAAACACACGCGCATTTTAATGGTTCGGCTAGTCATTAAGTTTGGCTAGCCAGCTATATTTAGGTTTTTACCAGGGCTTCAAAATCGATTATTGAGGGCTTGTGGGTTTCCACAGAAATGACATTTATCGTTCGACAGTAAAATGTCTCCTTCAACTTTGTCTGTAAAGTTGTGAATTCCACCTACTAGCCACGAAGTAAAGTTACGAGGCAAAAATGGGAAAATGCGATGTCAAAATTTACTTTAACGAATTCCATTAAAGGTACTGAAACATAAATATTGATTGTCTTTGCAATTAAAATAACGCCAAATTTTTGCTATGCACCTTCATAAATCAATTCCTTCGGGGAAATACGGGCGTTTCAGCACGTATTTGCTTAAATCGCGGGTTGCCTTAATTATCTGTCTACTAATGAAAATAATCAGTAGTATCGGGAGGTAAGGTAATTCCAAACGGCTCAGAATCCACGGTGTTTGAGGCAGTAAGCAAACACTGCCCTGAGATGAACGATAATGCTGTTTTGTGTGTTTAAATTGTGATCGTAGCCAAGGTCATGGGGCGTGGCGCCAGTTTAAGTCACGAAAAAAAATGAAATTCTGAGTTTCAAAATCAAACTTCGTTTAATGTTTAACGTGATGCCTGATCTGTTCTCTTAGCATCGTTAAAAATGATCTAAAATGGGGTACATTCAATCTCGTTATGAGGAGGAATACTCAAATTCGCAGATTCTGGGATTAACGATTTCCAGGTTGCTGGGTTTTTTTGAGTTAATAGACGCATAAAAGCTGCAATTTTAAGCTACCAAACGCCACTTCGAAATCGGGACACGCACGTAGTCACTGAAACCACCACGATGACTCATCGCGACATCAACCTCTGAGGCCAACTGCGCACGCACGCACGCACTTGTGCGCCCTAACGACACCCTACATCTCCCATCCACAAACGCGTTCCCGCGTTGTGAACACGCGATGACCTCTTAAACAGTCATTCGCCTACCAAACTAACCGGTTTGAGGGCTGTGAACGTTCGGTGGTTTGTTTAAACCCATTCTGCATTTTCGGCGCCAGTTTTAGGTGGTCTGGCGGAGTGATCGGAGGTCACATTCGAGTGGGATGTTTGAATGAGATCGAGCAATGAAAATTTGCCACAGGGAGACCATTTTGATCACCGTAATCTGAGTCAGGTTAAATACACCACGTCATATGCTAACAGGATGCGATTTATGGGCGGAAATAACACCGCTCTTTCAAAAAAAAACGCTAGCCACTTTCCACTTACCGACGAGTTGGTTTTGGCCTTTGTTCGACTTTCTGCGTTTGGAGGGTTCTTTGGTGGAATCCGCCTCGCGGTACAAGTTAATCGTGATGAAATTGAGCTCCGCGAGGTTGCTAAAATGGCGGAAAACTCGGATAAGCTAAGCCAATCACGGTGGTAGACTGCGCGCAAAATCACTATAAGTTACTGCAGGGAGACCACAACGTGTGTGTTGAGTGTTGGTGCTCCACGCGTGTATTTGAGCTGCACGCACAGTAAACCAACAGGCTGGCACTGTTTGTGCACACCAAACTAAAAAAAAGTGATTTGACAAATCAAATGTGTTTTGAGGATGGGAGCTGTCCTATGACTGACCTAATCAGCCTGACCTGAGGGGCTAATATGCCGATTTCGGAGGCATTAAATGATTGGCCATAAAAAAAAACGATGATGGGGCAATTTCATCCTCTCACGGCGCTTCTTGTCTCCTTAAGCGAATTACGCCGAAATCTAATATGTTGCGCTTGGTTCTCGCCCTCAATGACACTCTAAAGTGGCTCCCTTCAATCTCACCTCTCAAATTAAGTTCAAACGGAAAAAAGCGGTGTTCTTGACACGTCGGACCGACTGTGAACAAGGGTCGCGGTTCTCTCGTAAATACCCTACTCTGTAATGACGAGTCACAACTGGTGATGTGACGCCTGCAGACACGCGCACATGTGCACACACTAACGCACACTCCGCATCAGACAGGTATTAAGAGACTAAACTTTCAACTAACTAATTTGGTGCGAAATTATCGCGTCACCAGACACGAGATGCAGTATGTTTACCCCCAGGCGAGACTAATCACTGCGGTTCGTTTTAATGCATTTCCACGCCAGATTTAACCATCAGGGTAGATTCGTGGTAGATATTAGTCAAAAAGGATTACTTATTTTCTTGTCACGAACGAATTTTAACGATTTTTACTAGAAGTATTTTGATTGGTGCTTCCTGAGTACAAATCGGCCTTCAAATGACCTTGGGTTTGGTCGAAGAGTTGATTTGTGCATGGAAAATCGATTTTTAACCTGATTTAAACACAGCCCGTGATGAATACGCCAACAGCACTTGAAGTGTGTCAGGAAACATGAATACATTTCTGCAAATCTTACTTTAAATCAAAAAATTCGCCCCAGAACACGGTCTCCTTGGAGAGTTTGCTAGTTGTTCGTGCGTACAGCTTCCGGTCCAAACAAATATCACAGAAATATCTGCAGCAAAGCAAAGTGGAATTAAAAAAAAGGGTAATTGCAAAAATTGACACAAATTTTCCAGTGCTTTTGCGAAAAATCAGGATTTTCCAAAGTCCCAGAACATCGTGGTTAGTAATTAAGTAATTAATGTGACTGCCTGGTTAAAATACAAGTAACAAAAAACGGGCAACATTGGATATAAACAAACGCTAATCTCGGTTTCGTGAGCATGGACAATCTCAAATTCCCAACGGTAAAGACCAAAGCCGACTAGAGCCTAGTGCACGCGAATAAACAAACTAGGCATTGCGTCAGTTAGGTTAGTGGTTTACAAAAATTCCACATGAAAAAAAAGGTTTACCTAAGGCAAGTGTGGAGGTTTCTCGTGCGCCCTCTAGGGGGTATAGCTAAACCGCAAAAATTTTTCTCATTCTACGCACCAAGTAAACTTGATTGGAATTATCACCTTTTATAAAGGCGCTCACGACTCTACAAGTTTTATTCTGTTTCGAAAAACCGATCAATAAATCCAGAGCAGCGTGAGCCAATGATGGACAGCCAATTGGTGGAGAGCCCCAATACCGCGAAATGTGATTGGTCAACGAGCAGATTATAACCGATCAATACCAAATAGGTATTTGGGTGTCTACTTGCAGATGTATAACCACATTAGCAAGTTTGTTAATGTTGGGCTAAGTGGTTTCTGTTTACATCTACGGAAGCTAGCGTGTGAATCGAGTGGACGTTTAGATGACAGTTATAGAGGAAGATTGTGGGATCTACCGTTGATGCGAGGGAAGGTTTTTTGACTCGTGGATGGTGATCCGGAGCGACGTGTCGCGATGGCGTTCATTCTCTAGGTCAGGTCTTGCGACGCGTTTCAGGCTGCAAGGAATTAAAAGAAAAAACACACGATTAACAACCAGGACGGCCGAAGACAGCCGAAGATCGACGCCAAATTGGGAGGCGAAAAAGTCCGTGATTGGATGGCGTTTTGCTGGGTGAAGAGGCGAAATTAACATGTCATTTGCATTAAGTACACTTCCAATTACGTGGGCAGCTTATCATTCAAGATAGGCAAAGTTTTGTGTACACGAGGCGTCGCCCACATCGCAGTTGGTAAGATCGAACACACAAGTAGACGTCGCAACAAATGGACAGGACTTTAAGTCAATCAGTGTAACATCTGAACACATATTACTGGTCATCCTGCTCTTTTCTGAAGTCCAAAGTACCTATTCGTCACGCAGGGCCGTTGTTGCTGTGGCAACACGTATATATATCATGGTGACAACAAGATAACAATTAATACTTTCGTGCAACGCACCTTAGATGATAATATTTGCAAGGCCACGACAATACTGACGGTAATAACAGTCGCTATGTAAACAAACAAAGGCGCGTTTTCGTCTGAAAACTCTGTTGATCAGAAGCCGACTCACAAGATTAGGCAATGTTTCGTGGTGGTGAAAAGATAACCGCCAAAGCCGTTCTTACGAGCAATTAATTTGTGTTGGCGAGTTTGGGATTATATGGGGTGAAATTGGCTGCATTCATCGAAAAAGATGTCGTGCGATTCAGCCAATCAAGATTGCTGTTGATGGTGCAAGGTTGGTGCGGAGCCACTTACGGCTAAGTTACAGTTGTCTGCGTAAATTATGTGTCAGTTAGGACCAAAAGTGTGAATGCGCGGTGAATTGGACTGGCTCAAAGTACAGCCTCAAAAATGTGTTATTTTCCATAATTTTGAACCTTCGAATTGAACAAAACCTCTTTTTTTTAAATTTAAAATGAGTGACAGGCGGACAATTGTTAAGGTGACGCACAGTTGTTTTAATAGACCACCTACCGAACAGCAAAAACAAGTGATGAATTGTAGGTGCTCGTGTGTGGTCCGATATTTTTTCACAGACACGAAAGGACATGCTGGAGTCACATATTTACACCCAACAAAGCCTTTTTTCCCATGCCGAAGATAAAGACCCCTCGAGCTTCTGCAATGTGCTCAAAATCAGAGCCGGTAGATCAGATAGTAGGTCTCTATCGTGTAGGTCCTTTGCGTGAGGAAGAAACTGGTTATTTTGAGCAAAAAGAGGTTAGCAAGGTCTGGCAAAGAGGCTGAGTGGAATTGTGCAGCCTTGTTTTAATCGATTAACCTTCACTTGGTCCCAACGTGATTGGCTCAGCCGTGGAAGTATTAGGGCCTGAGCGCAGTTTGTGTTCCCCATTCAACTCGAAACCAACTGTGGTAATATCGATTTTTTGGGTCTCCAGGTTACTTTTAAGATTGATTTGTAAGTGCGACGTATTCTCTTTCGTCTCATTGAGTTCTCACAGGTCGAAGTGCCTCGTAAATGCGCAGAAAACAATGTGAAAACGTCGGCCATGAACTCACGCACACAAATTAACCTCACTTATCAATAATCCGCACTAAATTAGCAGCAATCGGAGCGTAGATTACGCATTTTGTGAATATGACAAGAAATAGTTCGAGTGCCTTACCTCAGTGACCCCACCCAACTGCTGTCGACGGAGCTCACGGATGCTGAACTCGTCAAATCGGGCTTGCTGGAGGCATGTCCACCGAATACGCCTGCAAAGCGTGGAACGCTGAGCCTCCGATGCTTCAACAGCATGCCTTCGAAGTACCAAACTCCGTCATCAAGTGGTGGTAGCAGACCCGCTTGTTGGTGACGCAAACCTTGGCAGTTTAGCGGGGAATCATAAAACACTACGACTATGCACGTCTTGTGCTAGAGCAAGCGAGAGAGAGCGAGCGAGCGAGAGTGGCTCTTGCACAGTTTACACGCACATTCTGTCTGGCGTAGCCTATTGGTGGAGTTACCGGTGTCAGTGACGCTCATTGGTTGGCGACGCTGATTGGCCCATCCAAATGTAGCGCCATGCAGTGAAGGCTTTTGGTGTTGGGTAATGCCACAGCGAGGGGCTACGTTTTGTACTTACGATTTCGTGGGTATAACTTTCGTTAGCCGCTGATATGCCATCTAAAGACGGCTGTTCAATGAAATAGCGCTTAATTGTACGTCACACTGCCATTCCGATCGGAAATCGAATTTAGCCATAGCTGCCGAGAATTATTCAAAATTGCCCCGATCACAATCGAAGCCACTGCTCGATTTTGCGCAAATTATCGATAGATTCTGCAATTATCTTGCCGTTCAAGATTTTCCTGAATAAACGGTATTATGTTCTATTAGTGCGAAGGGACATCGAACAGCAAAACGTGATTGGTTCGCCACTTAGGACAGGCTCGCTTTGATAAGAGCTTGTACCTTCGACCGGTTGAACTAGTAATTTTTTGCACTTTGCGTCAAATTTAGCAGCCGCCAGGTGTGCGATGAAGCCTCGTTTAGGTGGTTAAAGTTTTGTTTAAAAAAGGACTGTAGCCTACACTGTCCGAGAAAATTCACACATTTGCTAAAATTAAATTTTGTGAAGTGGTATGTCGATGCGCCAAGTCGGGGTAACCAGATGTCTTTTCCGCTTGCTTGTTGCAGCATCCAAATGACGCGGCTACACGTGAATGTATTCAAACAAGGGTTCGATTCAAATCGGTAACAGTTGATTTTCTCTGTGTTCTAATTCACCATTTTCATAACTTCGTGTGTTTTCGCATTTCACAAAGACGACAGGCTTTTAAGATCACCAAGATTTTGGAATCAGAGGGTGCGTGAAAAGGATCGCAATAATCCTCTTTTAAGTCGTTTATTTATTTTGCACAATCGTTAAACAAGGCCAATTTTTCACTGCCTGAATACCAATGGTTGCTAAATTCGATCAAGGCTAGTCATGAGGTTGCGATGATAATTTAAACCAACGTTATTAGACAAAGTGACAGTCACGTAATGAGGTAAAGTTACTTTGAATTTTTACTACTCTTTTCCAAAACTTCTGCCCACTATTTAATTGTCGTGTTCAGACGCGTGCCTAGGTAACAATGTTAACCACGCAAAGAAGGAAAAAAAAAGAATAACACTCCTTCTGAAGGTCATTTCACGTTATCCATTGCTTCTAATCAAGTTTCTGTCAGAACGCATGTGAGTACAGCTGACTCGTTATTGGCAGACAATTTGGCTTAAATTTGTTTTAATGCACCGGCCGTTTTGGTGTCCGTTTAAACTTTGGTAGCGCCCTGACTCTCTGACACACTACTTATGCGGACCACACACGATTGGGAAGAAGTATTTTAGCTTAGAAATGGTGCGTATAATTGCATGGTTTTGATTCAAACACCGCGCTCTTTGCCGATAAGCTGTGCAATTAAAACAAAAGTTCTGAAGTTTGTGATTTCGTTGTAGCACGGAAAGGAATAACTATCACACCAGCGATTAAGCACGATGCACTTGCTGTTACAGTTGTATTTTTGTACGGCATATTAAAAAACACCCTCTAATGCGTTGCATTTTTTTAAAAATGCTGCTTTTCGAGAAATAATTACTGAAAAGCCGCGTCCGTAATAGTCGCAGGATGCCAAAATATCACAATTTGCAAGTCAGATTTATGACAGTGTTTTTACATTGCATCAAATTTGGAGGAGTCAGCCCGACTTTGTGACTTGGCATCGATTTTCGCTCTGATTGGTCAAAAGACCTCACGTTGCCCACACGATTTCCTGATTGGCTGAAGTATTGGTACACTTGACGTGAGTATGTCATTTGCGCATGACTTGCCGTGCTGTGATTTGCAAAATTTTCTGGTCATTTGGTTGCGTGTTTGACGTCAACTCCTTCAAAAACGCTCAACCAATCAGAACACGACTTCTTGGTGAGCAAATTGAAAGAAATTACCAAATCGCTCCATCGATTGGTCAACTGGGGAGACTTTAAGGGAATGACTCACTGAAGAGACCCCTCGAAAGGTGTGGTGGGAGTAGAATTCGGCGTTGTGATTGGCTGAATCGATTTAATTGGTGCACCGACGGTCTGTCTTCTACCGAGACGTGCTTTCGACTTGGGCGCTGGTTGGGGCAAATTGGGAACCGGCGAAGCCACATAAACTTGCATCGCTGAGGCCGTTGCCATGGGAACGGGGGTCTTCTCGTGTGCATCGACCTAGCCAGAGCACGAAGAAAAGGTTCAGCATGGCTGAGCCAATGGAATAAATGCGCCAGTTCAATATTGCAAGCTTTGCTTTTAACAAGTAACTTCCGTTTAGTTTTGCCATACTTTAATCCTTCTGCCGTAGAAAGTTTTATTGTTTGTGTTTTAAAAGAACATCGGAGGTATTATCGATTTTCAAAAAAAGTGTAAGGATTCAGGAGACTTATTGTCGGTTCATTGAGCGTTTAACTAAAGCAAAAGAATGGAGTTCTCGTATTTTAAATAAAATGATTCAAATTACAAAGAGTTGCAGCCTTATTTCGTCGAATACTTTTTCAGAAAAGCATTGCTACTTAAAATCCGTTAGTAGAACCATATTTAAGGTTATTTTTCGAGTCTTAAGGTTCTTACGCGATGAAGACTCTCTCGCGAGTAGTGATTAGTAGAACAGAACGAAGGCGGTGTGGGTTTCTGGCGAGACAGCGTTCCACCAGCCCTCTCCCCTTCTTCTTCTTCATCATCTTCCTCTTCCACACTCGCGTCCTCACTTTCGTAATTACTGCTATTCCCATTTCTGCCAAAGGATCGTCTAACAGCTGGCGCCGTTGCAGGCACGGGGAAGATCATCTTGTGCTGCGGACCTTCGTAGAGAATCTGGCAGGCTGGAAGTGGTCGTGGAGAGCCAGCAACGTTGTTTAATCTCTGATGACTATTCGAGTGCGTGCGAAGCCTCACTGCAGCTCGGGGCGTTCCTATTGGTTCGCTCAGTGGCGGCTGATCGTAGATCTTGCCTTCTGAGAAGGTGTAATTGAAGTGAGATTGGGAATAGTAGGTTTGGTAAGCGGTACCCTCAAACCTTTTCGGACTGGTCGATGGGGGATTTGTGGGTGCTCCGTTACGAAAACCCATTTGTGAGGATCCTTCGTATCTGCCAACGCTGTATCCGTCACAGAAAGTCCGGTTTTGTGACGACGGAAATCTTAATGGACCAATCGCAAAATAATTTCTACTTATATTTAAAAAGTAGCATGTCTTCGGCCACACAGGAATTTCAGTATTTTATTGATTAGACATAAATACCCAACGTATCTGCTGCGCCACCCCCTCTAATCAGAATCCTGAATTGAAATTGTCAATGTAGCAAAATGCCGATCAATGAACTAAAGTGAACTTTAGTTAATAAACTAAATAACTTCTACTTATTTTCCTTTAAGTAGACCGTAATGTATGCTTACGCGGGTCGTTGTAGTCCGTTGATGTAGCCACTTGCATAGGCAGGATTTCTTGTCTGTTCTCCAGAAGTACGCAAGTCCACCCCATTTGAATAGACGTTGACTGCTCGACCAATGATACCAAATGACGGTTCCACGTGGTTATGGATAGGCCTCGTATTGGCCGAATGACTTCGTCCTCCTTTCCTATTGGCTGCTGGAGGTGGTGGCTTGTCCGGCGTCTTTGACGTTATTATCGCCTCGTTTGGAAAGCACAAAATGTCCGCGTCGAGTCTTGTTGTCCTTGGAAATCGTTGATTGTCGTCACTGTTGGACAGCGAGTCCTGTGAGTCTAGACTGTCCGTGTTGTTGAAGGTAGTTGCATCACTGGTGTATTGTGAAATTCTGCTTAAACCAAAAAATCTCAATGAGCTGTGTACCTACTAGTAATATTGCACAGATTCTACTGGAATTCATTCATTAATGTCGGCGAAAAAAATGTTGCTACTCACTAAAATTCAGTAGAATATTCTGGCTTCTAAGGGTTTGCTTTCACCGTCTCAGCCACCTTCTACGCTTTGCATTGTCTTAGAAGTCGACATTACCAGAAATTGTGCTGCAACATCATTTACAAGAACCAATTTCTCACGCTGAGTTTAAATCGATCGGCGTAGGCACGTTTGTTGACATTTAAGATGCGAAATTTCCTGAAATTCGGCTCAGACGAGAGTAACCTTGTCTCTAAATCCTACAAAATACCTTTGGCCTAAAATCTAACTGAAATGGAAGGTGCTAGAGTGGTAGTAGTTGAGTGTGCAGCTTACCGAAGTGGAAATCCTAGTGTTGACTCATGTAAAGCACTTTGTTTGTGTGCAAAATTCACTAAGAGGCAACGTGAACAGCTGTTAGATTGTAATCCTCTCTAGAGGGAGTGAGAGAGAGAGAGGGGCGAATTTTTCCTTCAATCTTTATGTCTGCTTCCAAGAACTAGTACAGGCGGCATAAAATTTTTGCGATCAATGCCTGCGCGCGAATACCTAGGAGTCACCAGTTGCCAGTTGCTTGGCAACGAGGGCCAAAACCACCATTTTCAAGGACGTTTATTGCAGTAAAAGTGACTCGTCAGTGTATTCGTAAGAGAAGGACTTGGCTATCACTGTGATTACGTCAGAATGACGTCAATCGCCCGCGCACACACAAATCGATAAAAACGAAAAATCCGCCGGGAGAACGCGCAGATTTAAACAAATACGCGTCAACCTACCTTGAAATGCGATTATTGGGATCAGCGAAGACTTTTGCGATGCTGGCCTGTTTGCTGGCGAGACATTCCAAGCCGGAGTGAGTCATCGACAACGGTGGAGTTCCAGGTCTGACCTCTGGCGATTTTTTCGTACGCGATGCAAAACTGGATCGCAGGAAACGCTTTAAAATCAAGTGAATAAATTGATTTTTTTGAAAAAAATTAATGCAAGTAGCAAAATTGGTACCAGAAGCCAAAATAGAGATTTCAACCATGCTGAGCACAACACTTTTCAATGAGCACGAATTGGATTGGTAAGTAGGATACAGTATCTTGAATTTTATTCGATATCGATTCCCCGCGCATTTTCAACGTTTCAAACAGAAGTGCGATTCAGTAGTTCTAACAACCAACTGGCCAATCGCGTGCGACCAGTCTGAGTTCTACAACCTGTAATTTACTGTCTTATCCAAATCTCCAATTTTTGTGCTCAAGTGGTTTCTAAACAATGAAAAAAAAGATGTTTTGATAATCTTTGATCAATGTAGGTTTGTACTTTTTTCTGGAAATGTGACTTTGCGTACGACCTTGACGCGGACCAATTGCATTCTTTTCCAGCGTTAAGTGCTCTTTTATTGGCTACAGTCACGAACTCACCAAAAACCCGCCCGTGCCTTTAGCTTCGCGTGTCGAGGCACTTCGGGCAACATTAGCGTTCGCGCAACTCGATCGAACCTCGTCGACGGTCACAGCGGAGCTGAGTGTGGACGTCTTGGACTCGTAGGCTTCGTCCAATGACGGACGATCCGCGTTGCCGCTGGAAGCCCAACTGCCGCTGGTGTCTTTGTTGGTTGACACAGATCGGACGAGCAACGGACGCGAGACGGTCTTTCGACGCCAGAACCAAGGTGAACTCTTCTGCCTCGTCGAGACCGTGGACTTGGCCACGTGAAGCGATGTGGACATTTCGGATTCGGTGTTGTTGACCAGGAGGGAGGATCGCGCGGACGTGGAAGTGGTCAGCGTGGCAGAACGTAGAGACGCAGAAGTGGTTCGTGTCTGTCCTGTTGGAACAATGCGCGGTCTCGGAGCCACCGTGTTTTTCGTCGTGATGGCGCTGGAAGTACTCCCGCGGTTTGAGCTCTTGAGCATCTGAAAGAGATGCAAAACATGACTCCGATTGGCGCGTACTGCAGGTTTTACGTGAACGAAGTTCAAAATCAAACCAGATCATCACTTATTTAAACAAGAATTTCGTGGTTCAACACTTTGGCATCATCACTATCGTCATCAGCAACAACTCATGCACCACTTTACTCCAATTAAGGCTTTGGTGCGACAAACACAGATCTTTCAAGTTAGGTATTGACCTTGACACCTGCACTCTGCGTCCTGATTGGTCGAGAGCTCGACTTCGTTAGGGCTAACCTTTTAACCAGTGCTGTGACTCTGACATGAGGTCTCTTTCAAAACGGAATATTTTAAAATGTCGGCCAACCCAAGTAGCTGCTGTGATTGGTAGATTCCAGCGACCTTGATGAAATAAAAAATTATGGTTGATTGGGCCACGATAAATGGTAATTTTGCGAATGAGGTCACTAGTGCTGGGTCAGTTTAAGGCGGAACAAATATAGTGCAATGATCAATGATCATTCTGATTGTGACGCAACCTTATCATTAAACCGGTATACATCAAATGATGGCCTTGAAAAGAGCAGATTTTATTCAAACAAAAGCATGAATTTAAGAGACATATCAAAATTGAGAACAGAACCTCTGTCATAGAAATCTCAATTAGAAGTCAAAATAAAATGAACCGAATTCTGTAACGGTAGCCGTAGAATTTCGAAAAACGCGGTTTCTCGTGATTTAAAATAAGCATAAACAGAAAATTCAGGGTGCGTGTGAGGTGGAAACCACTACGTTGTGTCATGGAAATAAAATTATAAATGGGACTAAATTATACTTATATCAAGTAAAGCCAACACGTTGGCCAATGAGATTGATGCGTAAGTGAGCGCGAGGTTAAAAATTGATATTTCGTAATTTAACAAATTTAAATGCCAGTTTTCGTGTGTGCGATTGACGTAGGGCAAGTCAGAGCGACGTTTTGCGTTGTTTAAATTGGTACATAAACCTCACATTCCAGAAACCATTCGTGTATTGAACAAGTTTTTTTGAAAACCTTTAAGTTAGTAATTCATCACAACATTTCACTTAGTTATCATACATTTATCAAAACTACACCAATTTCATTGGTTGACGAACTTAAATACTTTCTGTGACATGGGACAAACTTTTTGACTGTATAAAGTTTTTAGTATAACACATCAAATTCGTTTGTACTTTAGCCCAATTATTCAACAAGATTAGAAACATTTGAATTTGTTTTGGCTGAAGGATGAGCTCGTTAAAACAACGATAATTTTTTCGAGTCACCTGAGCAACGTGTGGCCTGTTGTTGTCAAGGTGGCAAATGAAGCCCTTTTATTGGTCTCGGTAGCCTATAAAACAGTGTTTGATGGATTTTAGCTGAGATTAATAGCGAATAAAAAAAATATTGATTCTTTTGGGCCTGACCTTGTCCTTTAATGTCACCAGGTGATCCTTTATTCTGAGTTCATTGAAGGTGGCAGTTACTGTGAACGACTGAATTAGGTAAACGTTTCTATTGGTTGAAATTTGATAAATGTCCTCAGAAATCTACTAATAATCGATAAAGTGGGGTTGAGGTTATTTGTCAGAGGCAATGACATCGACATAAAAAGGCAGAGGCAATGTTTGATTCTGGAAGTACGCAGAATTAAGCCATGATCGAGATGACCTTGGTGCGGACCAATAGGATCACAGCTCCTTCTCATGGCGCCAAATTGATTTGGACTCGAAATAGCCGGCAAATTGATGATGCAATCACCCACATCGAGTAGTCCCCCTTAGTTAAATCGTTTTAACCAATGATGGTTAAGAAGTGTAGATTGATTTTTATTCTGCCTTTCGTTGAACCACCTAGTTGTGGTCTGAGTCATTTCGAAGGAGTCAACTCAAGGTCATGTTGCGTGTAGCATGGAGTTAAAATTCGAACAAAGGAAACAGTCAAGTAAATGGACACGAATTTCCGGTTACTCGGAGATGGTGTCATTAGCCTCGTCTAAAAAGGTAATTTTGATAATTGGTAAAAGCATTTTAAATCATTGTGAATGCAAAAACATCGATTAATCAATAAATGTTTAGTGACTGTTTAGTAGTGGGTGAATTCTGAAGATATAGTTTTATTTGGATGCTGTGTTTTGATATTTGGTTAAGTCGTTGTCTCAAAAGGCAGGCATCACTTTTGACCGGAAAGTATAAACGCGTGCCAAAAAATAACGCGCTGCAATGGTATGTTTTTTATTGTTGAAACCAACCTTCTTTGGTAGATGTGGAGTAGGGAATTTATAATCCTTTAAAATCCTTCAAAAGTTGGACAATGAGAAGGTGGAGGTGGCGATGGAGAAGGTGGAGGATGAGGAGGAGGAGGCGGCGGAGGCGGTGTCACCAGCTAGCGACGCCAGAGTGGACGAAATGCCCGCGTTAACATGTAGCTTTTCAACTGCGCGCACGTATTACTTTGCGTGCGCGCGCGCGTAGCGTTCACGCATGACTAAGAACCCGGGCCCGTGATTGGTCAGTCCGTGTGATTTCTGGCGGTCGGTGGGTCGGTCGGTGAACACTGGCTAGGCTGACTGCAGCCGACAAAGTTTGCTGATTCACTGAGCTGAGCAGGAAGTAGAGGTCAATTGGGGTGTGTGTGGTTGTTCTTGCATCGATTTTATCACCATGATTGTTTAGAAATGGCTACTTGATTGAAATGCTAATCAATGCTGAATTATTGATTTTTGTACATTGGCTCGACATCATTCAACGAAAAAGAACACTGGTCAATGGCCTCATTGTCAGTATAATTTTTCTGACACAGAAAATCAACCAATCGAAGTAAGTAAAATCGATAATCTGAAAGCATGACGGTATTAACGTATGCAGCGACGGAAATATGAAAAAATGAAGTGAAATTAATCGTCTAATGCTTCAAAGTGAGACGTATATGACAAATCATTAACCGAGCCAAGTAAATTCATGTGTTATTTTGGATCTGATTACATCAAGATCGCTAGCTGATGGATTTCTAGAGCTGGAAATTGATTTCGCTTGCTTCTCTAACATCGGGCTGGTATCGTTGCGAATAATCAGTTGTCACCATCATCTACGGGTAATGACTATACCCCTATAATGACAGTGATTACTCAGTTAATTTGCTTGCGATAATTAAATGCACATTTCTGCTGACACAGACAATTGTAGCTGATGATGCAAACTGAACTTTACCAACCGACTGGCCGTCTAGTGTCCATAAATTTAGCTGCTCCGTCGTTATGGGAAAGGCCAGTACACAATGACTTCACCATTTTAATTGCCAGAAAAAAAGATCACATTTTAAGGCCTCACGAAGATGAAATCACCAGGTATCGATGTTAATTAAATGAAGTCATTTGAGAATGAGGTGGGTACAACATCCAGACATGTGATTGGGTGAATGTTTGCGTTGTCTACCGAATCTGCAGATATCCATGTTCGAATCTCCTACAATTGGTGGAAGTCAATTTGACCAATCAAATTTTGTGGATGATTCAAACAACAAAAGTGGACAAACGATCGCTCTAATCGATACTTCTAAGGAAATAACAGATAACATTACAAAAAAACATTGGCAACTGAGTTAATCAAGATGGCAAACGAAATTGTGCAATTGTGTAATTAATTAAAGTGTGATCGTGAGAAAATTGTTTGCTCCCTAACACACCATAGAGGCCAAGTGTGATTCATGTCTGCAGTTTGTGCAATGTAGGTGTGCATCTGGCGATAATGACATGGCTTAAATAAGTGCAAAAGTACAATTAACTGAAGTTAACCGACACTGATTGGTCAATGCAGAAAGCGCTTCTTTTGAATGTGTTTTTCGGCACATTCTTGATAGATCACTCTTCAATTGGCTAGAAGTGATCTTTTAGTATTGTTCGGAAATGCGCCTTAGGGCTCTGACATAGGCGAAAATAACTTTTTTGCCAAAGCCGAATCATCCTTGAATTAACCAATGAGGCAAGGATAAACCTTAGAACGAAGCTGTGTATTCACCCAACCGCATTGTGCACACTCTTCCGTCTTATTCGAAATTGACCACGAACCGATTTGAGCTCAAAATCTATTGGTCGTTGAATTAGCCAATGAGGTGCACCCTCGACGTGTGAGTTCCTGTAATCTAGAGCGCCTTTAACGATTTCGAAATTCCTGTTTGGGTCCTGCTCTTTAGACGTTGCCAATAGTTACCGGTAAAGGAAGCAGTCGGTATGAGTCAGCTCTCAGAGTTACTGGGGCAACACCCTTAGACATAGTGGTTTATCCAATGTCCCATACACTGACTGATAGCTTCTACGAAAAAAATCGTTTTAACGTTTTAATTAATTTACCATGCACTAAACGCTTTAAGTAACCATTAACTAAGCTCGTGTTTTTTTTCCTAAATTTTGAGTTTGTTTGGTGTGAATCGTCGTGTACGGTGAGAAGTTGAAGCGTGAGAAGAGTGTTTTTAGGAGAAAGTGGATTTAAACTAGTAAGGTGTCACCTGCAAGGTAGACGCGGTTGAAGGAGCAATTAAATAGTCGCTGAAATCAATAATTTTTGGCCTACGCAACACTGGGAATTCAAATTTCTAATGTTCTGAAGTGTTGCTCACTTAAACAAAGTTAGCGTTGGTGTTAGGGCCCTAGACGTTACGGTCGTAATTCCTGCGTTGACACAGCAAGTCACTGATAGGTCAATGAGTCATTAAAATGACCGTTTACACTTGTGTCTCCGGTACTAAACTCCTTAAGGTCACACCACCGCCTGTGTGATATTAAAATTACTTCAATTTTAGCATCCACATTTACACTGCCTAATCATACACGCGGCTATTTAAATTATTGATTTTTGATCACGCTTCATCACGGGCACTATTAAACGATTGTGATCGCCAGGACTGACTCCAAATTATGACATCTCATTGGTTAAAGATGGCGGGCTATTCACTTCTCAAGGTCGTTACTGGAAAACCGAACAAAGGTATTGAGGCGGGCGTA